TTATTATTATTATTATTATTATTATTATTATTATTATTATTATTATTGTGATTATTATAATTATTGTGATTATTATTAGTATTGTGATTATTATTCTACATCTTCTGAATGTTAATAATTTTACTTATACAGAGTTGTATTACTATTAAAACCTCTTTCATTTTTATGACTAAAATATTCTAATGTTATAAAATATCTTACATTATTTAGTTGAATTATTGGCTTGTATTCCAAATCTTTAATTTTCATCTAATTATTGCTTTAGGTTATCAATTTCTTGTTATTATCTTTAAATTTAATGCTCTAATTCTATAATTTTTTCATTTTATTGTAATTTTAAATTTGGACTTTCAGTTTATTCTTAGATTAATTTTTAAATATAGATTGAATTCTTTTCTAAACTTTGTAAATATTCTTCATATTATTGATTGTTTTAAGATTATAATTGTTTAATAATCTCATTGAATCTACTATTTGATTATTTTAATAATCCTATTTGATTTTAAAGTTCTTCTTACTTCAAATTTGATTTCATATTTTCTTAATATAATTAGAATCTTTCCATCTCTGTTTATTCTTATAACTTTTATAAATGATCAAAATTTCCATTCATTTAATTAATAACATCTTTATAGTGTTAAACTTATTCAGTCAGTCTTTTAATTTCTATATCCTTTTTTTATAATTGACGTTCCAAATCTTTTGATCTTTAAAATTATTCATTAAATGTATTAGATAGTATTGGGACTTCTTATTTAACTTCTGTTATATCAAATTTAAGTTTTAATTGATTAAGTTATTATCTTAAATCTTCATTATCTTTTAAAATTTCTTCATTTTATTTTTGTAATTAAGATATTTAATTTTTTAATAGATCCTTTTCAAATATGTGATTATTCATTTCTGTCAATAATCTTTCTTTTTCATTTAAAACTGTTGAAAAATTGATCGCTTATTATTGCAAAGCGACTTTACTTTTTTTTGAATTCAAAGAAGCTTAAAAGAATTTCTTTTGCATAATTGATAATTAAGCTGTTCTCAATTTAATTTAAACTTCTTATCCCATTTTTCCTTATCTCATCATTTCTACACTATCCTTCCATAATTATGGATAAGTCTTAATATTTTGTAATTAATGCTATTTGTCAGTAAAATAAATCTTATTTAAAACATTCTAAAAATGCTAAAGATCTGTATTTGAATTATCTTCCAAATGTTCCTTAATAAGATTTCTACATTCATCTAGCATCTCTTTTGGAGGCTAAAATATAATAAATTTAATACTCTTTGAATTTGCATAAGATTTATAACTTAATCTTTGTGAAAATATGATATAAGAGGAAATTTAACCTTTTATAAAGAAAGTCTCTCTTAAGCAATTTTAAATAAACTTAACTTTCCTGCCACTGTATCAAGTGGAAACCATTTACTCCAAACCCAAATGCTTTCAAGCAAATATCTAAAAAATATGCTTCCAGCATATTCCAATTCTTTAACTTATTCATACTTTTTTTTTTATGATGTATTTTAGATAAATAAATGCTTACCCCTTTCATCATCTTAACTCTCCTTTTTAAATACTGCATATTCCTCCAAAATTGGTAAGATCCTTTTCTAAGTTAAATCAATCCAATCATATTCTTACAATTCTAATAGTTCATTAATAAACTAAATTAAAAAACGATTGTACTTTCAAACTATAAAATTTTGAAATATGAGATCCTTATTAATCTTACAAAATACTAATGACAACTGTGGAACACATTTAGATGATATCCCTGATTATAAATCAATTATTGTACTATTTTTATTGTTAAACAGCCTCAACATACTTCTTGATACCACCATATGTATTTTATGAACTTAAAATTTGCTTTAATGCCTGTTGATCCATAGTTTGCTAAATAATAATATTTAAAATAACTTAATTAAATAAATTAGTATAAGAGAAAATCAAGAAGGAATAGTATATATTTGAATTAATCATATGCTATTTGGAATTAGCATCAATAATTGATTTTAAGAATAAATATATGCCTCTTTGAGTTTTAAAATTGATTATGATTTTTAATAATAGTTTTTTTCATAAATATATATATGAAAATTTATAATGTATGAGTAAACTATATACAATTAACAATCATAATTTAGTAATTAGATCATCTTAATTGACTTATTCCTTTAAGGGGAATTGAATTCATTTTCAATACAGAATTTGGTTTTTATACTTGATTATCAAATTGATCAAAATCTAATTTTTTGGACACGCTTGACATTTCCTCATTTGTAAAAGTTCTTTAAAATTTACTATTATATGGTATGCTAGTTAGATATAGTTCTTTATTTAGTGATTTGATTTGGCGAGGTGTATAGGACATTAACTGCTCAATAAATTTATTAATAAAAAAAAATAATAATGTTATTTTATTGATTAATTTTAGAACTGAATATTTTGATATTAAAATATTAATAATAAAATGATAAAAGTATGATTAGATCTAAGAAAAGATTACACATGTACATTGAGTTATCTTCAAAAAATAGAAATATAAATAAAGTTATCATAAAATCAAATTTAAGGGTCTTTTATATTTTTTACTTCATTAACTACAGAGATAATATCAATAATTTTGATAGGCTTAGAAACAAATGCATCAAAACCTTTTTATTAACATTTCTCTTTCTCTTTGAGATCATCATATCCTGTAAGGGCAATTATGTAACTTTTTTCTATTAAATTATCCTTCTCCTAGAATCACATAAAAATAACATAAAATATGATACCATAATTCTAATCTATTCAGTAGCTTCATATCCATTCATTATAGGCATTGTTAAATCCATAAAAATATATTAATACTTCTTATCATTTTATCTATTCATCTTAATCTTTTAAAGGGCTTATTCTCCATTGTATGCTTCTTCAATAGTTATAAAATCATATTTCTGCATGATTAATCTAAATGCAAAAACATTAACTGGTGAATCATCAACAACTAAAATTGTGCATGGTTCTGGAAAAAGTATTTTCATCATTTCCTCAATAGATTCAGTAAATTATAATGGTTTACGTTATCTAATATGCATAGCTGGAGACTCTGAACTTTCATTTTAATAACATGGAGTATTCATAGGACTGTTATTCATTTCAATTTATCTTTGATTTTTAAATATTTATGTAGCATAAGTAATATCATTATGAAATTCTAAATAGTATTCAATATTTCTTGTTTTGGAATTATCAGAGTCTTCTAAATTAAGGGATATATTGTTATTTGAATTCTCCCTTTAGATTAATGATTTTTTTTTTGGTTTTTTTGGATTTAAAGTTCTAAATTATTAAGCTTTATGTGATGCCTTTTTATCATTAATCTCTTATAAAGTTGATATAGATTTCTTATTAAGTTTTTTTGTAATTCCACTCAAATTATTGTTGATTGTTGTTTAATTGATAGTTTAATTGAATATAGTGAATTAAGAAGTTATGAGTAAATTAGTATTTTAATGATCACATAAACTTTATTTAGTATCTTATTTATAAATATTAGTCATTTCCTTTTGATATTATTTAGAAACACTATTTCTTTAATCAATATCGATATATACATCAAAACTAAAAGTTGATCCAATACCAACTTAACTTTTCAATTCAATTTTATCAGAAGGACCCAATAATCCTACCAATTTCTTACATATAACCAATCCCAATCCAATACCATGTTTATTTGACCCATTATTAGTAAAATCAAATGTTCCATACATTTAAAATAACTTTGGTTTAATATTATCTGGAATACCTACTCCTGTATCTGAAACACTAATTGTGATAATTTTAAATTAACTATCTAATTCTGTATTTTTATAATCAACTAATATATTTATTTTGCCTTTCTCAGTAAATTTTAGTGAATTACTTAATAAATTTAATAAAATCTATTTAATTCTATTCGGATCTGAATACATCATTCTATCTCCAAATGTTATTTTCTTTTCAACTAAAATCCCTTTTTAATTGGCTTATAAAGATATCAAATCAATAATCTCTTATACAATAACTTATATATAAAAAGTAGTGTTTGTTAATCTTAGAGTATTATTCTAAATTCTAGAGAAATCCAAAATATCACTAATCATAAATAACAATAATTAAGCCCATTTCTTTAATATTTTTAAATAATTAAGTTCATTTTAGTCAATAACAATCCTTAAATTAAATTTAAAATGCTTACTATTCTAAAAATTAAACAATAGCCACTATTCCATTAATTGGTGTTTTAAAATCATGTGATACACTTGCCAATAATTCATCTTTATATTAATCTCTCTATTGTAATTCCTTAATCTAAATCTAATCTTATCTCTATTCTTAAGTTTAAAAAACGAGCATTGTAGCTGGTTATTCTTCCCAAATTATTTCTGCAACTTCTATATCAACAGGAAAGTAATTTTTAACATTGCAATAGAATTCAATTTGACTATCATTCTACAGGACGTTGCAATTGCTCAATCTCTTTCTTCCTTAATACATATAAGATTTATTGCTATTTGTTCTTCTATTTGATAGATAATTAGTTATGCTATCCTTATCCTTTTCTGAAGATACAAGTCTTATAATTTAAGGTGTGATTTCTATATATTCAGTTATAAACTAATCTGTTTTAAATAAAAATTCTAGGTAATAGTTAAATTGAATACAATTATTTTGAATTATACAGAGTGGAAGAGGGAGACTTGCTTTAAAAAAGTCAAAAATTTATTGTGTCTAGTGATTCTTAGATTTTCCATCACTTATTTTTTAATAAAGACCTTTTGCATTATTTAAAACTTTACATTATATCAAAATCATTAAATATCCAAATATAGTCAAATACGACAATGGTTATAAGTATAAAAGGGACCTGAATAGTAAATAAAAGAGGCAACTTAAAAAATAAATAGATTTTTGTTTTTCCATTAGTACATTGGCACTAAGAATAAATCTCATACTCATGTAATAACATTTAATCTAAATTAATATGAAATTTACATTATCATCAGCAATTAGTAATTCATTTGACATACAAATACTACCTATTAATAAAATCAACTTTAAGTTTTATCCATATTGTCCCAAAAGTAATAGTATATCAAACAGTAAAAAGTAACTTTACTAAGTTTAGGTAACACCATTATATATCGACAGAATGGTTGATTATATAATCAATGTCATAATAATTATTGACATTTTAATTTGTATTAAAATTATATTGATATTCCAAGTTTTCTTTTAATTATTTTATCATTAAAATGGATAAATATCTATAATTAAAAGAAAAATAGAATAGTAATTATAATAAGAAGACAATTATAAATAGAATCTATATATATTTATAGATTTATAATCAAAAATAATATTTATTTAGTATTTTTTTGAGTCGACTAGTTTCAATTGGTTTTGGTAGAATATCTTTCATACCACTCTTATAAGCAATATCTATATTATCTTTACTATCAAATGCACTGCACATAATAATAGTGGAACTCATTCCATTCTATTCTAAAAATTCTTAAATTTCTTTAGTTGTCTAATATCCATCAATTCCAGGCATATCAATATCCATGAAAATTAATTTATAAGCACAATGACAATTCTTATATCTATTTTTAATCATTTCAATAGCCATTTATCCATCATAAGCACTATCACTTTTGATATTGAAGTATTTTAATACTGTAATAAATGCTAAATGATTGAATGGAATATCATCAACAATTAATACATTTTGACAATTACATTTATTTTTAACTTTGCTTTTGTATGGTTCTTAAATACATTCATCAGTTGGTATTATTAATGCTTCATCATAAGATTATAAATCTTTTACAATGAATCTATTATTTGTAAATTGATTCAATTAACTTGTTATACTTAATTCTCCTTTATCACAAAGTTGTCTAGCAATTTGACTTGATACTTTTAGACCTAAACCTACATATAAAATGTAATCCTCTTCACCCCTTCTAGCAATATCAACTTCTTAATTTTATAGAATTTTATTTATTAAAAATAATTTCTCAGCTGAAATTCCACATCCTGTATCAAAGACTTCGAATTGATACAATGATCCAACTCTTTTAACATTTAATTAAATAATCCCTTCTTGTTTTGTATATTTAACTGAGTTATTCAATAAATTAACTAAAATTTATAAAATTCTATCGAAATCATTTCTAATATAAGCATCTTCACAAGATTAAATCACGAAATCAATTTTCTTTTATTAACATTCTGCTTTAAAATAATCTTCTATTGTTTATATTAAATTTGACAATTTGAAAATAGTAGGTCTTAATTTGAATGTTTAAACTTCAAAATTAGCAAAATCTAATATATCATTAATTTGATGTAATAATTTTTTATTAGAGATTATTGCAGGTCTTAAATATGTATCATTTAATTCTGGTTTAATTTATTGTTCTAATGTTTGTAAAAGTGATAGAGAACAATTTAAAGGTGTTCGTAATTCATGTGAAAAAGAATTGATAAGCATTTATTGAAAATGATATCTTTCTTTCATATCAATTTAATTCTCTTTTTTTGTTATGTTTTTTATCATGATCAATAATCCTTTTGATATTTCATATATCTTAATTTCATATGTTTTCATATTAATTTAATCTCTATATTTAAGGGAGTTAAGATTGATACTTCCTGAAATACCTTTAGATTTGTATTTATTGATTATTTATACAATATCAATAGGATTATTATATTATCTACAAGAAGTAAATGAAATTGCTTTTTTTCTACTTTAACTAAAAGATTGCATTCTTCTTAATTAAAAATCTGATCCATAATCTTCAGAAGAATTAAATAAAGATCTCCTCTCTATTCTTAAAGCACTTGGAATCTATTATTGTTGAATCCAAGCTCTAAGAATAATATTATAAGATACTTTACCTTTGAATCATTAAAAAAAGTTGTTATTATAAATTATCTTCTTTGATATTTGAACAATATTTTTTAGTTTTATGATTAGAATTCACTATATTATAATTACTATCTAATAAACATATTCCTAAAGGTATATAATTGAAGAAATCAATAACATCATTAGAATCATTTTAAGATGGAATATCAAATTAAGTGAGTTTCCTTTGAGATTAAGAATTTATTTTACTGTCTGTTTACTTTATATCCTAAAAATAAAACAGTTATTACATGCATATAAAAGTATGTGTTAAAACCTACAAAAAGGATTCCTAAATAAATCCAATCAATAATCTTGAAGGTATTAAAAAAAAATAAACTTACTCTCAAAATATAATAAGACAAGATAATGATCTTGTATTTAATTTTATATTTGATTGATGCAACAATAGCAGGTCCAAAAGGTTAATCATTAAAGCACAATTCTAAAAGCAAAATTATTCTGAAATATTTCCAAATTGGTGTATATTTCTTATTCAATATCAATAATATTGTAAATATATTCACCGAGGATATTACTATCAAATAAATGTCATTAGAGAAACTTGCAGTAATGAGAAGTTTAAGAGCAAATGAAAAGTGTATTCCTCTTTTACATTTATAAAAAATCATATTATTTAAATAATTCATAGCCCTTCTTAAATTCCTTTGAAGTAAAACTAATTCAATTATAATAAACTCATTTCCTTAAATCATCAATATGTATACAACAGAAAAATAATACTAAATAAATTAACTATCAATTATGTAAAAACGAATGATAAAAACCTTTGAATATATTAAATAATTAATTTAAATTTACTTAACAGAGTAAAATCATCAATTATTTGCTCACATTCAAGAAATAATATAATTAATAATTCAAAATAAATTCTTTATATATAAAATTTATTTGGTTTTTAATAAAATTATCAAACTTTGATAGCTATAAATATCAACATATATAATAAAAATAATAATAATAATTTTATATTATGAAAATTTCTATAGATTATAAATTAGTAATATTATTCGAGATAATATTTGTATACTTTATATAATATAAAATTTTATCATGCCATTTATAGGTCTTAATATTATTTTTTTTTATTCTCTTAATTTTTCAATTTTTATTACACTTATTACATTATAGTTCTCCATTTAGTGCACATTTTATATCCACAAATCAATAACAATATAAAAATTACAAACACAACAATCAGGAATATCTCTGCATACCATTATGATTATGAATCTAATAATACTTCATTCACTACTAAATTAATAAAATGTTCTTCATGACAAACTATAAAAGGATCTGTTTCAGCCTTTTCACATTAAGTTGAATTTATTAATATAGCATATGATTACTCAATTTATTTTTAAGATGAACAAACTATCTCTGGATTTCTATCTTTAATAATTAATCCATATAAATGACGAGGAGTCAATGCTAATGAATAATGATATTAATAATTAGCTTTTTCATAATCTGTACCTTCTATTTCTTCAATTTTCTATAATAAAGGTATCATGAAATCAGTATCATAATCAAAATCTTCATCAACAAATCCTCTATAAACATTAGTTTATATTATTTTATGTACATCATAACCAATTAAAAATTAAAAGTTACCACAACTTTAAACATCTTTTAATTGCATATCTTCTAAATAAAATTTATTATAATAAAATTCTTGATTTTTAAAATGAAATAAGATTTCTATTCCAAAAATAATCTTATCTTAAGTTTATGCAGTTTAAGCTACTACTAAAAATGAGTTCTTATTATATACAAATGATATTGGATTTTCTAAAGGAATCATGAATTCTAAATAAATATTATTATTAATTACCACTATCTTTGTAACCACTTTCACTTAATGTGTAAAAATGTATTCCTTTTTTATCATCTAATAAAAATAATTGGTCATCTTTTGTTTATACTTTAATTATGTTTAAATTTATTTTTATTGTATAAATATGATTTAATAACTTTTCTTTTATTTCATAAACCAATACTCCTTATGTTCCAGCAACTATAAACATTCTTTTATATATCTCATCATAATGAACATAATAAATATTACTCACTTCTTCCAAATTATGAAAATGTACTTATGGCAATGTTCCATTTTACCATTCCTTAAAATAAAAACTTATTGTTCCTTTTTCTGTAACAACAAATATTTAATCATTTGATAATAAAAATTGAGGTTTCTTTTTCAGATTGATACCAATTTAATTTGAAAAATCTAAATGTTAAGATGAAACACTCATTTTCTTAAAATATCATTATAATGCTTTACCTTTAATTCATTTCCATTAAAATCTAATTAAATACTAAATATTTTATGATCATTTCTAATAACAAATGCTTATCTTTCAACAACTATCATATCAGTAAAACTATATTTGCCATCATCAGGTAATTATATTTACAATTGATCTTCTACTTTTATTTTTCTTTCAAAATAAGAACATCCTTATTAATATAATTAAATATCATTGATTTTTTAGTATTTTGTAATATCTTTATCATCTGTTAATCCTTCCTAATAATATAATTCCAAATCAAAAGCATTGGGATACTTTAAATGTTTGAAATCTTCAGTACTAATTGATATAGCTTATTCAGTTTTGTTAAACTTGTCTATTTTTATTTATGGTGTTCTTGTCCAACCACAAAAAGTTATTCCTAGTAATACAGCCAAAATTATTTTTGATAACATTTATTAATATATATCACACAAACTAATCAATATTTTAATTCATTAAGACTTCATTTCAAATTGCTACTAATTTCCTTTTCAAATATTGAACTTCCTTTATATAGAATAGCAGTAATTATATAAATCTTCTAGTCTACTTAGATTTTATACAATTATATTTGTAATATAACGTAGAAAATAATCAAAATTTGACAGTCTCATTAATAACTTCTTTCAGTTTTTATTCTAATTAAGTCTTTGGAATTTTTAAAAGGATGCTATGTTACTATTCCACTAGTCCCTGAAAATTTACGTAAAGGTTGAGTTATAGTTAATGGTTTGACTATTAAAGCTTTTTTCATATCTAAATGGACAGATTTAGAGATAGGATCAAGTCTATTTGATATCACTTTGTTCTGATTTATTAATGCTTCTAATTCATCCATCTATTTATTAAGACGTTCATTATCTGTTTTTAATTTCTATGATTCTTTCAAGCATTGGTTCATTTATTATTTTAAATGATTTTCTTTTTCAATCTGCTACTCCAATTAATTTTTGAGAAATATATTTTCTAATTCTAATTCATTAATTTTGTCAATCATTTATTAAGTTTGGCTATTTTTACTTGAAGTAGATGTACTGACAGCTTGGAACTCATCTTAATCAACAAATGATACTATTTTCATTAAATCGACGTTGTTATTTCTCAATTCAAATTCAGACAATGATTGTAAACTACTTTAAATGTTAGGTAATTATGGATTCATCAATAGCTCTGTTAATTATTCAATAGTTAAGGTTATTTTCGTATTACTATTCATTTTGTTTAATTAATTTTGAGATATTTCAATATTATCTAAATAAAAATATATAAACTTAAGTAAAATGATTTAAAAAACTGATTTATATATTCTCTCATTAAATATTAATCTTGAGCTTCAATATCAATTTAATTTTTTAATAGGAAATTCTTTTATATGCTAAAAGACTTGAATATAATATAAATAAATTTTAATATGTTAAATTTATAAACCATATTAAGAGGATTTGAAGAAAATGGATTAAAATAGGAAAGTCTGTATAAGGCAGATGAAATATTGGCTAAATTAGATGTTATGGGTAGAAAAGAATTTGATAGAGATATTGCAGAATAATTATTTTAATAATGCAAACCAACTCAATTAAATTTGAAAGTAGCTTTTAAACTTGCAGATATTGGCTAAACTATTTTAGATGCAATATAGCTATAAACAGAAAAAGCAAAGAATGCTGAATAATAATTAAAATAAATTTAATAAAATAAAGCTATATGCGAAAATCAATTAGCAGAAACATGTTTGTTATAAATCTATAATTAGCTGTTTATTCGAATACTAGATATTTATTTCTGACTCTATTATATGTAAAAAACATTCCTTTACAGTTAAAATATACAAATTGTCATATCTAATTAACTTTAGGAGTTATAAATTAAATTGCTAAACCTGAATCATCATATGATAAAGTCAATCCTTAATTCAATCAAGATTTTGAATTGTAAATTTACATCAATAAATATCTAATAGTTCTGTTCCCCCACTTATTTCTACTCTATAGATTCAATTTTACATCAGAACAGAAAATACCTTACCTAATTTATGGGGCTAAACTTAATTGAAGATTTAATAATTGGATGATCAAGTTATTAAAAAAGTTGAATTATAATTATAAGATCCTGTAGGTAGAGAACTTGATTCTTCAATCTAATTAGAAGCTTAAGTTGTCTTAAATAAGGTAATTTAGATATATCTAATAGATAAATAGCATTAATATTTATAGGCCTAATTATAGAAATTTGAATAGAAAATCATTACATTAGATAATGATTTGATAGAATATAAGAATAATTTAGAAATAATTGAAAAACCATTCAAAGCTAAACAATTATTAAAAGAATAAAATAATAAGTAATTGTCATCAAATATATTTAATTAATAATTACATACATCTTAAAATTAATAAGATTAAGATCAATATATTAATGAAATAGATTAATAATAACATTAATTAAATTCACCTTAAGAAAATAAAGAATAAATATTATCTATTCTTTAATCTGATAAATAATTAGAAATTTAAGAGGAAACTCCAGAAGCCCCAGAAATACTATAACATGGTGTTATCATTTTTACAATTTATGGTTTGATTACCTTATTTGTTTGTTCTGCTAAACCTTCTTTTTTAGATGTATATTACTACATAATCATGTATATAGGTCTTAGTCTGTCATGGATTGATGTTCACTATTTTGATGGATAAATTTGAACCATTTCATATTAAATTAGTAGGGGCAGGACTTCTAGCTTCAATTTTATACGATATTCTGTGGATGAAATAATATCATGTATTTAAATTCATATTAAATTAGTTATGGTGGTATAGTGATGATTAAAATAATCCAGAATGGGGATTGAATGCTGTTAATTTATTAAGGTTTGTTCTAATCTTTACCTATATGTAATTCCTATACAAAGTATTTTACTTAAATTATTAGTAGTTTGTTGTATGTTATTATTTATATTAATTTCATAGAGAATCTATAGACCCTACTAAAAGATATGTTTTTACTATTTGGAAAATAAAATATAAAGTGGGTAAAAGTAGAGAAAGTGTTTCTTGGCAATGATAAATTTTTAAACTATATTTTTGGCTTAGATTTTTTAATTTATTTTAATATTATAAAGATATATTTATCAAAATAATTAAATACTTTTATTTACTTTAAATGAAAAAGGGTATAAAGTTTTTATTATTAAATAACTTTTAATTGAATTGATATAAGAAATATCTATATATCCTTATGTAATTTAAATAGATTGATTCTTTAGAGATTTAAATGTATCAATATTTTTAAAGGAAGAAGAAATATAATTAAATTTTAGATAATAAAAAATGACATTAAAAGAGAATGTAATGTTCCATTAAATTATTTAAGGATAGATATCTCCTTAAAAGGAGTTAAAAATAATCATTATTTCTTATTTCATTATTACACTTGTTATTGATTTTCTTATTACTCTAAGTTTTGTAATTCTAATTGACGTGCTTATTCTTCTTCGGCTAGTCTTTAATCTTCAATTTCTTTTAATCTTCTTTCTTCTTCTTATCTTTTCATTTCCTCCTTTTCTCTTTTCTTTCTAGCAATTTCTTCATAATGATTTTCTATATATTATTTTCTTCTAAGAATAGAATTAGCATGAGCATTTGTAAGATTATCTTCAATATTAAACAAAATATCTAAATATTTAATATAAAAAATATACTATTGAAGTTGCTTTAGTTTCCATCCTCATCAATTAAATCTATCAAAATATTTGAATACATCCAAGGTAGATATTCAGATAGTAAAGCTGTCTCCAATGGATCTCTAAATACACCTAAATCTTAGAGTTTCTTGAAAGTATTTTGTTTTAAAGGAGATATTAAAGACTTGGATAATGTTCTACAGATAACTTTCTAATGACTTTGTTTTTAGATCTTAAGAAATGTTTCATATTATAATTTCCTTCTTGCTTCTTCCTAATCCAATCTTTGTTAAACTGCATCTAATCTTTGCATTTCTGATAAGACAGATGTCTTTTATTTTTCATGTTGCTTTTATTATAATTTCATTAATTTGATTTCTTCTTCTTCTAAAACCTCCATTCTTGATTATTCCAATATCTTATTCATTAAAACTTACAATATAGGTTCTACCTCCTAATCAAAATCAAATAGATCACCTTCCCATATTTATGTTTCCTAATTAAATAAACAGATTGTTTTACTTTATCTATACCATTTTTCTTTGGAACAAATAATCTATCAGGAGGTTTATCTATATAATAATCTGTTTAGGCATCCATTTCTTGTTCTGGAGGTTTATCAGTTAGTATTTCAAGATATTCATCTGTTTGTATATCAATATTGACCCGATTCTAAAATGGTCTTGGTGTTTAAGGATGTAGATAAGTGGTCTATGTTTAAGGAGCCTATTTATATAATTAGATTATATAACTGCTTTTTAAGATGGTTTTTTGAATGATTTCAATGTCATTAATTTCTTATCCCCTTGAGTTTATATGCTTGCATACGTATTCCCTCTTATAACTCTTTTATCAAACATTATGTTGCATCCAAGTAATGAACTTAATATAAATTTGATTCTCAAACCTATCCTTTTATTCTTCAGATTGTTATTATATTTATGGTCTGTATTTAGCCTTTGGTTTCACTACTTCAGGTGCAGCTTTGAATTCATAATTTTCACCTGCCAATGCTTATGCCATAATAATTAATATTATATAAAGTGATTTTAAATAAAAATTTTATGCAATTCCATTCTAACTTAGAATTTATTCTTTTTAAAGAAAACCAAATTCTAGGCTTTGTAAGGAACTTAAAATTCTAAAACACTTATAAACACCAATCTGAATATCTTCTATTTATATCTTTAATTTGATTTTGTAATGATTCACTATTTAATTAATTATAATACATATGTAGATCTAATCACTTAAATTAATTGATGTTGTTTGTAGGTTTCAATTACAAATTATGCTGCTGTTAGATCTGAATTATTTTATATGCTGAATTTGAAGTAGCATATCCAAATCTAGATCTTCCACTATATAAACAATATTTTAATTTAAAGGGATATTCTCTGGATGATCTCTCAATTAAATAGCTATATTCATTTGAGAGTCTCTTTTTACTATCAAAAACTAGAATTCATATGATCAAATATTAGTCTAAATTAGTTTATACAAATGATATTTTAAATTGGTACCAAATTTTTAATTAACTTTTCAGCTGTATAAAGTCTTTTAAATTTTATCAAATCTTTATTACCTTAATTTTATCACTATCAGATTATGATGAAGTTCTGCTCCTTTAATTACTGGTATATAATAGTCACAATAAATTAATAGAAAAACTGTATGGGTTGGTTAAATAACATACAAAATTTGCATGCATTATACATTAAATCTAACAATAAAATTTAAGAATTTAATTATATTTTTTGTACGATTTTCGAGGTGATATTGTTATATTCATCCAATACCAAATATTACCAAATAAAATTCAGATTCCCATTGAATTTGACTTGAAATGAAACAATGTAAAAATGATTGCCTTATTATCATAATTGCAAAAATTACAATATAAAAATATATTAACTTTTTCAACTTACATAAAAATATGAATTAATATTAATAATATTTATTATCATTCATTGTCAACATTAAAACTCCTTTTATACAAATATTCTGCCTATTTTTATAATATAGTTTAAATACTAAAAATTCAACTGGATCATCTGGTAGAATATGTGCCACTTCCACTAATCCTTCATTTAATACTGGCACTACAAATTCCATTAAATAGTTTCTAAAAGGAAATTGTTTGACTTATTATAACTCTTATTCTTGTTCCTATATGTAAGTTGTATATTTTGTAACCAAACCTTATCTCTTATCTTTTTTCACTTTTGTAATCTCCTTCCAAATTTATATAGATTATTTTCTTGTATATTTAATTGTTAAATCTTTAATTCTCTATAAATTGAAATATTAAATTATTAATTCTTATTCATTTTGTAAATAATTATAAGGTCTTCCATTCTAATAATCTAAAATAATAAATTACTCTTTCAATATAAATTCTCAAATCTTCAAAAGTGTCATGATTTGTTTTCTTTCTTGGATCAATGAAATAAGCATCTAAATTTCTTTCACTAAAGAAATTAATCAATTTTCTGTTATAATCAAAATGATCAGTTTTGCCTAATGGTTTGATTACTATATAANTCTGGATGATCTCTCAATTAAATAGCTATATTCATTTGAGAGTCTCTTTTTACTATCAAAAACTAGAATTCATATGATCAAATATTAGTCTAAATTAGTTTATACAAATGATATTTTAAATTGGTACCAAATTTTTAATTAACTTTTCAGCTGTATAAAGTCTTTTAAATTTTATCAAATCTTTATTACCTTAATTTTATCACTATCAGATTATGATGAAGTTCTGCTCCTTTAATTACTGGTATATAATAGTCACAATAAATTAATAGAAAAACTGTATGGGTTGGTTAAATAACATACAAAATTTGCATGCATTATACATTAAATCTAACAATAAAATTTAAGAATTTAATTATATTTTTTGTACGATTTTCGAGGTGATATTGTTATATTCATCCAATACCAAATATTACCAAATAAAATTCAGATTCCCATTGAATTTGACTTGAAATGAAACAATGTAAAAATGATTGCCTTATTATCATAATTGCAAAAATTACAATATAAAAATATATTAACTTTTTCAACTTACATAAAAATATGAATTAATATTAATAATATTTATTATCATTCATTGTCAACATTAAAACTCCTTTTATACAAATATTCTGCCTATTTTTATAATATAGTTTAAATACTAAAAATTCAACTGGATCATCTGGTAGAATATGTGCCACTTCCACTAATCCTTCATTTAATACTGGCACTACAAATTCCATTAAATAGTTTCTAAAAGGAAATTGTTTGACTTATTATAACTCTTATTCTTGTTCCTATATGTAAGTTGTATATTTTGTAACCAAACCTTATCTCTTATCTTTTTTCACTTTTGTAATCTCCTTCCAAATTTATATAGATTATTTTCTTGTATATTTAATTGTTAAATCTTTAATTCTCTATAAATTGAAATATTAAATTATTAATTCTTATTCATTTTGTAAATAATTATAAGGTCTTCCATTCTAATAATCTAAAATAATAAATTACTCTTTCAATATAAATTCTCAAATCTTCAAAAGTGTCATGATTTGTTTTCTTTCTTGGATCAATGAAATAAGCATCTAAATTTCTTTCACTAAAGAAATTAATCAATTTTCTGTTATAATCAAAATGATCAGTTTTGCCTAATGGTTTGATTACTATATAAGATTCAGGAAAGAAATCTTCTGGTTTTGGACCACCTTCTTATTCCTCCTCTTATTACTCTTCTTCTTATTATTCTTCTTCTTATGCTTCCTCTTATTATTATTCTTCTTATTATTATTCCTCTGGCTATTCTTATTCAATTGGATCTCCATTTTCATCTACAGCAGGTTCCTAAGGTTGTTTATTTTCTTCTTCTTAAACAACTGGTTTTTTTTTTGGCTTTTTTTTCATTTTAAGTTTCTATTTATTTGGATAAAAGATAAAATCAGCCTCTTCAAAAAAGTTTGGAAAATTCTATAAAATAAATCCTCTATTTTAACAATCATTTTGACTCAATCTCCATTTAATTACTTTATAATATATTTTCAATTATTCTGACAATTATGCAGGAGTTTAATTATTAATATATTCTTATATAGCAGGCCATAATTCATTAAAATCTTCTTAGATTTCTGATGGGAATACATAATTTGGATCTTAAGCATCTTTAAATATTTATTCTTAATTAATCACTGGAATTCTATAATGATCACTAATCATAGTTAAAATATCTTAAAATCTCATATTTTCAGCTTTAGATTCCATTATTATTTTAATAGGTCTTAATTTATGTATTGATGTGAATTCTTATAATATTTTCTTAGCATTAAAAGCAATTCCTTTTTCACAATGCCATTCAAAATCAGATGGAGTTTCTTCATTTCCAATAAACATTTAAGATGTTTTGCAATCCAAATGTAATCTAAAACAATCCATTTCTTCTGGAGTGAAATCTTTAAAAAAATCATCATTTTATTCAATCCAACCACTTCCAACTCCAGTTGCTATTCCTTGAATTATAGCTTTTTATGTTCTATCTTAAGTATTATCAACAGCAAAAATATAATTTGATTCTGGAATAGATTCAGATACTTTGATAATCATTTTTACTAAATCAGTTATATGAACTGTGGGAACTTTATTATTACCATCTGGTTAATAACTTAATTTATATGGTTATTACAACCATGCTTTCTTATTATTAATTTGAATGCTTTACTTTAAAATATTTTTAAAAGAGTAACTCTCCTTTTCCATATATTAATCCTGCACAAACAACAATTACTTTTAAGTTATCCTTCTATAAACTTAATACCATATCTTCCCAATCTTTCAATTATGAATATTGAGCTGAAGCACTTCTCAATTTATAATCACTTTCTTCCCAAGGTACATACTCTATAACCTCAGGAACTTCATTAATTGGTTATTATTAAATCTATTATTATTCTTATTCTTATTCTTAATTTTCATCCTCTTTTGGCTCTTGATTTTCTTCTGCTTCTTCCTTCTTTTATTATTATTCTTGTTATTCTTATTATTCTCCCTCTTATTCTTCTTCTAATTTTTTTTCAACTTTTGGTTTTACTTTATCTGGCATTGCACTCCATGTTAAAACAGTTGAAACTAGAATAAGAACCTTTTAATAGGAAAGATTTATACCTTCTATTCTTCTAATGTAGTTTTGCTATTCCTAAAGATATCACATACAAAATCTAAATCTTATTGAGTTGCAGAGGCTACATCATACACATATACATCGCATTCTTCAAGCATTTTTTTTCTAGACAACTTGGGCTTGTATCTAACATATCAAATTTTCATACCGTTTCAATATTTTCTTAAAACCTTTTGGAGGCATCTTATTTGGATCATCAATTTTATATGTTGCCATATGAACACCTTCCTCAGTATCTTCTTTTACTAATTATGAATAGAATTCTTAGCCCAATGGACTATCTAAATTATTGATAAAATATCTCTTTGACATTGAAAAATTTTATTTTATTTTATAATTAAATATAAAAAAAAGTAAATATTGAAAATCATGCTATTCAAATATTCTTTATAATCTTTTTCTATTAAATTTATGGTATTTGATGTTATTTAATAATTTTGTTCTTCATTTTTTTTGAGCGATTCAGATATTTTTATTTTGTTTCAACTTTTTTTTAAAATCCTTTTAATCCCTCCAAATAATCTATTTCACCTTATTAAGCTATTAAGTGGAGTTCATAATTTAGATCATAACATTAACTAGAATCAGAAAGGGTTTCTGAATTTTAATTGTCTTCATTTTCTGAATTCTATTATTTTTTAATAATTTTGATTTCTGAAGGGACTGTTTCTTATTGAATAAAGTCATTAAATAAGTAGATCTATTTATTTTCTTCTTTGTTCTTTTTATGACTTAGAGTATCTAGTTCACAAATCCCAAAATTTTAAAGAATGCATTTTCCTGAAAATTCTTCTGATAGACTTTGGAATTCTTCAGCATTATTTTCAAAATCAGTTAATCCATTATTATCTTCATCTAAGACTGATTTGATATTATTTTGTATTGTCTTTTTAGTTTTTCTTACAATAGCCCTTATATAACATCTATCTTATGTATTCATTAATTTTTATTATGATCTTGTGCATTTCAAAATGGATTATAAATAACTGAAATTCTATTTAATAATTCTAATAAGTTTATTCTAAATATACTTTATGATAGAGTTTTGATTTATCATTAAAGGGAGATAATAAATTTTCATTATCTATTAAATTATCCTATACTTTATCTTTGTGTGGAATTATTTCTTAAAAAGAAAATAAGTTCAAATGTTTTAACTATCTTTATTTTAATAGATTGTAATTATATAAAGATTTTGAAATGTATTTAAGTATTATGATAACTATTAAAAAATATAGATAATAAAATTATTTATTCATAGATCCATTGATTTTATTCATCTATGTTATTAATTTTATTTAACATTTTTATTTTAATTATTTTAAGTATATAAATAAGAGATGAGATTCATTAATAAGAATATTAATTTATAAGATATTCATTAATCATCTTTTAAGCATTCCAATTATGTTTTAATAATTATAATTATTCTTATGAGATTATAATTTATTGTTCTTATTTAATTTATGCATATTATTGAATTTATAATAAATTATTAATTTAATTAGTTCCTCTTTAGATTTTAGGTTTTATTATAAATTCTGTTTTCTAAATCACAGGATCTGAGCCTTTACGTTTTCCTCTTTTTTCTGGTAATAATTATTCACTAACATCTGAAGTAGTTGATTAATTTTCTTTTTTAGAATAATATGTGGAAGAGGTCTCAGCAGTTGACCATTTTAATGATTTTTACTTTCCTTTAGATAAAATCCATATTTCTTCACTCATAATTTCATCATTTTCATTAGTAATATCTTCACTATCATATTATTATTCTGATTTTGTAGCTTTAAATTCTTCTTCTTAAGATTAATATTTTTCTCTATGATATTAATTTTTAAAAACATAAACTTCAGCCTTTAGATTTAATTTATCACAAATTAAATAATGATTTCCAACTTTACAATCAAACTTACATTATTCTTCTACTTTTAATGGCTTACTCTTTTATTGAATGAATGTAAATGTCAATCCCTCTTCTTGTTTATTTTTAATAATCAGTTTATCCGTTTTTAAGAGATATAACCTACACGGAATCAACTTTTCATTGGAAATGGTAATCATTTATTAAATAATTATAAAATATAAAAAATGTTTTCAATAATTTAAGGAAATATATTTCATTATAAAGCACAAGCAATTGCCATACCCTCAGATAGAGACTTATAACTTAGCCCTGGTTTAAGATAACTAGCATATGATTACTTTGGTTTCTAAAATATCTAATAACCATGCGATGCATATTTATAAAAATAAAAATCTGGCTTTATTTATTATTCATAAGCGATTACAATACCTATAAATCACAAAGACTTCAAATAAATTATCCATTGTATTCTTCCAAAATATGATCAAAAATCACCGAATTAATCAATTTCATTATTAAGAAAATAATTCGAAAATATGTATTAAATCTATTAGAAATTAGTTTTAAATAAATTTATGAGTATTAAATAAAATCTATTTTAATACCAGTGCTTGGATGTGGTAGTGCAGAATATAGTATAGATGAATCATTAATGAATTTTGGAGATGCTTTTTAAATGTATAGAGATAAGATAATTAATGTACAAATTAAATTGGTTGTATTTGATAAAGAAGAATTTCTATTTGCAAAAGATTTTTTATAACATTTGCTATAACCTGATATCCTTAAATAAGAAACTTAATAATTAAACTAAATCTAATAAAAAGTTGATATTTCTCATCCATAAAAGATATAATAAAAAATGATATTTGAAGAATTTAATGATGATAATGAGAATGATTATAAAAATCATATAATGAATTAAAATTATCAAAAAATCAATTAGAAATCTAATAATATAAATGATAAAGTTAAAATGGAATTAGAAGAAATTAATTAAAATGATTAATTCTAATAATTTTAAGTAAATAATTAATTACCTTTAAAAGATTATCATAAAAGAAAATAGTTAAATTAATAAGAATCCTAAAATAATATGTCTCCTTAAATATAATAAACAACCTCTACCCATAATTAATCAAATACAATTGTTTCGAATTAACCTATATAATTAAATTAAATAAATCAAATCTAAAATCAATAACCTATTTTATAAGATTTTCCTCCAAAATAGGAGAATAAGATTCTTATTACTTTATATGTTGAAATACCTGATAGTACATTAGAAATAATATAGAATCAAATGGATCTAATAAAATTCATGCTAGAGGTTTGTTAAGATCTAAATAAACTTCATTAAAAATTATTGCAAAATGATAAAAATTTAGAATGCACTAATAAATCATTTTAATATAAACTGTATTATAAATTATCTAAGAACCTTAAAGAACTTCAACCGTTTTGTCCTATTGAAATGAAAGATAGTTAATATGTATCTGAGACACATGATTCATATGCAATTGGTATACTTTTCAAAAGCATGATAGATACAAAATTTAAAAATGTAAAAGGTATATAAATAAATTAAAATAATAGATTAATAAATGATTGAAATTCAATAATTTTTGGAAAAACAAACTTCTGATACAACTTCTGAAAGATCATAAATTAACTAAATATTCGATTATTTATTATCACTTTCATAAAATGAAGAGTTAAATGAAAATTATTTTTAAACCTAAATAAAAATGAAATCTTGTTATAATAATAGTACATTGTTAAAGATTTAGAATCTAAAAAAATAAATGATGGAAATAACTACAAAAAATATAATAGATTAAAAATTATAGTAGAATTTTTTTTAAGAAACTTATGTTAAAAAAGGAGAAGAATTATTTTAAGAATTAAATATTAATAAAAAAGATTCATTTTAACATATAAATGAAAAGATTGATAATTAATATCAATAAATTTATGAAAAGACAGAGAATTTATCTTAAAATAATAATTAATAATAAGATGATTAATTTTAAGAACTAAATCTAAAATCAAATTTTAAGAATTAAAATTAATTTTAATAAAATAGATCATTAAACAACAGTGAATTTAAATTAAAAGAATCAAAATTTACTAAAATTGATTGTGTTGCAATTCCTGTTGATAAATACAAATTTAAATAAAGCTTACCTTTTTTTATTAAATTAGAATCTTTGGATAATGTATTAGAAGACATTGTAAATTTAGCTTAAAATGATAAAGAACATTTCTTATAATCAGTAAAAACAAATGTACCAACTTTTGGTTGTAATTATGTCTTATTAGTATTTGGTCCATCTCAAAATACTACAATTGGAAGATAGATCTAATTAGCAAATTGTTTCAGAGATATGTAATTATTTTCATAAACTCAGATTTTTGTATACTTTAAAGTGTTTAAAGCTATCTACTTGTTGCCTTTGCTTAGATGATATATATAATAATTTAATAGTAGATCAAACAGATTTACCAACTGATACATTAAACATTGCTTTTGATGAAGCAATTAACAAATATCCTGAATAATTAAGTTATAATTAAATAAAATTTAATAATAAAATATGGATTGTTATTAAAAAAGGTATATTAATGATTTATAATTTAGATCCTCTGAAATTTAAATTGCTTAAAACATCAGTTTCTATTTATAAATAAGATATTACAGAAATAAAAGGTGTTGATGTTATTGTAAATGCAGCTAACAATTAACTAATTAAAGGAGGAGGAGTTTGCGGATCTATTTTTCGTGCTGCAGGTGAAAGATATTTAGAAAATGAAATCCAATAGAAGTTTTTTGAAATTGGGAGAAATTCAATAGATACTTCTGAAGTTTTGGTTACTAAAAGTTACGATTTAGAATAAGAATAAGGACCAAAATATATATTTCATGCTGTTGGTCCTGTATATAATCTTTAAGAACCTTAGAAGTCAGCTGATTAGTTAAGTAAATGCCTTTTTAATATGTATATTTATATATAATTAAATCATTAGATTACAAAAATGTTAAGAATATGGAATATCATCAATTGCAATTCCAATTATGTCTGCAGGAATTTATGGGTTTCCAATATTTTAATGTGCTGAAGTCTTTCATTCAACACTTCTAAATTTTAACTTTTAAAAACCGCTTTCAATACATATAGTTGATGTGCTTGATGAAAAAATTGAAATATTTTAGATTATTTTTAAAGGTGAAAAATTAAGGGAAATTATTCATTCTAAATTAGAGTTTGCTCCTCCAACTGATTGTTTAGTAGGCCCAATCGATCTTAAATTTCATAATTCTGGGGTTGTTAAAAAAATTATTGAATTAGCAGGACCATCTTTTAAAAATGAATTAGAATTAAAAATTAAAAATTACTAAATGAAAGATGATATCCAATTTGGTTAAAGCTTTTTAATTCAAGGCTATAAATTAAAATTTAATAATATCTATTAAGTATTATTGATATCTCCACCTTTAAATTTGACTTTAAATAAATCTTGTCTATTATACTAAGTTTTTTAAAAAATGTAAATAATTTCATCTATTTTAGTTTGGTTGAGACATTTCAAAATAAAAAGTTCTCTTCCATTACAATATTGATTTATGGTATACTTCAATAATGTTTAACAAATGAAGAAGATTTAAAAACATATGATGGAACTAAAGCTATTAATATATTTTTATAAGTCATCCAGGATTACTAATAAAAATTTAATCAAAGATGTGGGAAAATCACAATATTATCAAATGTAGCTTAATTTTGCAGTGAATGTGAATTAATTTTTAAATGAATTAAATATATATTCTGATTTCTTTAATTTTAATATTCAATAATCCTTTGATATAAATAATAAAATTTAATTTATGGGATTCATATAAATATAATTAATATGCCATTTACTTTTTGAAAGAAAACTATTATCTATAATCCTTAGATTAATTATTGATTTGTCACCTTAATATGTTTTGATATTTTATAAGATATCCAAAATTTCATTTAATTGATTTTATGAAGTACTTACTTCATTTAAGTTTTTTTTTATGAGCCTCTATAAATATGCTGTATGCTTAGATTAAATTGGCTTTAATATTTTATGATCTTAAGATTTGCCTTTATAAAGGTTTGAAAGATTTTTTGGATAAAAATTTAAGATTGATTCCTGGGTATATATATGTGTAAATATGTAGAGAGAGATATGTAGAAATATTATAAATATAGTGAATGAATATAATTAATTTTCTTAAAGTTAAAAATAGAATTATCATTATTTAATAAAAAACTGAACTTAGATAAGCTCATAGTATTAAATGATAATAGATACATATTAATCCTATTTAGATATAGATAGTACTAAATTATGGATTGTAAGATGAGATAATTATAAATTGTAACCTTTCCAAAATACCGGTAGGTATACATAAACTTTTGGGAAGGGATATGTTAAATGTAATTTATTAATCGAGTATGTAAATATTAAAAGTAAAGGCTTTTAATTCTTAGCATCAAACAACCCAAAATTTATATTGTGGGGATTTAATTTTACTACTTAATAATTAAATTTACAATTAAATTTAATGAAAATCACAGAATTTAGTAATTTAGAGTAATCTTAAACTGATTCTAGACCATCAACTCGTCCTATTTCAGCCTCAGAAACTTCATGCTTGAAAATTGGAAAAAACAATATTGAAATCTTAGAAGTATATTACATATTTAACTTATTAGAAAAAATATAATAAAATGCTGACAATTAGCATTGATGATATAAAATTAATGACATGGATAAAACAGTAAATTTCAATCTCATTATTATAGTGAGGATACCTATGAAGTAACATTTGAATATAAACAGAAATTTCAGGATAAATTTTTTTTTGACTTATACAGTGGGAGATTAGGACACAAAGCCCTTATTACTTAAATTGCATAAGATAATTTTAATTATAACTACTAAAGACTTGAAACTATTAAAAAAATACAAAATGGGGAGGTACGTAAATTCTAAATATTATAAAAGATTATCAAATGTCGCAAACGAGAAAATAATGATATATTTGTTGCAAAAATACAAAGAATTAATCATTTTCTGATAGAGAGAGAACTACAAATTAATTTACACATTGCTTAAAATCCTCATGAAAATGTAGCGAGTATTGTTGAATACTATTTTGAAAATGATCAAATAATATTCATTTATCCTTACTTTTCAGGAGGTACCTTAAATTAACTTGTAAATTCTAATTCTAAAGACCTAAGCAAGATTAAAGTGAAAACAATAATGAAAAAAATTTTATCTGGTTTAAATCACATACATAGTCTTGGAATTATACACAGAGATATAAAAATGGATAATATTATGTTAGAAGATGTTAATGATCATAAAAGTATTAGAATAATTGATTTTGGATTTTCAGCATTCAAAGATAATTTAAATTATTTATGTGAAAAATGTGGAACTATTGGATACTTTGCTCCTGAAATAATTAATGGATAATTTTACAATCAAAAATGTGATATATACAGTTTAGCTTAAGTCTTTCATATGCTATTAACAGGAAATCCTATGTTCGATAGAAATTTAAACAGATAATAAATTATTAGGTTATCTAAAAATAATTTATTTGCTATTGATTATAGAAATGTCAAAGAGAACAAGGCATAATCACTATTATTCAAAATGTTAGACTTTTAAGATAAAAGATATGATGTTTTATAATGTTTAGAACATCCCTTTTTCTTTAAATCTGAAAATTTAGAATCAAAGTAATTTTTTTATTGATTTTTAGAATTAAAAGTGTCGAAACCTTTAAGTTCAAGTCTCCCTTCTGAAAATCTGCTTTTTATGAACATACATGTTTAATTGCATTTTTTTATTTTTTTATATTAAACTTTTATACATAAATTTTATATTGAAATTGCTTATGACACCATTCTCAATTTAATATTAATCAGTTAATAAAATTATTATTAATTTTTCAAATAGGGAATTTAGAATATTCTCAATAATACTATCATAGTCATGGTGTTATTATTAAACTAAGGAATTCTATATTGATATGAATAATTTAATTTTTTTTATATTCTATTTTGATAATTTTTAGATTTTTAGAGAAGGTTCTGATTTTGTTTTTGGGTTAATTCAAACAAAATTGTTTGGAAAATTAGAATTTAGAATTATTATTCCATAAATTACTAATAGTGGCAATTATTATTACTAATCAGGTTAGTAATAATACTCCAAAAATATAAATAAATGTTTTACTTTATTACAATAGCATTCTTGATTCTCTACTAAGGAATTACTCTAACTTAAAAAAACAAAATCATGAGACTTATTTGGATTGTTAAAAACTCATAGTATTTGCTATATCCAATTACTCTGTGATTTTTATTATTAAGGATGGAAGAAAAAAATAAATTTTATTCAAATCAAAATTTCGAACGTTTTTAATATTCAAAATAAATACTTCATATTAAAATTGCTTTTTTAATGATTATTTAAAAAATATTTATCATATAGCTAAAGGATCACTCTCTGTTTTATAGCTTTTTTTAATGTTTTTTGAAATAATCATAATATATATATAATGTTGATTAGAAATTATTCATAATAACGTATGTTTAATTACAAAAAGAAAAGCTATAAAAATATTTAATCCTACTAAAACACAAATACATTTTTATGCTCTGTCACTAGTTTCTTATTTTGTATTTGCTTAAACTAATTATTCTTTTCCTTTTTTAATTCTTGTGAAGGTTTGATCTATATTGAAATCAATTCTATCCAATAATGTACCTTATTCTATAACTAATCTATTCATTTCTTTAAATAACTCATTCATTTTTTTCAATTTTTCTCCTAATTATTTAATTCTATCATTTCTATCCAAAATTAAAGTTTCAAAATATTCCTATTCAAAATCAACTTTTAAATTTTGTGATGGTCTTTCTAATTGAACTTACATCATCATTTAATTTTAATAATTTCTTAATTATGGAGTGACTTCTTTTAAGGATATGCCCAAACACATTTTTGCATTTTATTTAATTTTATATTCAAGATCATTTTCACAATCATCTGTTTCCATAATTTATAAATTCTCTTCTATATCTCTAATCATCTACTATACTCAGATTTTAACCTGTAATGCTTAATCAAGTTTCCCTTATATTACTTATTCATTAAATTGTGCTTTAGGTCCAACATCCTTTGATGTTTTTAACCTCTCAATTTCTTAATTAAGAATTTCAACTTTTTATATAGTATCTCTTGTTTCTTCCATTTTGTCTACCCATTATGGAGGTAGTTTATATATCCTTTTACTACTATTTATATCTGGTGATTTGTATTTCTATTTCTTCAATTATAATTCCTTAGTTCTATTTTTTATATAACCAATTGATCTTTGCATAATTTCAAATTAATAATATAATAATAATCATTTATTATGAAAAATAAAGCTAACTCTTAAATCCCATTTCCAATAGCCTATAATAAAATGAACCATTTCCAATTGCCATTACTTGGAAAGAAGAAAAGAAAAGCTCATACTAAAAATCCTTTTAAAACAAAAATATACTATATACCTGATGACACTGTTATGAGAGTAAAATGTTTAGACGGTTTCTTAATGATAAATGTAACTAATAATGACAATCCACATGAAATTATTAGAGCTAATTTATCAAGTTTAGTATTTGTATAACATATTTAGGACTACGTATATAAAGTAGTAAACCTGAAGATTTTTAATATTTTCTAAATTTGTAAGATTTAGATGTTTCTGAGAATTAATTACAATTAGAAGATTTAACATCATTTCCAGCTTTGAAAATTTTAAAGATTTGTGCAAACAACATTAAAAATATTGAAATTACTCATAAGAATACATTTGAATAATTATAACATCTTGATTTATCATTTAATTATTTAACAAAAGAAGCTATAAGTTCATTAAAACATATTACAGAATTAAAGGAATTATATTTAGTTAGAAATGAATTACTTGAATTGCCAACAGATATGGCAGAATTTACAAAATTAGAATTATTAGATATAAGTGATAATGCATTTTAATCTAATTAAACAGCATCAGTTTTATGGGAAGTGTTAGGATAGATACCTGAACTTAAAACATTAAATATAAGTAAGAATTTTTTAAGAGGTATTCATACTGAAAGATTGGTTGTTGGATATTTTAATAAATTAGAAACTTTAGATTTTTCTTATAATATTGCTGAAAATTAACATAATCTAATATGTGCCCGTAATTTTACTAATCTTAAAAAAATTATTATTACAGGAAATCCATTTGGAATTACAAGAGATCATTAAGGTTTGGAAATGGAAATCCATGCTAGAACAGGTGGTATTTTAATTAATGAAGAAATTGAAAAGTCTTATCTTAAAAAACCTAAGGTTAAGAAACCTCCTTGTAAATTTGAATAATTAAAAAGAGTTGAAAATGATATTCTTAAATTACCAGCTATTGAATAATCTAAAGATGGATTCTTATTATAAAATGAAGAAGAATAATCATAAATAGATGAGAATTAAGAAGATAATATGTTTGTAACTGAAAATTAATAAATTAAATAATAATAATAAAAAATATAGTAATAATATTAATTATTAAATAATAATTAAAAACCATAATCATATGAAGAATTTAAAAAATTAGCTTAAGAAATATTAGGTGATAGTAAAGAATATGATTAAAATTAAAATACTTCTGGAAGACCAGTATTAGATTTAACTAAAGCATATCAATAATTAAAAAGTGTTATAAATAAACCAGAAGTTGTAGATTATGAAGATTATAAAGAACCTAATTATATGAAACCTACAGCAAGTATTCCAAGATATAAATATTAATGTAAATATATATATATATTATATTTATAATAGAAGTTGATGATCCAGAAGATGAAAGCATTTAAAAAAGAACTGACAATAATATTAATTCTGAAGAAAATGAAGACTTTAATCTTGAATTATTATAGTAAGGGTAAAACTAACCACATATTTAATAATGATCTAATGCGTCATTGTTTGACATTTTTTACAATTCAAATAATTTAATTTTTTAATAATATTTAATATTAAACAAGTAAAGATGGGAAATGCTAACTCTGATCAATTCCATTAAAATAGAAATTAGTAATCTAAAATCACTACAAATTCAGTCTAGTGTGATACAACTAATTCAGATGACTTCAAAGATTTAAAATCTATAGAAAGACAAATGTATTCCATCACTAAAAATCCAATAGTGTAAAGACGAAAATTGAAATAAAACAAACTCAAATCAAATAAACTCTCTTTACTCACTTATGAAGCTTTTGGAGCCTATTATTGACTTAAACTGTATGAAATCATATAATCTAAAAATGATTTATTGCTTTTAAATCTTTATACAAAATTTAATAATATAATTAATTATCATGTTAGAAAATATATTATATCTTATATAATTATCAAACATAAAATTACAAAATTGAGTGATCTTTATGATAAAAAAATAGGTCTTAATTCAATTATTATTTAATTGAGTTTGATTTGCAGAGTAATACAAAAAAATGCTGGAACACAAAGTTAATATTAAAATTTTATATTATGGAACTGTACCAATATTTATAGATGCTACAATAAAGGAATTCTAGATATATATTTATGTTTTCATAATCTATTTTTATAATTATTAACCAATCCTTAGAGTTTAAAAACAATTTTAAAGTTGAATTTAAGAATTTCTAAAGGATAGTATTCAAAATATTATAATTAATTATTGATATAGAATATAAAGAATTATCAAATATGAATGGTTTATTGAGAATGATAAGCAATTAAAAAGTTATTAGAATTCATTGATGACATTTTATTTAATTTTATATTATTTATTCTTAATTAACGATCTTAGAAAAATCATAGAAATCAAAAAGTAAATGTTATACAAATATTTTTATATCATTTCTTGATTATCTAACCTGATGGATTAATAATATAAATTTGAACAAAGATATTATTGAATAAAATTTATGAAAAATGAATAGTTTAATACTCTCAAATGGGTTTATTAAAAAAGAGGAGAATTAATTATATAAAGAAAGAGTTAGTATATATAAAGATATGAAGCAAGGACAATTCGAATATTTTTATTTCGTTAATGATAAATTAATAATAAATATATGATTTAAATCTATATTTCAAATAGTTAAATTAAAGAGGACAATCAAAAAAGAAAAGGTATACAGATACGAATATAATATCTTATGCTGATATCAAAGAGTAGTTTGATAAATATTTTAATTAATTACTATTCTCATAAAAATACACAAGAATTTTTATCTAAATGGATTTTTAATTATTAGATGTTATATATAATTCATTTATTTAATTACAATATCATGAAATTTTTTCCTTTATTTATGATATAGATAAATTAATATGAAAAACATCTTAATAATTCTAAAATATCATTTATCAGATTGTCTAGAAATTATAAATTGTAAAATTTGAAATATCAAATTAATTTTAAAAATAATGGATGCAAATTAAATTCAATAATTTAAAAATAATTATTATTCCAAATGGGAAATAACTAATCTTAAAATAACTAGTCAAAATTAAAAAAGAAAGATGATCTTATATTTTTGTTTAACAATAACAAAAAACAAAAGTATTTATTTAATCAAATATTTTCTAGTGTTTTTTCTAAATTATCATTAAAAACATTGTCACTTCTAACTAGTTTTTTGAGTATTTAGGAATACTATAACATTTTATTAACTTCCAAGGAAACCTATTAATTGTTTATTTAAACATCAGGTTGTTTTCAAATTGAATGTCACAGACTTTTAAATATTAATGATAATTTGATGATATCATAAAATTGGAAAAAAATTATCTAAAGCCTTTTATTCATTCCAATTAAGGCATTACCTTTTAGAGAGTCAATAAAAAGTGTTAGGTAAGAGTTAAAACAAATTCCAATTTTATTAGAACATAAAGTTGCTTATAGTGGATTTTAGAAAGCCATTCTATATTTTTAAAATAATTCAACTTTTGATAATTAAGTTTTATAATATAAAGAATATTAAGAATCAAAATAATTTGCAATATAAAATCAGGATTTAGTTTTAAAAGTTAGACAAGGACTGGATGTATATATATAATTACCATCATTACTCATGTAAGTTTACAATTTGCATGATTATATAAAAATATATGGTCTCTATTTAGAAATCAAATTTTGTAAATGTAACTTAAAACAGTTTATTTAACTTTGGAATCATTATAAGAGTTGGATAAGTGTATTAGAATAGGAAACTGATAATATTATAGCCTAATTTAATTATATAATAAATGCTGCTTTTCCTCTATAAAGATTACCTATTTATACAGTTAGATAATTTATGGTAAGTTAATGGTTGAGAAAATCAGATCGAGGAGAAATTATTGTAATGTTAAGAGAAGAATTTAGATTAAAAATGATTGAAAGCAGAAATAAGAATATTAAATTTCAAGAATTGAGAGACTATGTCTAATATTTAATAGAAATTAGTACAAATTAAATCAATATTCATTAATATGGATACTATAATTTTGAATATTGTCAAGAAATAAATACATTAGTACATTTAGCAGTAGATTTAAGTCCACTATTAACAATTAATTATTAAAGTGATGAAAGTATGCTAATCTATATATTTGGTTAATACATTTATGATTATTAAATATTTGAATTGTTATTCAAATTTAGAATTGAATAATTCAAATAATAAATTAAGATTCATTAGTAAGCAAGTCAAAAATTCAATTAAATTTTAGTTTAAAAAGTTGAAGATTAGTAATCTCTCCATAATAATAATCTCTTTGATAATTAAATATAGGAATTTAATTATCATTTATCTATGTAATATGATGTTGAACTAAAAATAAAATCTCTATTCAAATAAATCTCTTATTCAAATGATAATATTTGTACTATTTCTCATAATAAATAAGCTGAAAGTTTATAGGCATCGAAAATATCATTAGCATCTACTAATTGCAGCTCTTTTTTTTAAAGTTTTATAATTAATGATTAGTTATATCATTATGTTAAATTTAATTAACAAGAACTTTTCAATTAGATTTAACTATTTTATCAAAGAGGAATTGCAATTAGTTATTATTAACAGGAAATTGAACCAGAAAATAACAATATTTATGATATCCCTGAATTGGGATAGTATTATGAATTAACATTTCCATAACTATTGCAATTATTTTCGGATAAAATTTAACGATCTAATTCTATATAATATTTTAAAAGACAAATATCAATATCTATTTTTGATCAATAATTAAATCAACATCAAATACACACTAAACAACTTTCCTAGACTGAATAGCTGTTGATCAATATACTTAAATGAATATTTATTTTAATATAATTATATCCAATTAGAATATTTGTTGTTCTTATATTTATTTTGGTAATAGTAATTATAATTTATACAAAACATTAAGTCAAAATAAATTGGTAATGGACTCATCTTTAGTTTGCCAAGCATTCAATTCATTCCATTATTCTGAATTTCTTACTCTTGGCTTTAGCAATGCTGTATACCGTCGTAGAAGTGGCTGAGGAGTGGCAGCAGTACTTCTATCTAATCTTTCGATAGCATCAGTAGGATATCGAAAATAACATTTTCTAATTACTTTTGGGTTCCTAGGGTAATTAAGGAAAAATGGATTATTCTCATGAGAATTAACCATACGTTATAATCCTTACATATTAAGAATATGAGATTCTTTTAATTCTTCTAAAATTTGTTTTCCTTTTTAATCTGTGAACATATCATGAGGTGATTACTATCTATTATCCTTAAATATTTTAATAAGTTTTGATTTCAGAGATTGGATTTTGCTATTAATTTAATGTGATTCCTTGAGCTTAATCACTTTATTTTTTGTATATGCTTAGAATTAAGTTTCTAAAGGTTGATGATTGATATATCGACTATGAATTTTAGTAGATTTAGGTTCTTCACTAAAATTTAGCTCGAAAATACTTTGCTTTTTAATTCTGAAAGCTTTATCTGGGGTCAGATTACGCATTGAATAATATTTAAATATAATAATAAATAACTCTTATCAACAGCTTTAAAGTGATTTTAAATTTTGAAAATTTCTCTATTTATCATCTCACTTCTTAAATTCTGTTCTGATTGTTCTTTATTAATTATTATTCTTTAGATTGGAAAATTAATAAATTAACAATTTAGAATAAATGCTTAAGTCTGAAACCCGTTATTGATTGTAAATTAAATATATATATATATATATTTAAATTTCAGATTATGTTTTTTAACATAAATAGTATACTCATTCATAATGAAATATATATAATTTTAAAGAATAAAAATTTAAGATTTTCTTTATTCTTCCAAATTGAATTATATGCTGGAATTTTATTCAAAATATAAATTATTTATAAAATTCAATACATGGCTCAACCCTATGTCCCTTAAGAAATCAATAAAGAGGAAGAGGAATTGAAATGTCATCCATCTTAAAGTGGCTCAACTGCAACTCCTACATTATATGAGAATTAAAATGCTACAAAAGCATTTAGTGCAGCATTTTTTGAAGATCAACTACTGGATTAAGAAGGTTTTTATTATTTTAATATATTTTTATAGATGATCTATTTGATGAAATTAACTAATAATTAAACTAAGTATTGATTAATGACTCATACAGACCTTCTCTTATATCAGCATTTTAAGCTGACATGTAATTTAGAATGGTTAATCTATTAGGTCATCATACTTAAGTCATGAGAAGTTGACAAAAAACTCTCGAAAAATGTAATTGGAATATTAAAATGCTAATTTAAAAGAAAAAGAATATGTCTTCAATACATTTGTAAAAGCTGATATAGAAAATATAAGTTTGGATAAATATAAACATTTCCTTCTTGAAAAAATACTTGAAGTTGGTAAATTATTATCAAATTACTTTTAGGTCCTCCTTCACACAAAAATATTATACTTGATAGAATATTTCAATCAATTAATAAATTAATAAAAGACCTCTATGCTTGTAAAGTAATGCAGAAGGGATTAGAAGTGATGGTTCAAAATCCTTAAGATTCTCCTTAGTAATTTGAAAATTATCTTAATTTTATTCATTCTGATAATTCTTAGATGAGGCGATTATATGTGGATAAGATTGCAAATCAAATTATCTAAAAAAGTCTAGAAGTATTAGAAGGGAATCATTTATTCAAACTACTTTAGGTCTTGTCAAAATATGTATAATATTAAATAAAATAATAGATTCTTAATAACAATAATGAAAAATTTGAATTATCAATTGATTAATATGGATGTTTAATTGTGAATAAGATTATTGATATCTATCCTAAATAATTTGATAATTAAACTAAGACTTTATGCAATGACATCATCATTAGAGCAATTAATAATAGTTCTGGATTAACTCGAAGACAATATGCTAATTATATCATTTAATCCATTTTAGAAAAAGGTTAAGAAATACATAAGAGATTATTGATGGATTAGTATTTAATTAAGGATTTTATACCAATGTCAATGGATAAATATGGAAGTAATGTAGCAGAGAAAGGCATAGTTTATGGAGGGTCTTAGTGGAGAACAAGATTATGGGAAGAAGTAACAATTTCAGAAAGGTATCAGATATTAATTATGATTATAGTTCATTTAAGAAATTGGTTAATGATTAGTATGCTAACTATCCAATTTAAAGATTATTTGAATATTTAGAATTACCATTAAGACAGGAATATTTGGCACTTTTAAATAGATTAAGTGATAATAATTAATTGAATAATCACGGTTAGATTGTATTAAAGTTTGCTTTGGCTAATTAGAATGTTAAAAAGTATACTTAAAAGATAGTATTAAATGAAAAGAATTTAGAGAATAAAAATAAATAGAAAATATAAAATCAACAATCTTAGACAAAATCTAATAAAAATAACAGTAATAATTCTTAAAATTAGTAATAATATGAGAATGGATTAAAATAAATATAATAATAATAAATTTAATAGTAATTTTAAGTAGCTATGATGTAATAGATGATGTATTATTAATAATAGCAATAGTTATTATTCTAATAGATGCCATAATTATACTATTAAAATTAAAATTATCTAAATTATGGAGCAATGACATAAGAATAATAAATGTAGATGTATTATTGGTAGTAATAGTAATAATAATAATAATAATAATAATAATAATAATAATAATAATAATAATAATAATAATAATAATAATAATAATAATAATAATAATAATAATAATAATAATAATAATAAATTTATAATCCATATTTAAATAAAAAAAATGGACAATGAATTTACATCTATATTTAATATAATATATGTTAATTTTATTATCCTTGAAAACACAACTTTTATTAATCCATAAAATGATGTACAGAATATTTTAAGTGTCATTTTTCTTTATCCTTATTTTTTTATCTAATTTTTTCCCATAAAAAATTTAGTTGTTATTTTTTTGAATCAGATATTGTTTACAAATTCTATTGATCTGGAAGACTCTAAGTATGCTTAAGTTCTAATTGTTATTGAAATATTTCTAATGAACAAATGATATTAATTGAATTGCATGATTTAATTGATTGAGTATTAGATTTAAATTTTTACTTCTAAAATGCTGTGTCTTAATGCTCTTTGATTCTATGACTAATATTTTATGAGAAATCAGGATCATAAATATCATGTTCATTAGTTTCAAAACTAATGTCACCATCTAGATGTCCCTTAATATCTTCTAAAAAGTTCATTATGATTGGTTGATTATCTCCATCACTTTGATAGCTATTATCACTTTAATATGAATCAAAGTCATTTTGTACTTATTACTTACTTTTAGTATTTACTTTGTTCATTAATAATATAGGTTAATTTTTGCGCTTGTTATTTTATTGTTTTAAATTTAAATGAATTAAGAGATTTCAAAAGAAATATTAGCACTTTCAATTCATGTTGCAGCAGCAGCATCTTCAATTACAATACAAACTCAATAGAGAATGACTTTAGTAACAAACAGTGTATTAGAGACTGTAAGTCAAACAATGAAGATATTAAATTGTTTAATGATGTGCTCTTAGAAATAATCACATTTAGAAGCAGTAACAGAGGAACAAGAAGATGAATGTTAGAAGGATTCAAAAACAAAGGAATGTTTGGTTGAATAATTCTAAAAGACTATTTAGACTGATTGTTGTAATGTTGAAGTGATGGAAAATTAAAAGTCAAAAGAAAATTCTAATAAGAATATGAACATGAAATCATCAAGTGAATTGAGAGAATAGAGCATATTGAAATCTCATAATATTTTATCTGAAGAATATCCAAAATGCTATGTAAATGCAATAGAAAATAGCACTCCAAAATAGATAAGAAAACCATCTTTATTGTAATAACAACTCTCTTAGATAAAAGTAGATAAATAGAAAGAAGCAGAGGAATAAAGAGAGTTATTGAAATTAATAGAATCAGTAGATCCTGAAGAATTAATTCCTAAATTGAAATCTATAGAGGTTTATGATGAATAAAAATAATCTTCAAGTCATAAAGATGTATTAGTATTTTCAGATAAACAACAGATAGTAATTAATGAATAAGATGAAGAATAATAACTTATGGATTCTCCAAATAAATCAGAATGGTATGAGAGTTCTTCAGTTGAATATAGAGCAACTTCTTATAATACAAATGAATCTTCAAATTTGGATCATCATTCTTATAAATGGAGAAGTAGTAGTTTTAGAGATGATAATATAATATAAGAGTGTGGATTTCAATTTTAATCTTCAGTATTTGATTTTCCATTTCCTGAAGATTTCTGTGCTAATAGTTAAAACATTCATACAAACATATAAAATATTGAAAATAAAAATTAGCATACGCCTAAAAAAAAGAGACTTTATTGTAATAATAAGAAGGTTCCTCATTGGGCAGAAAACTTAGAAGTAATGAAATAATATAGTATATAATTAGAAAGTATCGCAGCATTAATTTTAGTAATAAAACTTATCATAGAATTAAATATTTGGAAGAATGAAATAAAGGGTTTTAGATATTGCTAAATAGTTTTCATAGAATAGATTTAACAGGAGAGGTAGTTCTGCTCATTGGCATATATCTAATGAAAAATATGAATAAATGTAAAAGTAAATGATGAAATTGCAATAAATATAAGATGAAAATATCGTTAAGTTAAAATAGCATTAATAAGATGTAAGATATGTGATCTAATAATTTCTAGTCAGTTAAAAAGAATTAAGGGATATATGCTAAAACATAATACTTTTTAACTAGTATCAAAAAAAAGATTCTAAATTCTTTTGAAAAAGAATCTAAATACAAAAAAGTTTGATAATTCTTTATATATTATTATTATTAATGATCTATTCAATATATTATAGTTTATTTTTTTTAGGAACTTGACATTTCATAAAAACTAAATGAAAAGAGAATTATTATAAATTTAGATCAATATAGAAAGATAGTCTAGAATGAATGATTTCTTAAATAATTAATTTTTGATTATTTATATTTTAAATGATAGATTGAATCATCTTCTTATAGCCAATAGAGCTAATGACATTATTGATGATAATCCAAAAAATAATGAATATGCTTAATGAGTCTATGGAGTAGGTAGAGGTTTATCAAAGTTGTCTTTGGTAGCAGGAATAGGATATAAATTAGCAGATTCTTCATCGTATTCTTATACTAATCTTTCAATATATGCAGCAGAAGAATCAGTCTATTTTAATATATATCTTTACTAAATTGAATGATCTGTATAATCTAGACATAAACCATAAATCGATATAATTATATACTCCTTCTCTTGGCCAATTTCTTCTTCCTTTAATAATATCTTCCTCTTCTCCTCTTCTCACCATGCCTACAAATTCAACAAATGGCATTTAATAATCTTCCTCCATATTGGCAATATTTCTATTGAAACCTGTCAATTAATCATCATCTTCATTATGAGGTACGTTTTCATAAGTCTTATGGAATACAAATCAATGTACTGTTGTTCCAATAGGTTCTTAACCCATTTAGATATCACTAATATTATCCTTTGGTACCCATCCTAAATTTACCATCACTTATGATTTGGTTGTTTATTCTGGATCCTGTTCAGTATCATTAAATTGCAATGCTGTAACAAAAGGTGCAAATACAAGGAATCCATCTCTACCTTCTCTTTCTCTTCTAACAAAAAATCTTTCATCCTTTCATAACATACATTCCTTACTCTAAAATATCCATATAATTTGACTAATTTATATTCCCATTTTCTTATATTTTAAGCCCAAGGATATCTACTTGCATTCAGTCCATTTATAGTAACAGGTTTCCATTCTGTAATTTCATTTTCAACTTTCTCATATAATTACTTTTGTTTTCCTCCTTTCCATTAATGCCAAGCACAACCATAAGCACCTCCAAAGAACACACCATATGCCAATAGTTTAATGATTCCATTACTTTATCTTTAAGCAAAAGAATTAAATACTTATGTTGAAAGCATTAAAATAATTATAAACTCAAATTTCATTTTAACCAACCACATTTAACAGTTAATATTTATTATTAAACAAATTTAGCTTAAACTTTTAAGGAATGCTATAATTAACAATCTCATTTTTCATTTGACTGATTTATATATATATTATTGTTAATTATAAATAATAAGTATTATTCTTAAACACTCTAAATTATTTTCATTGATATTTTCTTATAAATAGATTAATTATAATAAAATTAAAAACTTATAGGAATCATAATTTAAATTTTATTAGATAAACTTTTACTATTGGAATTAAAACTATTAATTTTAGTGATTGTTAAACTTAGATTAGAAATTAATAATATTTTATGAGAAAATAGATATAGAGAATCAAAATAATTTATTATAAGTAACAGCTATATAAAATAAAATAATTCTCTATTTTTTTTCAATAAATTAATAATTACTACGATTATCTCATAATATGATAACAAAATAGTTTCAATATATATTCATATTTACATGATACTGCATTATTTTGAATATTATTAATAAGATGTAAAATAATCCATCATTTTCTTAAGGTTTAATACCTATAGTTTGCTTAGACATTGGTGGAACATTAACTAAATTGACATTTGCTACCAAAAAAGGGTTCATCTTAAAATGTGAAACTAAAAAAGATCTTAAAAGTATTAGAAATAAGATAATTCTTAATAGTCATAAATGAGATTGATGATTATGAAATTCATTTTATTTCTCATCCTAATTCATTAAATGTGTTGATTGAAAATTTAGAATAGATTGGCTTTATTGTAGATGGAAATTCCAATATCTAAAATTTTTATATCACAGGTGGAGGTTCATTTAAGTATTATGATTAAATTTAAAATTATGGGGAAATAATCAGAATTAATGAATTCGATGCTCTAAAATTTGGATTTAAATTGTTAGATAGTATAAAGTAAAAAAATACATACTTTACTTTTAATAATAGTATTGAATATTTGTAATTGACGGTATTTTTTTAATAAATATATATTTTTAGGCTTCAATATATCCATTTATATTGGTTAATATAGGAAGTGGAGTTAGTATATTAAAATTTGACAATGAAGATTAATTTGCAAGAATCTCAGGCACATCTTTAGGTGGTGGAATGTTTTTAGGATTGAGTCATCTATTTACTGGCATTAATGATTTTGATGAATTATTAAAAATGACAAAATAAGGTTCTAATGCAGCTACAGATTTATTAATGGATGAAGTTCATTTGGGATTTTAATCTCCAACAGGAAATAAAAATGAAAAGCATGTTGCTGTTAGTATGGGAAAATTAGATTAGAATACAAATATTAATAAATCAGATTTAGTTAAATCTTTACTTTATATGACTACTTATAATATTAGTCAAATAGCATTCTTACATTCAAAATTACATAATATTGAAAGAGTATTCTTTTCTGGACATTTTATAAGAAATCATGAAGAAACATTATAATGTATTAATGAAGCATTCTCTTATTTCTCTAAATTAGATTAATAAAATAGACATGTAACTAAATCACTCTAATATAGCCTTATTTTATTAAACATGATGGATTTATAGGAAGCTTAGGATCATTTTGGAATGGAATTCAATCATTTAAATAAAACAAAAAATGACATATTAATAATTATCCATTCTATATTATTTATTAATCTATAGAGATTATAAAATTATTATTATTTAGAATAGAATAATATAATCAATATTATTAAAAGCAAAATATTCATAATCTATCCATGTTAACTTTGAAAAATAAAAATATTATAAATTAAAAATAATAAATAAATGAGATCTAGAAAAAAGTAGAAAATTCAGTTTTGTAGATATTTAATAAAAATTATTTATTTCAATGTTTTTGTATATAAAATTAGCTTGATCAATATAAGTTTAATATAAATTATATTAATTATCTCTTATATACATACACTAATCTTTCAATTCCCTTTTTCTTTCTCCTTAGGTTTTTCATATTTATTATTCAAGGTCTGTATGAAAACGAGTACGCCAATAAAAATAGCAGACATTATACCATAATAGATTATTGTCTCTTATTTATATTATGCAGTTTTTGTTATCTATTCTTCTGTTAATTTTACAGGTTCTTCATTAGAAACTTTCAGATTAGTATAATTTCTAAACATAGCTATTAAAAGTATTATGAAAATGAAAACATATTTAATCCACTATTCTTCAATTCTCTTTTTTACTCTCTTTAAATATTATTACATAATTAAATAAATAATTTATTGTAATTAACAGAATATTTAAATATAATTTTTCTTATATTATTTATTAACTTTATTATATCTAAAATTATAAGAGTTAATCTTTAGTATATCTAATCTTAATAATTTAGTAATAAATTCCTGACGCTTATATATTTAATTACTTTAATAAATTCTGAAAATCAGAAATTTTCAATAATTCTAATATAATTTATTCTATAATATAAAAGGGTATATATATTAAATAGTATGAATAAATGTTATGAACTTAATATTTAATTAAAAATAGATAATAATTCGTAATAAATGAACATTAATATATTTATTTTCAGTAATAATTTAACTAGATTATATTTATTTCTTAAAATTTTAATATAAAACTAAATTTTTTTGAATATAATATATAGGATATATTAAATGTAAACAATTTCATGATTTAATACTTGTTTTAGGTCTAATCAATTATTGGGGGAAATATTATTGATATTCTCTTTCGGTTAATTATTTGTTTTCATCAATCAAAGAAACTTACTCTTCTGGAAATTGATAGAAGTATGGATTTAATTATTATTTAATTTAGTTAGAATCTGAAAATAATATAGTTGTTTTATTAAATACATTCTTTTTAATATCTTAGAAAGTCTAATTTATGTTACCCTAATTGTATATTGAAATAAAATACTTAATAAATTAATCTATTATTAATATATATATGAACTTGTTTGACTCCTCTTTACCAATCTTTAGTATAATTATAAAAATCTATTCCACTGAAACATGTAAGTTTATCAAACATAATATAGATCTTATTGATATCTTATTTCTCCAAATCTCTTGCTTTTTAGATTATGATTGCATTCTTATTTTTTAATTTTTCCATTGGAGTATTAATAAATGGAGCTAAGAAGCTTCTCTAAGGTTAACAATTAATATCATAAGGAGGTATTACTAAATTTTAGACTACTCTTGGATCATCTTCTAACTAAACATATTATTAATTTAAATACTTATGGAACTGAATGAATAGTATAAGGAATTAATTTTCTTTATAATAAGGCTGAACCTATATGATCATAAATTTCTAAACCATTTAAACCAATATAATTGTTATCTCCCCAAGTATTAATCAAATAAATTTTTATTATCATTCCACAAGGAGGATAAGCAATAACATAATTTTAATGAAATAATTCATGATTAGCCATAAGATTTCCAGAATAAGAATTATTATTTGGTTAAGTTAGAAAAATAGTTTAAACAAAATTAATTTCTTCACATGGTGCAGGTCTTAAATCTATTTTATATAATAAAATAATTACTATAAATTTTGAATCTCCCATTATAAGTAATTTTGACTATTTCTGGTCCAGTGAATGTAGATTCACTAATAATTTGATTGCAATTATAAAATTTAATAATTGATAGTTTTGTTTGTTATTTAAATTTAATATAAATTTTCTTTTATTTTAACCAAACCATATTTGATGAATCAATTAAAGTATGATTATTAGAATAGAATAGACGTTATATGTCATATTCAGCTAGATTAGAATCTTAAATTTCCTCTTAATGAATTTATTTGTTATTGTAATCAATTAATATCAAGCCATTTAATCCTAGAAATCTTTTTGAACCATTATTGAATTCTAATAATATATCAAAAACAGAAATATATTCAGGATATTACATTTATACTTTCTCTTATTTGTTTGTAGGTTTATAAATTTCTTATTCTTATTATGAATAATTTTATTATTAAAGCTATTAATAATATGTCTATTATCTTTATTATAAGGAAGGTTATTCTTATTCTTTATTTTTTTATTAATAAATTCTTGATGAATATAATTTTGAAGATGGTGATTAATCAGTTTATTATTATTATTATTATTATTATTATTATTATTATTATTATTATTATTATTATTATTATTATTATTATTATTATCTTGTATTTTATGATTATAATTTAGTACCAGTATTTGGTCTAATTTATTTCATACTCATAGTTTATTATAGAATTTATATAGAATAATCTTCAGCTCTTTTGTTCAACCAATCTAATTCAGCTATTCTACTTATAATTTTAGTATCCTATGTAAATAAAATGTATTCACAATTATCTTAGAACTTTTTTAAATCTCCTGTTGCTTTCTAAATATCTCCATAAAATATCTAACTAAAATATTACATAAATAGTTTACTAATCTTTCATCTAAAGTTATCTTTAATAATCTAACACCTTTATAAGATCTAATTCTTGATTTATTGTAATTCCAAATTCTAATCAAAGAAATTTTAATATTTGCAGTTAAATCAATAATGATTTCTGGTTTCAAGTTCTTTGTTTTCCAAATATGTTTATCATCTTTAACTGCTTAATAACCGTCTATTAACTTTAATTTCTCTATATAGTCATCTTACATAGGCATTTTAATATATCTAGTGATATTACCTCCTTGTGAATCAAACACTTCTATTCCATTAAGTCCAACTTACTATTTGTCTCCCCAATTTGAAAGAACATTAAATTTCAAATATTTACCTGATGGTAAAATAGGAATTTCAAATCTATTTCCAATTATACTTTGTTCTATTTGATTTTAATTATTTCTGGTTCTCTTTTGATTATCAAATACATTATGAACTTTAGGATGTGATTTAATTTTCTAATCGTTGAAACTCATTCTTTCTGGTTATTAAATTACAGTAACATTTTCATTGAAACTCATGTGTCCTTATTGTTAATACATTTAAAATCCTTATTGTAAAATTTATAAGGCATGTTCTTTAGATTAAGGCTTTAATAATTATTGTTACATAATAAAATATTAATAAATAATAATGTTCATTGTTAATAAAACGACTAATACTAACTCATAATCATAACCAGATCTATAAGAATATTAGAATTCATTTAATAATGAGGATCCACGTAGGAATTATAGTGTTACACTTTATGATAGAGTTAAAAAGGTTAATTCTGATCAAAATCCAAAACAATAATTATCATAATAATTATCAAATTTATCATTAACTAAAACTACTTATAATAGTTTTAAGACCCTTTATCAATTTACATAAAAGTATTTTAGTTTTTTTCTATTTTGAAGAACTATAACATAAATTAAATCAAAATAGGAAATAACTATAAGTTAAAATTTTGTCTCTTCAATGAAAGAATCAAATTAATTTATGTATAAAGTGGCCAAAAAAATGTCATCTTTTATTAAAACTAATAAATTAGTTATTGTACCACCTCAAAAAATAATTGGTAATTGGGTTTAGTAATTGAAATCTAAATGTTTGAAAAAGAAAACACCTTAAAATTCTCAGTATCCAAATCACAATACTGGATTTAGGGATGAAGATGATGATCTTATTATAATATGATTTTTATCACATAAATACTTATATTTAAATCATTGTGCTTATTATTATTATGATTATTATGAATAAAGCTGAAAATCTGAAGATAGAGAATTAAATGAATTATTTAGGATTGTCTACAACTATTCATAATTCCCTTTAAAATTATCAAAATCTGGTAAATATTTTAAAAATATATAACTATTTGTATACATCTTTTATATATTACTGTGTATATTGAAATGCTAAAATGTCTCTCTCTTCATTTTTAGATAAATTTGCTTCACCAAACATCTATATTAATGTAAATTTATTACTTTCTTTTGTTTTACATAAATTGTAAGTCTATTAGCAATATTTTCATAATTTTTTCTTAATGTAGATTTATCTGCTGATTATTTTAGACAATGCAGAGCATCAGAATAAGAGGATAAAAACACTCTTAGATCGAATTCACTTTGATTTGAAAACATTTAATAATAAAAAATAATAATAAACCATAATTATAAAATACTTCATTTTTTTCATATATTTAAATTATATCTATCAATAAGCTATCATGATGATTAATAGTTATCCCTGTCTGAAAAGATAGATGCTGAAATTTAGTGTATTTCTCTGATATATCTATTTTTTATTAACTTATTATTCATTGATTATTATTATATTATAATATTATTTTACTATACTCAATGTTACACTAAATCAATTCTTAACAAATATTCTTTGATTTTATATTTATGACTATTACTTTAGCTAATTATTTGATGTAAATTGGAGTTTGTATATATTCGTATCATAACATTTAAACTATTATAGTAATTGTACATTGAATTTGATAAAGTTTTAAGCCAGGAATATAAAATATTTTTCTAAGAATATTATTTTACTGACATGAAGAAATTGAATAATATTATTTATAATGAAATTTTGAAGGATGATATTTATCATAAAATAATAAAATCAATAATGGTTTAGAGATAATAGCTTCATCCATTTTTATTGCATTAATTTTTTGGCAAATTAGTTAAGGATAAAATATATATAGGAATTAAAATATAAATATAAATTGGATGAGAAAAATGCATCTCCATAAAAATATTAATTAATATCATATTAATATACGAAAATCTCCGAGATTTATATTGGTTAATATGTTCCAATAAACTATTTAATAGAGGCATAATTAATTATCATATAAATATTAAGTGAGTTACTTAATTTTTATATGTATGGAAATATAAAAGCGTAGATACTCATTTTTAGAATGCTAAATTATAAGGAAATTTGAGCATTATAAATAAGTCTTAAAATATTTAATTCAAAATTAATTGATTTGTAGACAAAAATATTTATTTTCCTTTATTTCTTATAAGTGAAATAGTATGATTCAGAAATAGGAACTTTAGATTTATATTTTATTAAAGTAAAGAGTAGAGAAATTAGTATATAATTTAGGGGAAATACATGAATTACAGAAATCTATTTGGTATAAGTAGAAAAAGTGAATGGAATTACTTTATTATATAATATTTTAGAGGTAGAGGAGAATTATTTTAGTTTAGAAGAATTAGAGGATAATTGAGTCATGATATTATACTATGGATTCAAAGTGACATTAAAACTTCAAAATAAAGATTATTAGAAATGATTATTTTATCAAATCATAATTATATATATAAATAATTAAGATGTCTAAACCAGATGCCAAAAATCTGAAAGAGGAAATTTAAAAGTTGTATGACCCATTGTTATTTTACTAACATGGAGATAATCCAGCTTATAAAAGATATATTGAAATAATGTAAGAAAATGCACAAGAGGGTAAACAAATAGATCCAAGAACATATTTTGTTAATAAATTATAGAGGTAATATATGCTATTTATTGTAATCAGAATTCATGTGGCAAGAAACATTCAAGATTTTGTTGAGAGAGATCTAAAATGCTTTAATTTTGTTCGAATCTTCCCAGTTTGGATATGTACTACTGGATTCTTTTTATAAGGTATATATTAAATGTGAGTATTAATCAGCTGCCTTAACTTAGAGATAAATGTTTTTGCCTATAGGATAAAGAGGTATAACTAGTATAAAATAGACTTCATTCTTTTATAAGTATGTGAATGTGATCATTAATATATTAGTTTTGGATATGTTGGTTTGGCAGGATATGGACTATATTTATTAGGAGCATCTTATCTCTGGTGGTAAGTTACAAAAATGACTGCAGTTAAATTTTATAGACATTGTTTACTTGGAGAAAGATAATGGTCATATGAAAGAGAAAGATAAAATAATACTTATGGTAATTACTATTTCAAAGATGTTCCATTGTCATGTGAGGAGAACTTCCCAGATTTGGCAAGAGGTGAAATAGCAAAGAAGTAGAGACCTAAACCAGAATGGTGATAAAAAATATATTCATAATTATACAAAAATATTAATTAAAATAATAATACATTTTTAATGACAAGAGAATATATGTATGTCTAATTCATTTTCAATAGTAATAATAATAATAATAATAATAATAATAATAATAATAATAATAATAATAATAATAATAATAATAATAATAATAATAATAATAATAATAATAATATTAGTATAAATTTATGAATTTATTTGAAATTTAATCAGAATCAGATTTATAGAAAACGTTTCATTAATAATTTAGAAAAAGGACTTCTATTTAAGATAATCAACACAATTATAAAATCTTTAAATTTGATAAATGCTAAACAAAAAGTAAACTATTAGAAACTATAAGGATGTAAAAGTTTTAATAATAATTTTGCAATTCCATTTCAATAAATAATAAATTAATTTGATAATAAAGAATTAATTTCTAGTTGTCAATGTTTAGATTGTGGTGGTAGAATTAACAAAAAAATATTAATTTCTAAAAAGGAATTAAATGACCCAATATAATCTAACTCTAAATAAAGATTTCCAATCTCACCTTAGTTGTCAATTTAGCCATAATATGTAAGACCATCTAATCGAGATCTAAGTTTGGTTGGATCACCTTCTCATTTTAGTATCATTTTATTTTTATTTTTATGTGAAAAACATTCCAAATAGATAATTTAAAAAAGTAATCGTGCGTCTGTAATGCCAGTAATCTAATTAATAAAAGCATAAAATTTAATGAAAAAAATTAGTTAAACTCATAAAATAGAAAAGGAAATAAAAACAAAAATTAGCATATCTACTCATAATTTATTTAATAAGGTTTAATAAAAGATGATTATTACCAATAATCATAATACTGATAAATTAAAATATGTTTAAGTATTAGAAAATAAGAATACTAAAGAAATAGCAAATAAATTACATAAATACACATCAAATTGTGGTTAATTTAGAATTAAAACAGAATCTTATAATTATAACTTTGCTTCAAATAATTAGAAGATTTCTGTTATTAATATACCAAATCTAACCCATTTAGAAAATCTAAACAAAAATAGTATTAGCATATATGAATCAAAGACACCCAGACTTTTTTTGGCCAGAAGTGAAACATATAATCTAAAGCAACCTTTAACCTAAAGACTTATGTGTACATATCTTAAAAAATTAAATATTAATTCTAAATTAATAAAAAGTAATAATCAAGTTTGAAAACATTTTGATTAATATCTATATAATTGAATAATTATCAGATAATTAATATATAAACTTTCTTTATAATTTCTATAGTTCTTTAACACTTGATAATATCTTATAACTATTTTAATGTTTATTTAGATTTTACAAATTTTATAACATAATTTTTTTAAGTTTATTTTTTAAAAAAAGAAATCCATTTATTTGTTGGTTTAATCACTTGAATTTTTAATTCCAAAATAAATTTTATTTTAGTTTAATTCATTATAGTAATTCTTTAGAATTAATATTTAAGAGAGGTCTAAATCGATATTTAAGTGATTTCTTTCTTCCAACCATTTTCCCTTCGTCTTATTTAGAAATATGATGAATCACATAAATGCCTCCTCTTTTATTAAAAGTATTATTATTTAAGTCATATAATAATCTTATCTTTTTATTAAATTTGATATATTTATAAAAGTAGTGAAAAAAAATATTTTTAATTTAATATATCTTATTCATTTTTATATTTTAGATTCAAATATTATAAATAATATTAGTAATTTGGATCTTAAAATGATATGAAAACATAGATTTTATAATATCACTAGACTTAACAAATTAATTGTAATTCACTTATAAGGAGATAAACCATAAAAGTAAGGATGATTTGAATCAGTTAATTGAATATATTATTTTCTTAATAAAAATATAATTTCTAAATTTAAATTTGAAATATATGTATACTCTTCTAGATTCCTTAGGACTGTGCATTAGAATAGATAATTTGAATTGAAGATGACTAAAAATAAAAAGGGTTATTAATATCAATATGTAAAAAGAATCTCATATTGGTAGAGTTGTAAATAGATATATAATACCCTTATATATAGTTATAAATACCATAATATAATATGGAAATTTAATTTGTGTATTTTGGATTAAAATAGTATAGGATATTGAAAATGTTTAATTATATAGAAAATAATAAGTCAAGGTAGATCATAAAAACATTGAATTAGAAATCAAAGTATTTGTTAATAAAATAAAGATGTTATTGTGTGATTATTATTTAAAAATAAAAATATCATTTTAAAAATAATGGGCAGAACCGGAATTGCAATTGGTTTAAATAGAGGATTCATTACATCATCATTAACAAAGAAATAATTAAGAAGAAGACCTTCTTAAAGAAAGGGAACTTTGGGTAAGAGAGTTTTACAAGTGAGAAAGATCATCTAAGAAGTAGCAGGTTTGAGCCCATATGAAAAGAGAATTATTGAATTGTTCAAAACAAATCAACCAAAAGATTTAAAGAAGGCAGGAAAATTAGCAGCTAAGAGATTGGGTACAAATAGAAGAGGAAAAAGAAAGATTGAACTTGTTTAAAATCTCTACAGAGCTATGAGAAAGTAACAATAAAAACATTGAAATATTACATACATTATTCCAAATATAGTCAATCTAATTTCTTTTACTTTCTTAAACATAATAGCCATTCATAATTTAATTAATTTATACATAATTATATTTATATACTTTCTAATGAGAATATGTATAATTATAATATCAATTATTTGAATCATTGATGGTAATATTTTTTTAGATTGCATATTGCTTATAAATTTCTAATAAGTCTTCATAAGTAGGAACATTAAACATTTCTGGTTGCATCATATTTAAAGTGAAATCAAGTACTTTTTTCTTTTTGTTTTTTTCTTGAAGATAATTTTGAGCATATTATTAACATTTTTATTTCTTTTGTTAAATGAAATCATCCATGATTTTTAATAATAGAATACTATTAAAAATAGATAATAATGTAATACTTATCAATATGATATTGTCTCTTTTTTATTTGACTATGTTTATTAATCAATTCAAGAATAATGGTTTAACCATTCTTGTTCAAAAGTCTCCATAATCTATCTCTATAAGCTTTATGTTTCTATTTTAAGTTCTTAAAAACACGTTTAACATAATTCACTTTTTCAACAAAATAATGATGTTTTTATAAACATTAAATATATAAATGAGTAGCATGTAAAAATGATAAGACAAGTTTAATAGCTCTTATTTTTGAAAACTATTTTAATTATTATGAAAAGATTCTTATTGATAAGCACATTTTGAATCTACTTCTATCTTCAACTGTTGCTCCCATACCTTTAATTTTTATCATTGTTATAGTTTTATATTACCAAACTATTAATCTTCCTTTTGCTAAATATTTATTATGTAATTTCATTTGCTTAAAATTATATATATACAATAATTACATCTAACATTTCTTTCATTTTAGTTACATATTGTAATATTTAAATGAGTTCAATCCAAGTAATTTAATTACGAATTTTTAATTTTTATTAAATTTCTAATTATTTTTGAACATTTCTAATTTCTTTCAAAGATTCATTTGCTTTTAATTTACTAATCATATCCATTCTTTTATCTTCATAAATTACTTTTTTTCTTTCAACTGTTTATAATATTCTTTATTTTAATAATTTTTAGTTTATTCTAATCTTTTACTCAATCTCTTTAATTAAAATATAATGTTACAATTCTTTTAATATTATTTTGTATTTAAATTATTTGTTATCTTATCTATTTAAATTTAATCTAATCTAGGAGTATTCAATGAATATAATTCTAATTAATATTATAAATACTTGATTTATATTTATCTTAATCGAATTCTTCTTTTATTATTTTTATTTTTTTCTTAAAATAATGACCAAAAATAAAGTTTATTGCTATAAGACAATCTTCTTCTGAATACATTGATATATATAAATTCTTCATATGGAAGGTATCCCTCTATTGTTAATCTGCAAATTTAAAGTATTTAGATTATATTGCTTATTCACAATTAAAACTAGTTGGAAATTATGCTACTGTAGATATATACATCTTAAAGGTCTGTAATTTAGAATTTTCACTTCTAACATAAGCTTATAAAGGACTTTCTCTATCATATATTCTCACATAAAAATAATTAAACCTGAATCTTGTTATCTAAATTATGCTTGTTTAATTAGATTTTAACTCCTATAAAGTTAAAGAACCATCATGTTTTATATCAACCTATTTTTTTATTTCTCCAACACTTCCTACTGGCGATAATTAAGGACTTAATTCTACAATATGTTCAAGAGGATCTGATAATTGTATTAAATCATAGTTTCGTGAGAAATTTTCCATCATCCTATGAATTTAACTTCTTGAACTTAATATTTTTTTCTCTAATCCATTACATTCTGATGTTTTTCTGTGTGTGGGAGATTGTAAACTAATAAATGAGTTAAAATTAGAAGTGTTTTAGTTAAAATCCATATTACTATGATGTCTATTATGGTTAATTGTAGAATCATAATATACTTATATTCCAGTTGATTCTTTAAAATTCATAATATCCAATTTTATATTTTAATTATATTTGAAACATATCAAGTATACACCTTTATATTTAACTTTGTGTTCCTCATATGGTAAATTAAACCAATTTCTCTATTTTATTTATTTAATCATTGATAGATAGATTTCATCATTTTTTTTAACATATCTGATTATCTAAACCTATTTGTTTAAATAAGTTATTAGATTGGACTATATTTAATTCAACCTTTATTGAATGGTGAATGTAGTTGATTATAAAACAAAGTCCTTATTTATTCTTTGTTGTTTTTTTATTCTTTTTTAAATTAAATTGTTGATTTAGAAATAATTGATCTTAACTTAAATTTTTATAGATACAATAAGTTAATAAAAAAAAAGTTATAGATTTCTGTCTCTATAGTTTGAACTCCTTAATTTCTCATTTATTAAATTAAATCAATAAAATTTCATCAAATTAATTCTCAAAACTCTCATTTTTATTAGTAATAATCTTCATTTAAAACATTTTTACTTATTATAAAGACTATTATTATTACATATTAAATAAATTTATGAATCCTAAAGTTGTTGAAAATTACACCCTTATAGAAGTTATTGGTTCTATATAAAATGGTAAAGTCTATAAGGCTATAAATATAAACATTAATAGTTTTGTGGCAATCAAAATTTTCGAAATAGAATAATTTAGAGAAGTACCTAAACTGGAAGAATTGACTATGAATGAAATTCTAACTCTAACAATAATTAATAATCCTTGTGTTGTTAAATTCATTGAAATCTTAAAGAGTTTTCACCATTATTATTTTGTCTATGAATATTGTAATGACTCCACACTTGAAGCAATTATTTAAGAAAAAGGGTAAGATTCAGTATTAAAACTTTAGAGTTTAAACAGAGAAAGTAGCCTTTTATTACTTTAGATAATTAGTCTAAGCCTTTTAATCATTAGTCTCTGAAAATATTATACTTAGAAATTTGAAACCAAGCAATATTATGTTGCATAATGATTAAATTAAATTAGGGGGTTTTAGATTTTGCAAAGGTATGAATGCCCCTTAAGATTTATCATTAACAATGGTTGGTTCACTTAATTATATGGCACCAGAAATTTTGAAAGGACAAGAGTATAGTGTGAAAGCAGATATTTGGTCATTGGGTTGTGTGTTATATGAATTGCTATATGGAATCTGTCCATTCAAAGAAAAAAATATGGCTTAATTGTTGTTAGAAGTTGAGGAGAGAGAAATATAATTTTTGGATAATGTTAATGTTGTATCTCAAACGACTAAAAATTTATTATTAAGAATTTTAACAAAAGATTAAAATAAAAGAATTAATTGGAAAGAATTATTTGAAAGAGAACTTACTTAGCCTGAAAGTAACTTTATATTTTATTATTTAGGAAAAAAAAAAAATATAGAATATCAACCAAATTAAATTTAACAAGGGTTGACTTTTAATTCTTAGAAAGATAAAGCATCCAAAGTTTTTAAATATTTATTGATGGAAAGAAACAAAATAGCTTATCTATACAAAGTTTTAGAAGATGTCTTTGAATTCACTAAAAATGAAGTATTTTCTATATATAATTTTAGTAAGATGAATAAAGAGTATCATAAAGTGTATTTTTTGTGGATATTTAATTGTTAAATACATTAGTTATTTAAATGAAATAATTAGGATGAATTTAGTTGAAAAGTTCGATATTTCAGCTTTCCCATATTTAGCTAAGAAACTTGAATTATAGAATGATATAACTAAAACATTTGAATATAAAGGTTTTTGTACTTTGATTCAAAAAGAGGTTTAAATAGCCAGAAAAATGTTTTTAAAATTTTTGGGAAAAAGCAGATATACTCTTTAAATCTTAAATAAATGGATAACATATATATTAAGGTACTAAATTTACTCATTTTGAAAATGAGTTAAAAAAGAGAGATAAGTTCTTCTGAAATTTCAATTACTTTTATGAAAAAATTAGTCTTAAAATATTGTGAAGATTTGAAAAATCAATATTTACAATAATTTTTAGATAAAAATCCATAAAGTGGAAATAAGTAAAATACTTTTTATATTTTAAGATAATTAATGCATATCGAAAAAACATTAGAATCATTAATTTTAGATGAATTTTTTGAAAATTGTATGGATTTTCGATAAATTGATTTAGAACAATAAAATTATTTTGCAATTTTAAATAAGTATCCAAAAGCAGATTTATTGTAAATCATTACAAATAAGATGGATTATATTAGACATAAATTATATAAATAATGATAATCTTATAAAAATGTTTATTAATAATATATATATTTTTAATTGATAATATTTATTAGAATAATAAAGTTCTTTTTTATTTATTTCATTATTATCTTCTGATTTTTTAGATTTTCAAATTGCATAAACTTGAAATAGAACAAAATACAAAGGAATATTCAATAATAAAGAACTTTCAAGTTGTAATTTAAAAAATCATTAAAAGAAGTTGTTATTTGCTTTTTAAGATTTTAATAATTTATATTCTTGATTTTAAGTATTATGAATATATAGATTGAGATATATAAAATAGATAATCAAAATATGACTTTCAGAGAATGGGACAGTCAATTTTCTTATTTGTTTATTTTCTATTAAAAAACTTATTTCTTTGCAACCCAAAATCTTCTTTTGAAGTTGTAATATTTTAAAATATGTATTCTTCTTATTTTTTTCTAGGATCAGTGCAAAATTTTAATTCAATTTTTCTTAAGTAATTAATTATAGATTGAATCTTTGGATTAGGTCGATGATAAATTTCTAATTCCAAAGAGTCAAGACTTGAATTTAATTCTTCTGTCATTCTATTATTTAATAATTAAATAATCATTTTATCAATCGAAATCATTTCATTACAAATACTCATTTTAATTAAATTGTTTATCTTATGAATTGTCTAATACTTTTTTTGAATTATTAAATATAGTTATTTCAGTTATTTAAATATAAGATATCAACAAAACAATAATAAATTATCATTTATTTCTTCTTCCTAAAGATTTTGCCATTCTTTTTAATTTTCTTAATTTTGAATTTACTTTACTAATTCTTTATTATCTTTGTTAAATTTTCTAAAATGAATTTTTTGTTGTTTATTTCATTTAATCATATTCTAAGAATTAGTCAATTAAATCACTCTAATTTTTCTTTTTCTTTTTTATATTATAATTATCTATAAAATTAAGATAATAAAATACCCATTCCATCAACATAAGTTCCCACTTAAAAATACTTAGGCATTGTTTTAAAATCACTTGATTTAACAGGTTATTTTGGATCTAAGTATTTTTTTAATTTCATAATCATAAATTCTTATTTCATGGTTTCATCTTAGTCTTAAGATTTCATTCCGAACCATCCTTCAGTTAATTATGACATTTTAGCCATTTTTCTTAATCTTTTTTCTTCTCTATTTTTTTTTAGACTTGGAATATCAACATCTAATGAATCTGCAAACAGAGATTATTATTCTAATTTTTGAACTTCTTTATCAATTTCCTATTTATATGTTGGCTATATAGGTAATAATTCAAAGTTTGGATCATTATTTTAATTGATCTAATACTATTTCAGATTTAATAGCTATTCCAATTATTCTTATCTCATATTAAACACTTTTAAAAATTAATAATAAATATTAGTATGCTTATTAAAGTAATTCTTTTAACATACTATTTATTTAATCTAAAGTCATTTAATAATTATATTCAATCAAATTATAAGCAATGTTTATTATCCTAAACACAAAATCTAATAAATAATACTTCTAACAGTTTAAATAATTTATTATATATATATTTTATGATATCAAAAGTTTATCATAAAGAGGAACATCAACCTAACAATCAGGAAGAAATTATAATTAACAATATGGTTCATACTTCCTTTTCATATTTCAATCCTGTTACGTAAAAATAGAAACAATATTAGATTTCTATTTCCAGAATTATTATCTAATGGTAAAATTGATTTAACTAAAACAGTAGATTATGTTGCAATTGTATGTCACATACTTTAAAAAATAATTATAGTTGCTTTATTTATTTTAGAATTGAAAAATATCCATTTTGAATAATTAATGCTAATAATAATTATGTTAACATCATTTAATTTTTGGATTGTAAAAAATTATACAGGAAAGAAATTAATTGGAATAGTATGGTGGAACTGTAGAGAAGAATAAGATATATGGTATTTTGAAAAAGTGAATAAACTTTACCCCTTAAATAAATATTGTAAATATTACTTTTGGTATTGTCTATATATATATGAGATATTTCTATTTCTCATTCTAATATTAATAGTAATTCAATAAAAATGGAAGTCATTTTTAATAATACTCATTCCTATTTTTGAAAATTCTAGTTAGACATTAATATATAGTCATGCAAACAAAGATAATGAAACATTTAAATATTTATAAGATTTAACAGAATATAGATTAAGAAGAAGCATTAAATGTTAATTTACTTTATGTTTAAAACAGTTTCCTTTTAGATTATAATTTTGAGTTTATTTTCAATTTATTAATATTTTCTACTTTATTGTACTCATTTTTAAAGTCAATCCTTTTTCTTTGTCTTCTGATTGATATAAATTATCTAATTAAATTTATTATTATGAGAAGTACAATTAAGCCTTTACCATCAATTAACAATAGACCATCTATTGATGATGAGGATTCTTATCCTGGAAGATTGCATACTGTTCAAAGAAAGTTGAAGTTTGGAAGCAATACATACATAATTAGTAGTAATACTACTGTTTCAGAATCTTTAAATAAAAAGTAGAAATAAATTCCTGTGACTGAGTCATAGTTGTTACGACAAATAGATACAAAACTAGAAATACATAAGAAAGACATTGAATAGAGAAATGATATGATTATTTCTATTGAGAAAGGGTTTGAATCTATGAAATAAGAATTAGTTAAAGAAAAAATGTAAAATGAAGAGAAATCCAAATAACTACAAGAATTATAAGCTAGTTATCAAGCAGTTTAATTAAGATTAAAGTAAGCAGGGGATTCATCTAAATAAAATTTATAAGGTGAAAAAGATCGAGAGAAAATTAATTCGTTAGAAATTAGCATTAAACAGTCATAAGCAAAAGAATAAGTGTTATTATAATAAATAGAATCATTAAACTAATAAATATCTTAATATTAAGAAAAATTAAAGAGTAAAGAAGAAAGTAACGAAGAATTTAAGAGATTAAAGGATTAGCTGCATAAAGCTGAAGTATTAAATTGTTGTTAATAAATAAGGATTAGCTTAATAAAATGGAACATTAAATTAATGATATTTAAAAAAGTATTGAAAAAGAAATTAATGAAAAAAACAATATAAAGAAATAATATGATTAATATAGGAATGATAGTTAATTGAAAGAGTAGAATTTGAATAAAGAGATCTCAGCTTCATTGATATTGATAAAACAATTAGAATAAGAAAAGAATGCAATAATGGAAAATTTAAAGAAATCAAAAGATTAAAATGATTAAAATAGTAAATTAAATGAATAAATGTTAAGTTTGAAATTATAACTTTCAGAATTATAAAAAACAAAAGATGTATGATTATTAAATTATGTAGAAAGAAATTAGTTAATTGAGATAAAAAATTGAAGATTAATCGAAAAATTCTATTGAATTAAATAGTTAATTGGAAAAATTAAAACAAAAATAATAAGAATAATAGTAATTATTACAAGAAAAGTTATCATAATTGGAATCATTAAGAAATTAAAAATAATTATTAGACTAAGAAAATTAAAACAATTAATCTGAAATTAATAATTTGAATACATAATTAGAATCTTTGAAGGAATAATTATCTAAACCAAAAAATACAAAATAAATTACAGATACAATTTTACAATTAGAAAAAACTGATGTATTGATATTCTTATTAAAATTATTAGAAAGATATATAGAAGAATTTATCATGCACATTTTGTAACAAATTCATAAAATAACCTGTTACAATTATACCTTGTGGACATTCTTATTGTTTTGAATGCAAGAAAGGATATAATAAAGAATGTTTTAAATGTGGACCTAAATTAAAAATTGAAGCTATGTATAGAAATGAATTACTTGATGATATTATAGCTATGGTTAAATTAATTGAATAAAGTATTAATAGCATGAAATAAGTTACTAAATAATGATAGTAGATATATAGTTAGTTAAAGATGATATATTAAATTTAACAATTATTTATTTAAAATATTGTAAAATTGATATATTTACAGATGTTTATCATCTTTAATATCAAAATTAAGGTCAAACAATTCTATGTATTAGATATATAACTAGCTATATCATAATACAATCAAATAAGCAGTTCTAGCAAAAGTTTTTTGTTATTTACTGTAATAATTATTCTAATGTTGTTCAGTTTTTGATCTTTTTTTTGTTTTTTTTTATGTGATTTGTGGAAATTAACAAAAATATTCTTATTCTAATTATTTTTATGCAATTTTATTTAACAATTAAGCAGTGAGTACCTTTTAATTATCTGTTATCATTCTAGCTTTTATCATTTCTGGTTTAACTAAATAATCTAATTCTTTAATTGATATATTTCTTTGTTTAGGTTTCTAAAGAGTTAATTTAATGGTGATACTTATTTTGGTATTTATTCTTTATGATTTGTAAATAAACCTAATTTAATTCTATATTTATTTAAATAAAGCTCTTTTAATTTTGTTTTTGATGGATTTTCCAATTATTCCCAACTTAGATTATTTAATGACATTATTATTTATTTTTAATAATTTAGTTTTTTTAATTTATTCATAAATTAATTCATTTATTTCTTTAAATATGCTTTAATATAAAAAAATTAGATTAATTAGAACTCCAAATTTTAAATATGTTGAATTTTTAAAATTAGATCATAACGTTCTTCTAAATCATTAATAAATAAAAGTAAAATTTATTTATCATTTTTAAGAAAATGAAAATGCAAAACCTATTTTTAAATTTAGAAAAATCAAACATATAAAAGTTTGAATATATATTCAAATAAAATTAGATCTTTCATTTTAGAAATACAAAATAAGGATAATGAGTATAATATAAAAATAAGGATTAAAAAATAGAAAATTAAATTATTCTTAAATTATCTATATAATTTGAGTACAGAAAATAATATGTAATAAAAAAGATTTAAAATGTTTGAGAATTCATTATGTTATCTATTTAGTTATCAAGTAAAGAGTTTAAAATAGAAATATTGGGGTAATAAAAATAAGTCAAGATATAAATAATATTAATAGAAAATAAAGATTTTGAATTATTAATTATAAAATATATATATATATTAGTAAATTAAATAATATATTTTGAGTTTCAATATAATTAAAGATATATTATGATATTATTTTAATTTATTTATGATATTTCAATATGTTTTTTTAATTCTCTCTGCATTTTTAGGAGAATCATAAATAGTTGGAGGACGACGCATCTCATGTTGGAAATGATTGTATTCAAATGTTCTATTTGATCTTCTTGTATATGCTAATTCCATGAGGAAATCAAACATATCATCCTAGAATATTGGATTAATAAAATACAGTGCATGCATATGCAGCCTCATAAAACATTGCATAACATGGATATACTTTAGCTCTTTTCAAATAATCAGCTTCAGTCTTATCCATTTTGAAATGTTCAGCTTAATCGCAATCAAACCATTTCTAGAATCTTAAGGCACATAAAGTAAAATAATCTTATTATGATTGATATGTTGGATAAGGAACATACACTTTTTATTTAGGTGGTAATCCAACTTAGAAACAATTAGTTCTACCTGTTGGGGTTGTACCTCTGAATGGAAACAAACAATCTTCCAATGCCCCTAGATTTAATTAGTAAATTATGCATTACATCCTTCAAACAAAATTGTATAAACATCATCAGGCTCCATCAATGAGTATTTATTAGCAGTTGTATCAAAGTAAAAACACTAAAATTTTATAATTATATACTTTTGTATATAATCTGAACCAATCTTTTAATTATTCTTTTTCCCATACTGCATCAGTCCTTAATACAAAATCTTTTTCATATTCTTTCCAATTGATTCCTTTAATTAGAATGATTATTACCTTTATGTGAAAAGTCATAATTTGGAGGCATCTTATGAAAGTCCTTAGGCAATGTCTCTAACAATGGTTGAGTGGCCATTTTATATGTTTAATTAATTTATTAACAAAAATTATATCCTACTCATGCATTGGATAAAATTAATTGAGGAATCTTTTTAGTGTTTATGCATAATTTATAGTTATCCTGATATAAAATATCTACTAATAATAATAAATATAGATATCTAATATAATAGTAAAATTAGTATTAATGACTAATAATATGGATCCTGAAGAAGATCAAGAAATAATAGATTCTATTCTTAATGGTACTTTTTAGTTAATAGAATTAAAGCTCTTGAAAGTGATGAAGAGAGATCATTTTCACCATCAATTACAAGAACTGAAACGAATAGAACTTATTCTCCATAAATTATAAGACAATAACATAAATTAGAGTAAATAACATTCAACTAAATAGATATTCATTAAAGAAAATATAAAGTCCAATTATTGAATTTAAACTAGATTGTTGGACAATACAACCTTTTTCCTTAGATGAAGATTAATACCTTGATGGAGATTTAGTATTAAATAAAATAAAGTAGATACTTAAATGCAAAGACTAATAAAATAGTAGAAAAATTTAGAGCTTATTTGAAAAAGGAGATGATGAATAAAAAGAATAAATTTTTATTTAAATATTGCCAGGTATAGTCTAATTGGCTAATGATATTTTCGGAAATTATGTTGTACAAAGAATTTTAGAATAAGGTAATGAAAAATAAAGAGATTTAATCTTTAATTAACTATCTTAATCTATTTTAATATTAAGTTACAATACATATGGATGTAGAGTTATTCAAAAATTAATTGAAATTTTTTATAATACTGAAAAATTTGATTAGATTTTTACAATCCTTTAATCTGAAATACGAAATCTTGTTGTAGATATCAATGGAAATCATGTTATATAAAAAATAGCTGAATTGATGAAATCTTAGAAGATTGATTGGTTAATTGAAGGAGTTCTTGGATAGATTTAAAAATTGTCAAATGAATCTCATGGTTGTAGATTAATTTAACAAATATTAGAACAATCTGCTATGCCTTAAGTATAATTTTAATCAATATTTAAAAATTAGTTAAATAGTATCTACAAAGAATTATTAACTTTATAAGATGAATTATGTTTATCTCAATATGGAAATTATATAATTTAAATTTTGCTTTAGAAAGGACCTTTTGAAGTAGTTTAGAAAATATAAAGTAGTATAATTAAAAATTTAGAAAAACTTAGTTGTGACAAGTTTGGAAGGTAATTAAAACTTTCATTATTATTATAGTAATGTAGTTGATAAAAGTGTAAACATTTCTTCATTTATAAGGAAAGAGATATTGAAGGTATTCATTAACAATATGAATGTTTTCTATCGTTTATCTAATAATTGTTATGGAAACTATGTCATATAAAATTTTTGTAAATAACTTGATTATAATTAACTCATAAAAATACATCCAGAAGCTAGTTAACTTAATACTTAATTTGGTTAACATGTACTTTAAACTTTATTTAAATTAATAAATTGATTTGATGAATAAGAATAATATTAATAATCCTCATAATATAGTAAAGCCACTATGGATTATGAATATTATTTTTTGTATATATTGTAATTATATAAATCTTAGTATTATTATTTAATATATTATCTAATATTTTAGAGAGATGGCTAAGGTTAAAATTAAGGAGAAATAAGTAATAGATGAGGTTTATTCAAATAGAAATCACCAAGTTAAGATAAGAAAAAGGCAAAGAAGGATAAGAAAGAGAAAAAAGAAAAGAAAGATAAAAAAGATAAACATATAAAAAAAGATAAAAAATAGAAAAATGATACAATTAAGAAGAAACCAAAGAAGAATTAATGGGGTAAATATGGTACTATCAGGTTATGTATTTTTAATATTAAAGTAATACAGATATGTATTTAAAACGTGAAGAGTTTTTAATGTGGTTATCTGATGTTAAAATCTTAAATGTTGAAGAAATTACTCCTTAGGAAGAGAAGAAATATTTTGAAGAATATGTGGAATGCTATAATACAGCAACATTTCCATCATAAAAATTTTATAATTTCAAAGTATGGTTTGAAAAAGAATAACTTAAAGAAAAAATACAATAGGCTGAAATAGAAATGCAAACCTTTGATGATGAAAAAGAAAAATAGTATTAAAATATTTGAATTATCTTTAGAAAAGAATATTAAGAATAAAAGGAATTGATAAAAAAATAAAAATTATAAAGAGAATATTAACATTTACATGAATTTCAAAATATTGTAATTATATTAGTATCTATTAAGGCACAAGACATGCAAAAATAAAAGCAAATTTAAGATCTCGTTAGACATTACAATTCGATGGGTAATCATGAGGTAGCCATGAGATACTATAAATAATTAAATCCCATTCATACTATTGATGCTCCTCCAATGTAATAATAACCTCCAATGGAATACGATTATGACTATGACAATTTCTGATTTGATCAAAATGTTTTTACATAAAAAGTTAATTAATAATTTCTAATGTATAGCTGTTAATTTATATAAAAAATTTAAATATTAAATGGCAAAAATTATAGATAATTATATACTAATTGAAGCAATTGGATAAGGATCCTTTGGAGAAATACACAAAGGTCGAAATTTAATTTCAAAAGAAGCAGTTACAGTGAAAACAATAAAATTAGATAGATTTTTAAATGATTCTCTCTTGAAAGAAATGATTATTAACGAAATTTAAGCATTGAAAAAATTAGAAGATTAACACATTGTAAGAATGATAAAGATGTTAAAATCAGCAAATAATATCTATTTAGTCTATGAACACCTTAATGGAGGGTCTTTGGAAAATTATTTATAGGAAAAAGGCAGATTATGTGAATAAGAAGGACGATAACTTATGACAAATATATTTAAGTAATGATAATTAATAATAACTAGAGGATTTAAAACTTTAAACCATGAAAAAATAATACATAGAAATATAAATCCTTCTAATCTATTTTTTAATGATGGAGTTATTAAAATAAAGAACTTTTTTTGTTGTAAATCATTAACTAGTTAAAAATTATTTGATCCAGGTATATTTATATATGAATATATTAGAGAATTATTTATATACTGCTCCAGAAATATTGTTAAAGACTTAATAGACTTAATATGAAGATAAATGTGATATATTCTCATTAGGATTGGTATTTTACAAGATATTTTTTGGATAATTACCATTCCCTGAAAATATTGAGTAAGATTAACTCATAGAATTGTATTAGTCTTAAGATTTCAATCCAATAATTGAAGGTTTGTCTGAAAATACATCTTAAATCTTAAATGGAATGCTCTAAATTGATCAATAAAGAAGAATTGAATGGTAAACATTATTTCATGAAGATGAAGTACCCACAACCTAAGTACTTGGAAATTCAACTAACCAAAATTTTGCATCAAATTATTAAATTAATTCATAAGTTTAATAATTCGAGACAGTTGGTTAATAAAACTTTTACATATCCTAATAATCTTTATAAAATCAAATAACTGCAAGTCCTAATGAATTACTAAAAAGAAGAAATAATTAATCAGATAAAGAAAATATTAAAGTCATAAAAGAAAATGATAATAATTATTAATGTAATAAAACTGTTGAAAAGGAGTCTAATATATCATAATATTAAATACCAATCTAATAATAATAATAGACATCTTAAATTTAATAAATTAATGCTTAGTAAAGTGTTGTTAAATAAATATAAAATTAATTATTTGATCTTAGATATAAATTTAATATTCTCATCAAAGGAATTATAAGAATTGAATAACTAGAAAATTGGTCAGCTAAAATTAAAACAGAAATCTGCATGATCTTTTTAATTAAAAAAGCTATTAAATTTATAAATGAAATGATTGATATATGTTAAAACACTGATAAATAATGGGTCATGTTTAAAAATAAAAATGATTTCATTAAAATATTATAGAAAGATTATGATGAATTATTAGCTTAGTTCAAATACCTTAAATAAATTGTAAATAATTCTAATTTATTTTTAGAATAGTTGCTAACATGAAGAACTTAATTCTCATGAAATTATTGATGAATAATATATTGATAATGTATTAATAATGATAGCAAAATAAATTTCAATGGATTTTGGATAAATACGATCAAGTATACGTGGAAATTCTTAAATTAAAAGCAATGTAATATATTTATCTAATTTTTAGTCTTTTAATTATGAATAAAATAGTTAAAGAAATGGTAGCTTTATTGAATAAAAGCAAAATATTTCAAATTAATAAATTTTCGCAATCTTTTTGATTGATTTAGTTAAAGGATAAATCTAGGATGATGATTAAAGAAATTACTTTAAAAAAATAGAAGAATCAAAATTGACAGAATTGTTAGATTTTAAATTAAAATAAATTTGATTTAGTTTTATGAAATATTTTTATTTAATTTGTATACTTTTAGAAAATAGTAAAAGTGGAATTTTCTATAAAAATTTTAATAATTTCATTATTCAATAATAAATCTTCTCTTTAAAATGTTAAAATGTAAGAATGAAAATAAAAATTGAAGGAAAATTTTGATAAATTCTGCTTATTATAATTAATTTAATTTTAAGGTTTATTTCTATATAAATGATGTCTATTACTCTTTCAATAGATCATTCTTCTCTAAATGAATAATTATCAAAACACTCTAATTTATCTTCAAAACTTATATAGTTCAAATTATAATGATTTGCAGAATGAGTTGTAATAGAATTCTTAAATTTAATAGAAATTTATTGATAATTTATTTTGTAGTAAAATTATCTTTAGTTTATCTGAATTAATAATAGGAAATCTATCAATTAATAAATATGATAAATATACAAAATTATAATAATTAAACTTTATTAGTTTAACAAATAAAAAATTAATGAAACTATCAAGTGCTTCTGGTTGCTAATAAAGAGAATAAGAAAAAGGAAATAAAGAATTAAATAAATTATCCAAGTTGTTAAATAAATATATCTATTATAAAGTCCTTACAAATTACCAATAGGAATTAAATCTAGTAAGCCAAGTGATTCTACTCAAAAGATGGAATGGGAAAAGTTATATGAAGAGAGTCATTAATTAAAATTATTAGTAAATTAATTTAGAGATGAGAATATACAATTTTAAGGACTAAAAATGCTAATTTAGAGGTAAACATTTATTGATATTCTTAAAAGGAAGATTTAATCAAGTGCACAAATATTATAAAAGAGATGGAATAGACAGGAAATATGAAAAGATTGTATTAAACTCCAACTTAAGATAATTAAATGATTTTAAACCTGAAAACTTAAGTCAAATCTTTAAATGAACAATTATAAGATTCCAAATAAGAACTATAAAATATGAAGAGAACTTCTAAATACACTAAATAAACAGAATTGGAAATAGAATGTAAATAATTTTAAGATGAGACTATAAGACTATCTTAAATTACAGAATAGTTGATAAATGATAACATTTATTAAAAATAATTTGAAAATGAGCAGAATAAATTGAAAGAAATACTAATGCAAAGAGAACAACTCATAAAACAAATGCAAGAAGAATTAGAATATTATATGGAAGAGAATAAAGCACTATCTGAAAAACTCTAATAAATGGTTCAAGCTTATCAAGAACTTGATAAAGTGTATAATAAATATTAGAATGAAGCCAAAAATAAACTCAAAATTAAAGAAAAACAAATATCCGATCTTAAAAATGATATTAATAGAATTTCCTTAAATACAAAATAATCAAAGCAAATTACTATTAAGAAACCCAATCCTTAAAAAATTATTGAAAAATCCATTAATAATACTACCAAAAGAGACTAATCATTCAAAAACAATAATAATTTGATTAATAACAGCAATAAAAATAATATTTTAGGCTAAAGTGTAAATAGATCAATGATGGACTTAATTGAATAACCTGTCGAACCGCATGAACTTTCGGAAATAAGTATATTTATAAAATAATGTAGGGTTGGAAGTAAGACTAAGATTAAGCTAAGCTTAAATTCCAGCTGTAAAATTAGATCGGATCTACTATTGATTTCAACTCCCTTTATAATAGATTAACTAAGCAACCTTTCCTATTAGATGAGCCAAATGCGATGTTACTTGCTAGTTATCTTATTGAAAAGCACAACTAATAATATCCTTAAAATATAAAAATCAATTTAACTTAATAGAATGAATTTAAAAATCAGAATTTATTAATATTATTGGATTTTGGCCTATTTATGATAAGGTTGAATCCAAAATTCTAGAAACTAATCTTTCAAGATTGTTTACTAAAAATGTTATATTGATAGAGTAAAACTTAATGACTAAAACTTTAAATACTTAGAGTTATTTATTTTGCTTGATTAATTGTTGAAATAATATCAATTGAGTCTTAAATAAATGGAGTAATAATATCTTCTCTTAAAAGTACATTAATAAATTATTCAGTTAGGTAATTAAAGACTGCCTAAATATTAGAAAAATAAATGGATCTTTGATTTATAAATATTTAAAGGAAATATGTGATTCATTGTTATCTATTTAATAAAATATAAGAGAAAGGAGGAACACCTATGAATTATAATCATCCCATTAATACATATAAAAATAATTCTTATCTTTTCTCTACTTTTATCGAGATAGGATCTCAATCTAAACTGATAAATTGTTCACAATTTAATTATCAGATTTCTACTGAAATTAATCTTGTTTAAATTAAATATTAAAAAGCCTATCAATTTATTAATTAGCATCCTTAAAACCATTATATTAAAAGTAATAATGTAATTAAATAATAAATTCTGATAACTAAAAAGAATAGAAAAGAAAACCAGCTATAATAATACTATGAAGTTTTCATAAAATAGAGGTAAAGGAAAAAATTCGAGGAAGATGATGATTTAGATAAGTATTATTTCGAAGAAAATGTTATTAAAGATGATGATTATAAATAAGATCACAATTTTAATGATTATAGTGAAATGTATTCTGAAAGTTAATATAAATATTAAATCAAAAATAAAACAAATAAATCAGATAATTATGAATAAGAAGGAAAATGATTAGAAAATTGATAATCTATTTATCTATATATGAGATTTATTTCGATAAAAATTATCACTCAACAATTGACTTTATTTTGAATAATGAATTTATTAAATGAAAAAACTTTATAAGCATTTAATTCACTCAAAAATTAAGGCTAATTGAATATTGATTTAAGAATTAAAACTAGACCTTTGACACCCACTAAAAAGATGATTAGATTGCCAAAACGTCTTTTAAAATCAATTACATAAATTGAAGGTTTGAAAAAATAGAAATCATATCATAAATAGAGAGCTATCATTAAGTAGCATTCATTTAAACCAGAAATAGAAGAAGTCAAAATAGAGTCATTTAATGAAATGCCTATGAGTAAAAAAAAAGAAATTAGAGTAACAGATGGAACAGAAGAATTGATATTAAGACAATAAGAAATTCAGAGATAGACTAAAAAGAAAAATATTAATGAAGAGATAAATGATTTGAAAAAATTAGAATAGCAACTACTCTTGACATATACAGGTAGATATGAAAATTAGGAAGAAGAAGAGGAGTAAATAGAAACAGTTTTAAATAATAGAAGAGAATAAATATATAGAAAAATTTATGAAAATGTCAAGGCAATTTAAGGGATAGATTAAAAGGCTGAGTTATAGAAATAAAGAGATTAAGATTTATTAAAATACATTAAATATTAGTAAGATTCAAATAAAAATAAAAAACATATATAAGTATAATTATTAGAGGCATAAAAATAAATTGAATAATTACAAAAGTTATCTAGACCAGGAACTTCTTAAAGAATGAGTTCAACATCAAGTTTAAATCAATATAATAATAATAATAATAATAATAATAATAATAATAATAATAATAATAATAATAATAATAATAATAATATTAATAATGAACAATTCGATATAAAAATAAATTAATTATTTATTAAGAATCCTTCTAAATAATAATAATAAGTTTCACCTTTAAAAGGATAACAATAATAAAGTTCAACAAGAAAATTATCTCAAAAAATGTCATTAGTTGGTTCAAATCATACTTCCCAATAAAATATTCTAGAAAATACTTCTGGTTAATAATTATTGTTATTCAATTAAACTCATAAGAAAATTGATGAAGAACTATTACATATTTTATTGACTAGATGGAAGAATATTAAGTAACTTAAATATCAATAATTAGTTCAAATAAGAAAAGAATCAAATAGAAAAAGGTATTTATGAAGTTAGATGATGAACAATTATAAGAAAAAAGAAAATAAAGGAGGTAGTATTTATGCCAAAAATTATTGTCGTGGCTCTAAAAAATGAATAGATGCAAAATCTCATTATAAGAAATGAGTAACTTTCAATTTCCATCATAACCCTTTCAAATAGATGGATCTTTTATATTTCTCAGATATATAAAATATAATAATATAATAGAAATAAAAAATTTAATAAAATTTAATAGAAACTTACTTTTTGAATTTAATCATTTAGGATAAACTTGTTTACATATTGCTGCTTCAAAAGGAAACTCTACCTTATTGTAATATTTGTTATAGTGTGGAGCTGATTATGAAGCAAAAGATTTCATGAACAGAAATCCATTATGGTATGCAGTTGAAGCTTAAAGCGAAGAATCATTTAAAATGTTATTAAAAATTGGAGCAACACCATGGAATATTCAAACTTCGAATGCTTGGTTTGCTGATATATTGTAATAGGCTAAAAAAATACATACTTTAATCTCAATATCCCCTCATACTGTAAAATCATTAATTTTAGAACATGAATTTGAAAGAATATTGTGAATACAATAAAATTATATATAAATCATTTTATGTAATAAGTTTATGGGCGACCTTGATGGTTTATGATCACAATCTTTTGCATTAAGGATTATAATGGTTTGTTTTAGGGTGGATATTAGGTTTTATTAGAAATTTTGAAAATTCTGGAGCAATCAATCATCGAGACAGCAATCTTTTTTCTTCTTCTTTCCTAACTTCTCTTTGAATACATACTTAATTCTAATGACGAGAATAATCAGTTTCTTAATCTAATTAAGTATTAAAACACTAAAGACTTGGATTACTAAATAATTATTATGATTGTTATTAATGCTACGAATATTGTTTATTTGGTAAGAGTCTTCTAATTGATAATGATTGTTATTTTTTATTTTCATATTTTGTTTATAGAAATATTTTTTAATACAAGTCGAGATCACGTAAAAACTTTTCACTTTGTGCTATTTCATTTTTTTGATGAGTACTTTTAATTGAATTTTTCATTAATTATATTTTAGAATTGATGCTTTGTATTTTAATGGATTTATTAATATTTTTCAAATAAAGAAGAGGGATCTCCTTTGATTTAATATTTGGTTTGGCTTAATTAATGTCTATGGCTTACGAGGATCAAATCTATCTCCAATAAAATTAGAACAAACATGAGCATATTGGATTGGGGCAGGAATCTAGAATCAAATAAATGTTACTTTTATTGCCCCACTAAAATTGTAATACATATAACATAATTTATAAGCTAGAGCTTACAATTTCTTAATAATATTTGGTTCATCTATTAAATCATTTACTAAAATATGATAGTAAGTAGGCTATACAGTTCCTTAAGTGGTTTTTTATGAAATCAAATAAAACCCATCTTTTCCATTACAAATTTCATTATCAATCAAAGTTCCTTATTATGGATTGTCCAAGTTCCTAATTATTAATATAAATAAAGAACCTTTCTCCAGCATAAAATTTAGCTCCTACTTTTTTATTAACAGAAAGTACAATCAGTTTAATAGGTTTATTTTGATTTTTTGCCTTTTTAACTTATTCAATTGCCTATCTAAATTGAGCAACCTCTGTTTCAATCACTGTTTTTGCTTGGGAATTTGAAACCCCATCTCTAAAAATTATGATCCTAGAAGGAAGAGGTGTTTTATTATCACTTGTGAAAGATTCTAATGATTTAACCAAAACTGGACATAAACTAAATGAAAATTCAATTCCAGTATCCATTTCAATAGATTATGTCATGTATTTACTAAAGAATTCATCTTCAGTAGATACAAATGATAACATTGACTTTCTTCCTTTAGCTGTTGAATGATAAACATCCATTCCACAAATCATTGTTGGTTGATCAGTAAATGGTAAATCTGAAATTCCCCATGGAGTACCTCCTACTTTAGCACAAATTTAAACTAACAATTTATTACAAATTGTCTTAACTTTTCCTTTTGGTTAATTTAATGTAGAACTTAAAATTACTTATGATGCTATAGGACAATCATTAATTAAGTATCTTTTTAGATCAGTGTATAAAGGAGCATTTTTTTTGGGACCATTCAAAATTAATAATAAAAGGGTTACTTTTTAAGGTCCTTGGGATTATTAAACAATAAAATCAATTTATTTAATCCAATCTTCAATTCTATTTGTATGTATAGCGAATGTTCTTGGAGCTTTGCATTAGAATTTACAATATTCAATACTTTCTCTCAAACATGACATGAAATCTTCAGCTTATCTTGAATCTCTATCACTATACAGGATGCCCCAATTCTCTAAACCAACTCCTCTTAACATAGCAGTTTATGTATCTCTGTCTAAATTACCTGTTTCTATATTTATTGAAGTATTATTTCCCATAATAATATTGCCAGGTTTGATTTTGGAACTCTAAATTTGTAGACACTTAGATTCAAGTTAAATATTCCATTTCTTAATTAATTCTTCACTTTCTTTATTATGAAAACATTAAATAAATTGATCTGCTTATTTGACTCTATCAACTCCTCTTGGTTTAGTAACAGTAGATAATTATTTCATAGTTTAAAAGTTATTTCTCATTTCATTAGATAATCCAGTTAATACACATAATTCAGGTATTAAATAGATAATCTTTTCTTCTTATCCTTTTCTTGATTTTTCTAACACTTCTATCAAAGGTTAGGCACTATCTTAGATATTTATTTTATATCTATATATAATATATTAAAATACTTTTCTGAATAATATTGCATGTAACTCATTTTGGATCCACTCTAATTTTCAAACTCACTTTTAGGATTCATTTCTCTATTTATTTTGTTAACTCTATAAAATTTATAATTATAAACTGTCATAACAATGGCTCCTTCTATTAAAGAATAATCTCTAGAGTTTCGTAATTCTTCATACATAGTTGTACTTCTTAACATTTTGAAAGATGAATCAATATTGATATAATACTTACCTTGTTCCTCTTATTTTATTAGACTACAAGTAACTCCAGGTAATACCTGAATTTAATTATTATATATACTTTTAGTCCAAATTAATCAAAATTTATAATATTCTTAGTATTAAAGTACTTTCGACCAATTTGTAATAATTTTTATTACTTTAACAACATTTTAAAGAACCTTCCAATCAATCCAGTATATTCTGGTTCTCCAGGTTTAAGAACTGCTTTTTCTTCCAAAGATATAGTATAATTGGTTCCTTCCTCTTCATATATTCCTAGAATCAATCCCATAGTTTAGGCTCTAACTGGAGAATATAATATTTAATTATTTGTGATAAACACTTTGAGGTTTTCCTGTAATCCTGATTTGGCTGCCTTAAATAAGTCTCTCCATTTACAAATCTATTATTCTGGGGTCATGAAAGGTTAGAAAGAAATCTAATAATAATAATTCAAATATCTATTACTTAATATCTGTATATGTGGCTGTTTGGGTTTATTTGTATTTAGTAGAAATTAGTGAATACTGTTTATCCTCTTTCAATCATTTACAATAATATATAATACATCAAGTCCAAATACTATCATGAATATATTTGATAAAAAAACCAAGGATTTTACATTTATGTTCTATAATAATTAGGATTCATGTTTCTGACTACAAAAAACTAATTTTATAAATTTATTTTGATGATTAATTTAATTAATTTCAAATGAAAATAGAAATTAATATAAAAAATGTATTATTATTCTTTTAAATTAACAATAAGCTAAATTGAGTATTTCTATTTAAAGTATAAAAACAATTTATCTAAAGTATCATTAAATAAATGATATGGAATATAAGTAATAAATGATGTTATTTTTGATGAATTAATATAATATAAGGTTTAAATAATACTTATTATTAATGATATCTATCAGTTTTTATGTTAATGATGTATTCACACAAAATCTCCTTTTTTTTTAAACTAAGTTTATTATTAAGAAACATTTTTTAAATAAAAATAATTTAATTGTTGATTTTATTTGGACAAATCTTTATAAAATTAAATTTTTTCATAAAGTAATATTTTATCCATCAGAAAATTTCATTTATTACTTAATTTATACAAAATTTTTAATTGTATAGTAAGATAATTCATAAAAATTAAGAATAATGTCGATTAATATTGATGAGATTCTGTAAAAATTAAGAAATTCATCAATTGAAATATATAATTTAATTCTGCATGATTAGGATGGATTCTAATTAAGATTTAGTTATTTAATCATAGAGATTTTTAACAATTCTAGATTTATCAGATCAAATATAATATTTTACATTTAAGAAGGATATAAAAATAGTAAACATAATTTCTCTATTGATTATTTTGAATAGGATGTTTCATATAATTAATAAGGTATAAGAACTATTTTGATGACTAAAACTACTAATAAAATTGAAATTAATAAATAATAAAATTAATAATAAGGTATCATTATAATTTTAATTAGTAATGATAGTTTTTCATTTTATTATAATTTATTTCTTATTCATCAAAGCATTTAAATATTCATTCATACCACTATATTCATTTTATCCAAATTTGATTAATATTAGTTTCTAATTAATATCTAACTCAAATAGATTATGAGGTCTTTTACTAAATTCTTCTTCACTATTTTCAAGTACAAACAAATTATAAAATTCATATTCACTTTTTGGCTAAACTGCAGAATTTACAATTTTAAAATCATTAATATTGAATTTTACTAATCCCTATTTCTCATTCAATTAGAAAGTTTCTCTTAATTCTTAATTATCATATTTACTTTGAGGTTCAGAAGCATTTAATTTATAAATAATTACATAATCCTTACCATTTTTATCCATATATATAAATTGAGGTTTCTTTGCTTCTTATTGTAAATATGTTAATCTTTATTTTGAATAGATTAACTAATTAATAAATTAAATAATATACAAAGAATCCTAAAAATGCAGATATATGTAGAAAGTCTAAAGATCCAAAAAATAACCAATAACTTGAATAAAGTGAGATTGGAACTAATTTAGCGATTCGTAAATATATCTTCTATTTTTACTCTTCCTAAGACAACTCTTTCTACTTAAATATTGGAATATATTATTGATTGATCCATAAATTTGGTACTACATATTTTGTAGGGTAGTATTTTTGCAGAGTACAAAATCTAGATATTAATTTAATCATAATTTAATTTTAATTTTATTTAACAACAATATTAAATTCTATTATTTATGAATATTGTAAATACATATTTGATTCTTGTATTTTTATATATATTTAATACTTAAATATCAAGTTCATATATTTAATAATTATTTAAATGTTATTTTCAATTTTTCCAATACGAATTTCAAATCATTCTTTTTCTTTATTGAATAGCATATCATTAAAAATAAAACAAAGAGTAATACAACTGTCTTTCGTCCAATTACTTTAGAAAATAGATATCGTTTTTATTTAGGAATTTCTATTGTTAGTTATTAATGGCGATGCTCATGAACTTGATTTTGTTATTGTTTGCCTTAATGAATTAACCCTTTTTTCTATGTTTCAATCAAATTTAATTCTTCTTATATTGTCTATGCCTTATTTCATGATTATACCTTTCTTATTTATTCATTATAAATATTTTTAGTTTCTTTAATTACTTCTTGGACATCAAACATTTCAACTAAAGTCTCTAAATAGTATTGTTTAAAAATAATCATTTATTGATCTTAATGCATGTCCAATTATTAATTAAATACATTTGATAACTTGATAATTTCTAAAGCTAATTTATGTTATTTAAAATTATTAAATAACCTTGCTCTTTACAATATTGAAATGAAAATACAATTCTATGAGCAATTACAAATTTTCTTAAACATATTATTTATTTCTCATCACTCTTTCATATGCTTAATCATATAATCCATATTCTAATAAGGCTTATATTTTTTTTGAAAACTAATCATCTAATTTAATTTAGTCTTGAGTATTACTAAAATTTGAATTATCAATAGATTAAACATCCTGTCTTAGATTGTTTTAAATTAACTATTACATTCCACTTATAAAAATTAATTAGAATTAAAATTTTGAAATTATTATATTAATATTTTTAATCATATTTTGAATTGTTTAAATATTTGTCCAATTCTTAATAGATTTATTTTTAATTATCAGAAGACAATATTGAGAAACTAGAATCTTCCAAAAATTTGAGATTAAACACATGAACAGAATATTAATAAATAAAAAAATGAAAATTAATCATAATAAAGTAATAAATTGAATGTTTTTGAAAAAAAATCAATAATTATTTCCATAATTTAAAGCAGTTCTTGGATATTTATTTTCAATCTATTAATTTTCTTTTGCAAAACTATAATACATTCTTAAGTTATCTTTTCTTTCAGAAAATAATTATAACTTTTTATTTTCATTTGTTCTTGCATAATAATTGTGTTCATATAATTATTATTATTATTATTATGATTATTATGCTAAAACTATTGATTATTATTAAGGTAGACTTTAATATTATGATTATTATTATTATAATAATGATTATTATTATTGTTATTATTAAGTTATCAATATTTATTATTCCTATTAAACAAGCTTATCTTCTAATTAACGTATTCTCTATTCATACTTCTCCTATATCTAATCCTCAACTATAACTTATCAATTAATAATATTCATACCTCGTTTATCTGCAATTATATCTGTATCTCTTTATTATTTTGTCAATTTTTAAATGTTCTAATATTCCATTAATTCTTCCTTAAGCTTTAAGATTTAATTTTTCTTAATCTATAATTATTCCTCTAATTCATCAATTCTATCTTCTAAAGCTTTCTATTTTAATGTCTGCTGTTTTTTTAAAGTACCCACTTTTGCATTATCCAATTCTTATACTAATTATTATATTTTTCTTTATGAATTATCTGTATAAGTTTAATAAATATTTTATAATTCAGCCAGTTGATTTTAACTAATATTAAATTTTTAAAATAAATCTTAGTATTATATTTAGTAATTTTGATCTAGAGATTAATATCTTTAACTCCAGAGCATAATTTATTCTTTGTATTATTATTATTATTAATGCAATCCTTCAATTTCATGTTTAAATTAATCAATTTCCTTACATTTATGATTTAACTTTTCAGTAACATCTTATTCTACTTTTCCTTTAGCATCTTATAAAGCTTTTTCAAATTATTTAATAACATCTTTTTGGATATTTATTTCTTATTATTAAGTTTCAATAATTTTGATCAACTTTTAATTTTCATCCATCAAATGAGTCAATTTATCAGATGATTAATTTTAAAATAAGTTATTTTCTCTTACCTCTTTTAATTTTTAATCTTTCTATTCTAATTAGAGTTGCATTTATTAAATTTCTGAAAATAAATTGTTAATTTTTTCTTACAATGTAAAATTACTATCTTAAAGCATTTGATTTTATGTATTGACTATTTAAAAACTTTCATTGTGTTCTTCTTCTAAAACATTAATTTTATCTTTCAATTATCTATTTTCTAATATAGCCATTTAAAGTTAGGTTGATAATTCTTTAATAACTTCTCTATAAGTTTGTGGATCAGTATCTGTTATTTTAGAATCTTCACATTCATTATTTTCTTGAATTCGTGATAATTATCTAGGAGTGGCTCCCTACCTTGGAGTAACATGATAAGATGAGAAACTAGTGTTTTAAGCATCTTCATTAATAGTTGATGTAAAAACATTAGAGGTATTAATTGGTGTAAAACTAGAACCTTAAATTCTTGGAGAAATCATTCCGTTATAAATTTTATTAATAAATATATATATATATATATATAATTTTATGATATTAGTAATATCGGATGAATAATTTTAATAGTGAATTAGTTTGATAATATTTTTATTCAAACGGAATAGAATATAGTAATAAGATCATTTTTTTATTAAATCAATTACTTATTTTATTCTGTTACTTTCTATCAAAAATAATTTCAATTTTTGACTCTGTAGCAATAATATTTGGGTGTTATTATAATTCATCGTTCATCAATATCTTATAAGAAAAGACTTAAAATTGTTTGATATTGATATTCTATTAGTCTGAATACTCACCTGATCCTTAAAGAATTGCTGTTTTTGATTATTCCTAAAATTAGACTTCAGCCTTTCTTTTTTGAATATGAGTAGAGTGAGTTAAAACATATTTAATTTATTCTTTCTCTTCATTATTGTCTGGATCCTTTGTTTTCACTTCTAATCTATTTACTTAATGATAATATAAAACAAATACAATTAAATTACAAAATAGTTCTTAGATTTGATAATTCTTTTCTTAATTGAAAGTTTTCTTATTCTAATTATCTCCCTTTTTGTTGTAATTGTAATAATAAAAATTCTTCATCATTTCCTAAATTATTAATCATTTTCTACTATTTTTTATAATTAAAAAAATATTTATAATTAAGTTTTTTAAATAATTTAAAAGTATATTCCACATCATTGTATAGATTGTAAAATATAAGATTAGATATATATTTGAATTTACTAATAATCATATTATTTTTCGGAGCCAAAAAATTACAAAATGAATCAAGAATGTAAACTTAATTACTTATTAAAAAGCAATTTTATGATTGTATGTAAAAATAATTATTGTATTTATGCTATTAGTTTAAGTTTTATTGTACTCTATTGATAATTTGAACATGAAGTGGTTATGAATTGAATTTAAATAAATATTGAAGGATGAGATATATTTTAGGAATATAAGAAATTAAATTAAATTATACACTATTTTTTTAAGTTTTTCATTCTTAAATAAGAGTCTATGTTTTCATTGAATAGAGGATATGATTAACATTATTAATTAATATTTTGTTGATGAAGTAATTGGTGCAGATTAGATATTATCCATAAAATAAATAAATAGTATTAAAATGATGATTTATCATTTGCTACGCATTAACATAATTTTCAATTTATATCGTTTTATATTTCAAATCTATAAATTAAAAGTTATTATTAATGATTGCTTAATCTCCAAATTTCAAGTTGAATCCTATGACTCCATTAAGTGTTCATCACAAAATGGCTATAGTTGAAGATGAACCAGATGACTTGGAATTAGAATAATAAAAAATTTCATTTAATGAAAATTTGATCGTTTGTACATACAAACCTAATCAAAATGTTACTAACATATAAAAAACAATTTTAAAATTGAAAGGTCAACCAAATATTGGTTGGGTCAATCCAATTTTAAAGGATGAAAGAAATAGATCAACCTCAATCTTGAAGTGCTCTCAATCACCTACAAGAATTTGTTCAATTTGTATATGAATTTGATTATAAATATATTGTTATTATAACTGTAATTTATACAATCTTTGTTTATATAAATGATAAAAATAAGTTAACAACTAAACATTCTATCGAATTCCAAATAAATTATTAATTAATATATATAAAATGTAGAGTTAATTTTTTCAAACCTATTTTAGAGGATTAATTGAACGCTGTGTTAGTGTAACAATTGAATTAAAGAATGGTTTATAAATACAAGGATAAATTACATATGTTGATGATAACTTAAATTTTAATTTAGTTGATCCTGAAGTATCAGATCCTCTTAAATAACCTTAATTAATAACTTTAAAAAATAGTTTCATTCGAGGATCAACAGTTAAATATGTTCATATTCCAAAAGAAGAATTGTAAGAAGAAGTCTTGATATCTGCTTGCAAAAATGAAGTCAAAAAATAAAAATAATGAGCATTATTTAACAATATTATTTATTTGAAATGAATCAAAATAAAACTCTTCCCTTTCAACTTTGTTTCACAGGTTGTAAAAGATGCTGTTACCATTGTAATTTAGGTAATGATCATCTAATCAATTAGGTTGTTAATCATGTTTAATTTCAATAAAACAATGTTTAGTTCCCTGTTGTCAAACCATATGTGATTTAATGAAGACTTTATGTACTAAATTGAATATCAAATGTTCTCTATGTTAAAATTGCTATTAATAATGTTGTGGTGAAATATGCAATTGTTAATTTCGTTGCACAAATCCTTTCCTTATTTAAGATTAGATTCCTTAAGAGCTTTTTGAAATTCTTTAGAATTTTGATCATCTTGGAGAATAAAATATGTTTTGTTATGGTAATGTTCATATACTCAAAGAGAATATCATATATCCGTAATCATGTTGTATAAATAATATAGATCATCAGAATTACACAATCCAATCATGTTTGCATAGAAAATCATAGATCATTCAAATAAATCAATGGCTAAGTAATTTACTGCTGAATGGATACCAAGATTAAAATAACGATTTCCTCATATATTATAATTATAATGTAAAACTATATTAATTGAATTTAGTAATGTTATAAAGATAAATAGATGGATTTTTTAGTAAATAATACAGAACATATTTATTTTATGATTATATATTGGATTCATTTTAATAAGAGTTTTAATATCGTATGAAAATGGATAATTATTTCTCTTAAAATGAATTACTTGCTTATTTCTTAGCCATAATATCTGGGATCACTTATTTGTAAACTTAAGGCATTAATCCATCATTTATTGATTTAAATGAAGTTTATTTAACTGAAACTGGAACCATAAAGCTTTTAGATCCTTCATTCTATCCAAAAAGATCACCCATGTAATAAGTATTAGATGATATGTAATTAAATTTGATTATATTATATAGTGTTTAAAGTAAAAAGATATATGCAAAAATATTGAAAAGAAATAATAAAATTAAATATTATTTAGCACCTGAATAATTGCAAGTGTATATTCTAATAATTTCTTATTTTAGGAAATCAATACTGGAAATGACTAGACTCGATTAAATTCTTGTTTATTTACTCTTGCAATCTAAATTATATAATATTCAATCATGAAAAATATGGATGATTGTTATGTCAATTATAATATCAATTATGAATTATTAGATGAAAGGAAAACATTAGCTAGCTAATTTCTAAGTATAGAATTTATGATGCTTTTAAATTAATGTTTAGAAGTAGATCCAGATTAAAGAATTTCAATATCATTAGCATATTAATAATTTATTAAATTACCTGATGTTCAAATACTTATATTAGAAATGCCAAAAGAATTTGGATTGTCTTATAATTCATTAATAATTTAATAGGATTTTCAATTATAAATACCATAAACTATAAATATAGAACCTAAATTTAATGAAATCAAATAATAACCATAATAACAATAATAAATATAATAACCATAATAAATAAAATCTTAAAAAAATGCTTTTGAAGAATTATTGAAATAAAAAAATTATTAGATTGGATAAAAACAAGAATCTATATTTACTAAAATTCTCAGAGAAAAAAACTATTAATTTGGTTATAAACCAAAACCTAATGTTAGAGAATAATTAGAACTTTATTCACCATAAGATTCATTCCTTGATAAATTGGACATGTATCGTTAATAACCATTAATTTTATATTAACAATAAAGTCCTATTGAAAAAGAAATTTAATTGTTTTCAAAATAATAAGAATTGGATAGAGATAATTAAGAATATAAATATATAAGAGAAACATATCCAAATGGTTGTATTTATGAGGGTTACAAATTCAATAATTAAAGAGAGGGTTAAGGTATATATATGATATTAGAATTAAGGAAAATATATACATCCTACAGGAGCATTTTATGAAGGTTAATGGCATAATAATAAGATGGAAGGAATGGGTAAATTTTATAATAATGATTTTTTAATATATGATGGAGAATGGAAGGAAGATGAATATCATGGACAAGGAAGAGAATATAATGATGATCCTGATAATTTAGGAGTAGTAAATTATAAAAATTTGAATAATATTGAATAAATATGGATGACCTATTAAGGAATATTTAAAAATGATAAAAGGGAAGGATAAGGGAATATGGAATTTGTTAATGGAGCTGTTTATCATGGAGAGTTTCGAAATGGTTTACCTCATGGGAAAGGAAAATATAGTGATAAGGATTAAAGGATTATTGGTTAATGGAATGAGGGGAGATTTGTAGATGATATATGATTAGAAAATGATATTATATTATTATTGAAATATTAAATAATTTGATGTTTTAATTATCATGTATGAAATAATAGGAATGAATTATATAATATATAATTAAATAATATATATAACTTATGTAAGGTGCTAGGTTTGTAGAAACTAATTTGGTTCAGAAAATGTTACGTAATCAAAATTATGAATATCATAAGAAGAAATTGGATGAAATTTAAACAGAGTAATAAATTGATTATTAAGATTTAGAAAAAAGCCAAGATATGCTTTCAAAGATTTCCCAGTACTAAGTAAAACATAACAATTAAAAGCACAATCATCTAGATTTTAGAAATCTGAATAAAGAAAACGAATTGATGAATAAAATTAATATTTAACTTCACATATTATAGAAATTCAAGAAGGTAAAAACTCATAATTCAGATCTATATGGACAGTTTAAAATTTGAGAGAGAAAGCATATGTAAGTTAAATTCTTTAGATTTAAGGCAGATACTTCATTATGGAGTGAGAATGCATTAGGAAAGAGGTTGCATTCCCCTTTAAGAAGAAAATAATAATAAAAAATAGATGAAGAAAATTATGAACTACAAAAGAGACTTGAACTTACTAAATAAATACTTATTGAAAAATAATAAGAGTAAATACATAAATATCAAAAATTAAGAGATCATATGACTAGAGTAAGTATAAATAAATTAATCAGATTAAACCTAAATGTCAAAGTTCTCCTATGTTGAAAACACATTTTCCATCTGTAAAAAGTAAAAGTACTACTTAATTGCTTAATAAACAATATCAATCTGATTCATTAATGCAAAATAGTAAGATGAATGATTTATTAAAATCAGAAATAAATCTTAGCAAGATATCAAAAATAGAATGAATTTATAATCATTTATTATTAATATAATTTATTAATTTACAAGATGAGTGGATTTTTACATTAAAAAATAGAAACAATAGATTAAGCAATGGATACATAATCAAATTAGAGAAATGTTTAATATTAATAATAAACAACATGGTAAATTAATCATTAATTTATTAAGGTCTGAAGATTATAAATTAAAATCCAATTCAATCACTTAAGAGTATATATCAATATAAGATTCAGCATCATTTTAAAAGGTTTTAGAAACCAAAGATAGAGGTAATAATAATATATATTTATAACTAGAAATTATCAATTTAAGAGAAAGTGTGAAATCTTTGAACAATTAAATATCAGATTTAATAAAAGAATTAGATTAATGGAAAAATAAATATAAATAATTACAAATTGAGAAAGGAACTAGTAGATCTACAAATCTATATTAAGCCAATGATTTAGAAATTAATTAATATAAAGATGAGATTAATAAACTTAAATAAGAGAATAATGAATATAAATTTAGATTGGAACGAAATGTAAATATAGTATAAAATGATTATGAAGTCAATTCATTAAAATAATAGATTAAATAAATGGAAGAATAACTAAAAAAGACATCATATGTTACATCTATTCCAAATTAAGAAATAATTTAATTAAAAGATTAAATCAAATAAATAACAGCAGAAAAAGAAGATCTTATTAAAGTTAAGAATTTATTAAATTCATAATTGCAATAATCATAAATTTAAATTCAATAATCACAAATATAAATACAATAAGGAAATTCTAAATTAACATTTGGTTAAGATTTAGATTAATTTAGAAATGAAAGAGATGATTATAAAAGAAAAATTAAATTATTAGAGGATAAATTATAAGATTAATAACAAGAAATAAAAAGATTAAATTTTAATTGTGAATCCTATCTTTAAGAAATCTAATAATCCTCTTTAAGATTTACTAATAAAAATTAAAATGTTGAATTTGAAGGATATTTAAAAAGAATATCTGCTCTATAACATGAAGTCTTGGTCTGGTAAGATCGTTATAAAGCTTTATCAACTCAAGAATAAACATTTGCAATTGAATAAAAAGTTATGTAGAAAGATAATTAAATTACATTTTTGTAAGAAAGAATTAGATAATTTGAATTATAAGTAGATTAATTAAAATTGGAAATAGATAAATCTAAAAAAGAAATGAATGGATAAAGAATTAGTTTTGAAAACAGAAAATCAGATACAAAAGAAGTTGAGATTTTAAAAAAGTAGATTATTGAAATGGAATAAGATATTTAGATCTTGATTCAAGATTTAAATGAAAGAGATTAAAGAATCAGTTCCACTTAGAATGAATATTAAGAGGAACTTAGAATATTGAAAAGTTAACATCAAACTCAATATTAATAAGAATTAAATTAAATAAGAGAAGAAAAAGAAAAATATCAATAAGATTATGAAAGAATATCTAATGAATTTATGATGTTTAAGAGACAGAGTGAATAACATAATAATAATTCTTTAGAAATATAATCTTTGAAATAAAAGATTATTGAATTGGAATAATAATTGAAAAATTCAAATTATTAATATTAAATCCTTTATAGTTAGATCTAAAATTAATAATCATAATAATAAAGTTAATATCAAATTATAAGTATTAAAGAGGATTATTAAACATTATAAAATTAATATAAGATGGTTTAATCTGAAATATAATCTTATAAGGATCTTATAAATAAATATCAAAATGATCAAGAAGAATTGTATAAAGAAAATTTATAATTAAAATAAAAATCATAAATAGAGAAAAATACATATCAAATAAAAAATAATTAAAATGAATATCAAATGATATAAGAAAGATGCAATTAGTATTAAAATGAGATTTAATAATTAAATGAGTAAATTAATAAATATAAAAATGATTATTAATCCTTAAATTAAAATTATTTACTTTTATAAAGAGAAAGTGATTTCAAATATTCAACATAAAATAACAAAGAACTTGAAGTATTAAAATTAAGGATTAATCAATATGAATAACGTATTTCCTAATATGAAACTTAAATATAGTAATTAAAAATAGAGATAAAAAACTAAGAATCTTAATTTGAATTATCTTTTAAGGAAAGATTAAGAGTGGAAATATAATGTATTGAATAGAAAGTGAATAAGTAAGGATTATCAGAATTATCATAATTATAAAATAAATATAAATAATTGTAAAATTAATATGATCAATTATAAATTAAATATTAGGAATCTACTAAGGAATATATTACTAGACAAAGTCAATTTGATAGTTAGAATTTAAGAGATTAATTATAATAATTGAGATAAATAAATTTGTAATTAAATTCAGAGATTTCAAGTTTGAGAGAGCAAAGTTTAAAGTATAAAAATGACTATGAATTAATTAATCAACGATTTATTACTATTTAAAGAGAAAGTGAAATTTAAAAGAGTAGTTCACTTGAAATAGATAGATTAAGTAGTAGATTAAGAGAAGTAGATTATGAATTACAAAATAAAAATTAATAAATTAATTAATTACAATTAGAAATTAGGAATTTAGATATACAAATAAGAGATGATTTAGAAAAGTAGTTTATTTCTAGATTAACAATAGAAAGATAGAATTTAGTAGATTAATTATAAAATTAAGGAAATTAAGAAATATAATAATTATAGTATTAGTTATAATAAACATAAATTGAGTTGAATTAATATAGATCTAAGTATTAGTAATTAGAATAATAATATAATTAAACTAAAATTGAAATAACTTAGATTCGATCATAATCATCAAATATTAGTAATGAACAAGTAAAAAGATTGCAATTAAGAATTACAGAATTAGAAAATTAAATAAAAACATTAAATATTGAAATTGAAAGATAATAAAATATAAGATAAGAATAAGAGAATAAAATACAAATACTAATTACAAATATAACTGAATATGAATCACATTTACATATTTTAGAATAAGAAAATGCTAGATTAGATAGTAAATTCAAAAAATAGATTGTTAATGAAAAACAAAATGATTAATATATTGTAAATTAATTGGGAGGACAATAGAATTCTAAGATGAATCTCTAAATTGTAACAAGATAATCTGAAATAAATTAAATTTCTTAGATACCTATATCTAATAATTAATATATTGATAGATTTTAAACTTCAAATGAAGTATAGTATTCTTAAGTTTCATAAAAAATACTTAGTCCTTAATCTTAAGTATAAATCTATTAAAGTCCTGATAATAAGTAAAATCTATAAATATATATTAATTAGTTCTTAAACATAGAAATTAATGACAACGAAAAGTGTGAAATAAGCTATAATGTCATCAGGATATTAAGGATGATAATTTTTATATTTAATATCATAGTTATTTTTAATAAAATGATTTTCTAAAACTAAAAGGTTCACTGTTTTTGGACTTGAGTAAGAAATTTTGATTATACTTATTGAATGTAAAGAAAGAGTAAAATGAATCTGCTGTGGATTAAGTTTTAGTCTTTTATCCATAGGATCTATTTGAATTTGGGGGTTCATTCTATAAATAAGCATAATTATGTTTATTTTTTGGTAATTTTAGTGATGATTTTACTAATTATTTATTAGTAATTTCTCTATTAGATGATAGATTGGGTTTCTTAATCAATCGACCTAAACTATTTCTTTCATTTATATAGGGAACAAACACTTCTTCATTTTTAATTAAACAATTAATAGGATGTGTAGGTTCATTTAAGCTGTCTTATATCAAACCTTTTCTAAATAACTTATTTTATTGATTAGTAGCTTTTCTGAGTAGATGTGATTTGCGAAAGTATATTGTTTCATTTCTCAAAACATCATTAATTTGAGAACTCATTAATTTTAATTATCTTTTTTTAGACTTTAAACTCCAATTTTAATGTTAAATACAAGAAAAATGATTGAGTTTACTATAAAAATACAATATAAAAATAATGAATATATATAATTTTAAGTTGGAAATCATTTTATTTAATTTTTTTATAGATACTTACTTTCTTAACTGCTACTTCTATAACTGATTTAAGCTTCAGTTTTTAAATGTGAATATGACATTGGACTATAATATAATATATTTGATATATATATACCATGGTTATCTTATAAAGACAGGTTATTTGATGGTTTTGGTTTCAGCATAATTAGTTACTGATATCTTACGTATTGGGATTCTTTCTGGTGAATTTTTGTAACTATTGATTTGAGATTCTATTATTAATGATACTTACTATTAGATACAGATTTATCATCATTAACTTGACTTGCTTTACGTTAATGAGTGTAATTAGTTTAATTTAATTTATTCATATGATATTTTGTATCATATTCTTCAAGGATTGGCTCAGTAATTAGTTTTGTATGTCTTTATTAATTTTAATTGACTGCTTTACGAAGTTCACTTTAATAGATTACAATATCTTTATTCTTTTATTTTATTTATTATTCATATTCTTATATTAATTACATTTATTATTCTCTTTCTATTACAAAATCATCAATCTTTTATTATAATGTTTCTGTATAGACTCTTAATTATTATTCAATTCGAATATGTTAACGAACATCAGCTTCTAGTTTCTAAATCAATGACTCATATTATGTCTGAGATTCAATTTATTATGTTTTCTCTTCTAATTCTACCTTAGTTTTAATGAGATAGATGACTATTTATTTGAAATAATTCATTATTATGATACTATCAACTTAACTTAGTGTTGATTTATCATCATCAATAGGAATGACTTTTGATAAATAATCTTTAGATGATTTGTCTAATTTCTAAGTTATTTCTATAAACATATCTAAAATTGTGTTTGAATGTTATGAATATTTCTTGACATTCCTAAAAGATTCTGTCATTTATTTAATGTTAAAATAGTTCTCTTTGCTATCCATTTAACTGATTAATTAATTATTATATAATATTTATGTCTGAAAGGGAAGCCACATTAAAGGATATTAGTAAAAAAGCCATTGCAGATACTGAGAAATTAGCCACTGTCTAAAGATTCGGACTCTTTTCATCCCCTGTTCCCCTAGGTTTGGGTGATAATAGTTATGACAATAAGCCAAGACGTTTTATTATTTGTGTTAATACTTAGCTGCTCGTAATGAATAAGGAAAACCAATTACCTCTCCTCCAAATATGAAAGTCACAGCTCCATAATCAGGCAAAATCAAGTCATCCTACTTCAGTTAATTAGGCTTTACAACTATTGGTGATAAATATGTAGACCCTGAAAGAAAAATTCGGATTCAAGAATTGGAGGAAAATAAAAAATATGCTTCTGATGATAAAAAGAATTTTGTTCCTCCATCTGGTTATAAAGAATTAGTTGGTGGTGTTTATCCACACTAGAATGATTATGATATACCAAAAGGTCCTAATAATCATAAAGGAAGTGATGGCAGAGTTAAAATTGGACCAAAGAATGTCACAACAAATCCTGCTTCTAATAATTTGTGTCATTTCCCAAAGCATGAAAAGGATGAATACAATCGTTATAGACAATTTGAAAGGGAAAGAATCTTTAATGAATAAAAATTACTTAAAGATAAATAGCCATTTAAAAGTACCATTTATACAACTGATAATTTCAGCACTGATAAGTAAATCTTTGGGGAAACTAACTTACCTAAAGTAAACTTCTATATGAATTTAGCCAACTTAAGTTAAAGAGTTTAAACCAAATATTATGAAACATGAAGCTCCTTTTAAACCATCAAATCCAACTAAAAGTGGTGAGACTGGATGTTTAAGCAAATATCCTGAATATAAGGGAGATCCTCTTAAACCTACTTAAAGAAAAGACTTTGTTAAAGGAAAAGATCCTTTCAAGTAAATATAATAATTAGATTAGACCAAATCATTTAATGGAAATGGTTAGACCTACTCCAAGCATTTCGTGTTTTCCTCATAATCTTAAAAGAGAATTAAACAATAGAATGTTTTGAGTCATAATAAATTAATAATATATTTAATATCAAGAGGACTCTTTCATCTCATTTATCATTTCAACCATAGATGAGGAAGATATTGATAAATTTTGACTTAATGGTGTATGAATTTTATAATTTGTTTATGAATTCTACATATGAATAAATATTATACCTCTAATTATTCAAAGATTTATTAAATTTATTTCATTGCAGTAGTTAGAAATGGTTATTTTGGAGTTCTTAAATCTTATCTCCATAAATCCATTTAATTATTTTTTTCATTATTGATTATTATCTAGAATTAATTGATATCAATTGTCAGTTTTTTTATTTACTGATTCTTTTTTTCTAAATCTATTTCAATCTCTCTTACTCTATTCCTATATGCTTCTAATTATAAGTTCTATTGATTTATTTAATGATTTAATTAATCAATAATACTCTTTGCATTAATTTCAATAGCATAAATCTTTTCTAATTCCAATTCTAAAGAAGTAATTCGTTAATTTAAAGTATCTTTCAATTATAAATATTTAGATTTCCAATCCTCTTAATTAATATTATTCATCATTATTGATGAACTTCTTCCCTTTTGTATTTTTTGATTGATAATTGGATTTATATTCTTTTTATGAACATTTTCAAATAAATTTGGAACTGATCTATTCTCATTACTATTTACAAAATTTAAAAGCTGATTCTCAACTTAATTAGAGTTCTTTCGAGTAATATTTTGTTTTGGAGATAATGAAGTACAAGATCTCTATATTTAAGTACACTTATCCTTTTTAAAATACTTGCTCAAACCCTTCAGAGATTGCATAATTGATATTGGAATAACATTAGTATTCTAATTAATCTACTACAATTAAACTCTATATTGCATTCGTTAAATAATTATATAACTCAATTTTAATAATTCTCTACATAATCATTAATATATATTCTAATTAATTAATTGTAAAATCATATAACAGAGAATCTTTAAATACTTATATTTAATTAATTCATTTTTATCCTATTTACAAATATGAAAAATATACTCTCCTAATAATATCTTCAATATTTTATCATATTTTCTCATGAATTTATTAATTCTACTATATATTTAATAAATAAAATTCACTTAATAAATTCATATTATATTTCATATGAAGTTGTACTTAATTATTAAATAATAATTTTGATTGACTTATTTTCATATCTCAATTCATTATATTTTATTATTTTTAACAGACATACTCTTATTTATTGATAAATTTATACCTTAAATGTTATCAAAATGAAATAAGTTGATGATTAATGAAAGATATATACATTTATATATTTAATTATAAATATTAATGGCAGATCAAAGAAATAGAACACCTGAAGATCTAATATATTACTTCTAATAAAATTACTTACATTAAATGCGTAGGAAAACTCACTAAACAATACTTTAAGTTGAAATTCATTAAAACAAAATAAATAAATCAAATTCTACTCACATTCAATAACCCATCTCTTCAGCATAAAATTTATTTGATGCATATATCAAGGAAAGATAATAAAAACGTGAAGTCAATTAATCACTTATTAAACCTTATAGCAAATCATCCAAATAATTGAATTAGATTTTTATTAACAACCGATAGGTTATAAAAAGAAATCGTATTACATCAATATAACAATAACCAGATAAGAGTCTCGAATAGTTAATTTCAAGAAAAAAGAGTGTACATTTTACAATTTCAGATTCAAATTAAAATTAAAAAAGAACAATAGGTAGAATTTTTATGTAAATAGAGAGAAGTGTGATTGGCTGATAAGACCTGGTAAAGTACATGTAGATCGTAAATAAATCAAATAAATTAGACATGAAACAATATTTAGAGAAACTTTTAATCGTTTAAATGGCTGGTAGATAGATAATGATCATGACACAGAATTTTGATTAATATTATTATTACTATAATCGAATTTTTGAAGTGTTTTTAAATATAAACTTATTTTCAATTCATATATTATAATTAATGACATTTAATAACTAATATAGGATATTTTTTAATTATTAATACTCTAATCAGGATTATTTAATTATAAGATGAATAAAATTCCACATCAAGAAAATAAATAGAAATAACTATAGATAATACAAAGTCTTAAATTAAGAGAGTTATTAAAGAAGCTTTTTGAAGAAGTTAACTCTCTTGATGTCCAATCTAATCTAACGACAAATAAAAATGATCATGTAAATCAAATTTAAGATGATTTCATTGACTAATGTATTAATAATTCTATGGATGATTTCAATTCTTCTTATTCTTCATTCCTATATCAAACAGATTAAGATCAAAATTTTACAAAGAGAGGTAATTTTTACTTATTTGAAAATGGTCTTAAAGTTTTTAAATGTAAAGAATGCTAAGAAACTTTTGATACTCCTTAGAAATTAGGAACACACACCTCGAAAACTCATCATAACCTTTAAAAGATAAAAAAGTAGATTAAAAAAAAATGATAATCATATAAATTTTTCCTTTTTTATAATGTATTAATAAGATATTATAATATATTAATATATTATTGGAATTCTTGAGAATATCATAAGAACATTTTATTTTTTTTTTAAATGATAAAATATTAATGTGAAAAGATGATAAAATATTTATGTAAAAAGATGATTTAGACTAAATTATAGTTTCTGAACTTCAATCATTTTTAATAAATGAAGTTCATAAATTAAATTGGCTGTAACATTTTTATTTAATATACTATTTATATATCATTATTATTTTGATGCTTTTCTCTTCTTTTTTGGAGCTTCTTATGGTTATCCTATAAATTCTTCTTGAACTTCTTCAACAACCTTTTTTGCTTTGGCTTTCTTAGACTTCTTATCTTTTTTGGTTAATTGTTTTTCACTATCAAAATAGAGTCCTTCTCCTTTTAATTCTGTTAATACTTCATCCATAATATCTGTATTTTTGTTCAATTCTCCTCCAGCAGTTAAGAACTTTAATCTTTATTCCATTTAATCCTTTAATTTGATTCCAAACTTTTCAGTTGGTTAAACTAAGAAATGATCTAATCTTGAAGCAATAGCACATTTATTAGCTAAATTTCTATTAAAATTAATTGAAAATATAATACCTAGAGATTTTTCCTTTATCAGTTCCATTAGCTCTTCCAATATAAGTACTGTGATATAATAAACCATATTTAGGAGTATTGCCTCTAGTTTTTAATGCTCTGAATAATGCTTTTTCAGCTCCTAAGATTTAAATGGTAGATGCAGGATATTTAGCAAGATTAATTAATGATCCAGCATGAGCAATTAATTTTGCAGCTACATTTTCACCAATCAAAGCTGTAAGATTTGGTGCAATAGTTGTCATTTTATTTTTTAAATATTCTTATATATTGTCTCTGAATTCAAATTAATTTAGAACTCTAATACATAGATCTTTTAAAGTAGATAAATCAAGTTCTGATATATCTTAACCCATTGATATCTTAGCTGCTTCAACAATTTATTTAGCTAATTCAGCATCAGTTGTAAGTTCTTCAATTGCTTCTAATGCTTCATCATTGATATTCTTTTTATCTCCATAAATATCAACAATTCTAGTGAATAAACGATTGTCTGTAACAATCTTGGCCAATTCTGGAAAATGCCATGAATACCATTCTTTGATTCTCATACTTAATGTATTTAGATCTTTATCCATTTATTCAATTATGCTTATAGCTTAAGTTATATGCTTGTCTTCTCTATTGATATCTAATTTCACCTTGTTTCTAGATACTTGATGTGCTAGACCAAGTTAAGCTTAAATATAATCTCTTTCTTTGAAATCTTCATTTCTCAAAAAATCAACAAAATGTGTTCTGATACCTCTAAATACTTAGGCAGTGGCTTCATTCATTTTACTCTTTAAATTCAAATATTATTAGAGTCCAGCAGCCAAACCTTTATCACTAATTGCAATTTAGAAACTACTAATAAATAAAATGAATTACTTGCTCTTCTTTCCTACAGGAGGTAGATTGGTTGATAAGAAATCTACTAACTCTTAAGTGACAGAACCTGTATGAATTGCTAAAGCATTATTTAAAGCAATTTCAGCAGAAATAAAAGGTTGAAAAGCCTGAATTAAGAATGATAATTACTTTTAAGTGACATACTTCTGCGAATTAAGCAAAGTCAGAGAATTGTTTTTGAATCTATTTTGATTTGACATTTGTTTCATCGACACTATCACATTAAAATAAGGCTAAACCAGCTGCTGCCTCAAATAAATAAAATGTGCTCATAATTAAATATTTAATTTAATGACAATCTATTAGTAATTTTAAATTAAAATAAAAAACCATTCTCAACAACATTGCTTCTTTGATTTATTTTTATCTTCTTTTGTAGATTTATCAGCAATTTAAATTTATATTGGTTCAGACATTAACTTTAAACTTGCTCTTTTCTAATATTCTTTTCCTTAATTGTCAATACCTACATAAATCTCTAAAATTAATTCTCATTTATACTTTCTAATAACATTGAAAATGCTTTGCCAACATTTGCTGCTTTTAATGATGATGTCTCTAAAAATGCCATATTATGTTATAATGCCTTCTATGTTCCATCCTCAATTCTCACAACCTAATTGAAATTATTACCATACTCTTTTACTCTCTAAATCTGACTTAGTCCCTATCAACATTGTGATCAAATTACTATCTCCATGATCTTTTAATTCATCTATCCATTTCTCCACATTCAAAAATGATTATTCCTTTGTAATATCATAACAGATCATTGCACCCATAGCACCTCTATAATATCCATAAGTTATTGCTCGAAATCTCAATTTAAATTATATATACTTCTCTTATCCAGCTGTATCCCATACTTGAGCCTTAATCGTTTTCCCCATAATGTCAATGTTCCGAGAAAAGAATTCAACTCCGACAGTAGGTTTACTATCATCAAGGAATGTTTGTTAAGCAAAACGATTCACTAAATTAGTTTTCCCAACTCCTGAATCACCTACTATAATTATTTTCATCAAAATATCGTAATCTTCATCATCGTACATTTTCTATATGATTTTTTATTTTTTTAAATCTTTAAACAACTTTAAATAACTATCCTTTACTTATACTGATGGGATTCAATAAAAAAAAATTAACAAATATATATATCAGCATTAGCATGGAAATGTTTTACAGCATACTTGTTTCAGAACAGGTCTGTATGTTATCATCATTATCATATTAATGAGTTAATTAAATACTAATAATATTTTAAACATATTTAAATTAATTATGGGATTTATCTAAAACATTTTGAATGACAATAACCATTACTTTAAAATCTGTTTTACTAATAAATTATCTTTATAAAATAATTGATCTATTATTATTTTTAATAATCATATATATATATATATTCATAATAATAGAATCTTTATTTCTTATTTATTATAAAATATATCATCATATAAGAATGATATTATTATATACATAATTTAATTCATTAATAATAATTTATAATTCATAATTATCTATTTAGTTAAATAATAATAAAAAGATTATTGTATATTATCACTTTGTTTATCTTATAAATAAATATTTGTATAATATGAAACTTTTGAAATTACTAATATAAATTAAATATTTTATCAAATAGATAAGTTAAATACGTTGATTAAAATTTGAGATAAAATTTCGAGGGTTTATTATTATTTAAATTTGTAAATGGCTTTGATTAATATCACCAATATTGTTTTCGATTAAGACACAGCACTGTTTAACAGTCCAATTCAAATGTAAATTACTTTCGATGTAATGAGATAATTAGATGAAGAAATTGAATGGAAGTATTAAATTATTGAAACTTAGACTTATTTATATTGGATCCCCAAATAGTGATAAATATGATCAAGTACTTGAATAATTTTCCATGCCTCCTTTACAATAAGGAACAATGTAATTTACTTTAATGAGTTCTGGTCCAAATTTTGAGCTGATTCCTAGTAAAGATGATTTATTTGGCGCTAGTGCCATTATTCTTAGTGTTAAGTATAGAAAGCAAGAATTCTTTAGAGTAATTATTTTGATCTATTATATATGATTAGGTTGGTTACTATGTTTATAATACTTATTTGGAACCAGAATTAATTGAAAATGATCCACCTTAAGTATTAATAGATAGAGTATACAGACAAATCAATACATAAGCTCCTAGAGTAACTAGAATTAATATTGATTGGGAAGGTTAAATGGTTTAATTGTATGTTAATCCTCAATAAAATAATCAATCCTTTATGTTCCAATAATAACCAATTTTCAATGATATTACTAATAATCCTGATTATTTACAATAATCAATATAAGATAAAATACAATAACCATAATAATAATAACAATAATATTCTGGTGGATTAAATAATAATTAATACACTGATCTTTAAAGCATATTTTGATTAATATATATATATATATATTTATTATTTGGAAATATAAATCCCATAAATTTATAGAATCATGATATGAATAGTAAATCATCATAATTTAATCATCATTAATTAAACTATATATGAAATTAATGGGTCCTGATTAGAATCTTATAAAATAACTATCTAATCTTTCTCAAACAATTCACATTCTTAACCAAGACCTACATGCATATTAGTTCTTTAATTTCTTATAACTGTAGTTCCATTCTATCCATTCACAACCAAAAATAATTTTAATAAATTAGACTTATTATCTTAATCTTATTATAAATTTTCTATTGAAATTATTTCAGATGATATAAACTTTGTATCAGGAATGAAAGTATTTTTTTTAGAATGAGAATATTGAAGAGAATTTCTCATTTCTAAAGTACAATGATTTTTTTTGGATAAGGTATATATTTTAGCTTCCTTCATTATTTATTAGAGTTTTATAAATTCCTTTCTTGAAAAATGGAATATATTTTTATGAGATTCAGCATCTTCCATTTGAATTTTAAATTTGTATTCACTTTTTAGATGTCTAGGGTATTAATCAAATATTTCTTTAATTAGTTTAGGAGCTTTAAGTTTTAATACAATTTGAATTTCATATATTGATTCTAATCATAATCAATATTATATACATTAGAATGATTATTTTCTTGAGAAATTAGGTATTACTACTGTTTTTAGAATCTCTAAAGATTACAATTCTAATTCATGTATTTAACCATTTATTTTATTTAAATCTTCTATACATAATAACAGTTCCTTATAATTGTTACTCTTACTGTAAAAGTAACCGTTTATTCTTAAACTAATAAGAAAAAAATAAATTACAAAGTAAGATTAGAAGGCAACGATTGTAATAGTAATTCACCTGAATGCAAAAGATCCTTGCATTGTTATATTAGTTGTTTCTATTCACTTCTATATAAATCTTCTTGTATATTATCAAAGTATTCAACTTGTTCTAATGATTAAGTCACTTAACAAATTAATTATACTAATTCATTTTATTTCTTATCAAAAATGTCCTTTGCTGTAAAGAATTGTTATCCTTCATGAACAAACTATTTTATTATAGGAACTATAGGAATCATTATAATAATCCTAATTGTTATTTATTTAATTAAATTTTAGATTAATGGAATCAAGATCATCATGATTGGTTCTTTTATTAATAAAATGAAAATATTCCTTCTTCTATTTAATAAACTTTAGAATAAATTATCTAATTTCAATAAAACAATAATTAGATAACTATAAATTAAATTTAGCTTCATATTTTATTAGATTATATAAATGGGTCCAATATAATCAAATTTTAGTACTAAAACTTTTTGTGATTTTCCTTAAAATTCTCTATAAATTTTATAATTATTGTTAAATTTACAAACAATTAATAATTATAGTATAAAATTTAAATAAGTATCATTATTTTTTATTTTATATTTTAACTTGAATTTTAAATTATTTCCTATATTATCTAATATACATTTAATAAATAATATATTAATTATTATAATCAATGAATTTATAATTATATATTAGATATATATGATAACATAATAATAAATCATTTAGGGAATATTAAACCAGAATAATTTTTATATTCTCTTAATTTTATTCTTATATCTTTATTACTAAATCTAATAGTTTTCAATATTGGTATTAAGATTAAGAGAAGTGTATCAGATTATTCTCCTTTCCATGTCTAAATTTATATTCCATTTTCTGGTTATAAACTAAAACATTCAGGAGTATTATCTATAATAATAGTTTTTGATAATAATCTTCCTAATTTTCTAAGATCTTTTCCATAGAAATCCTAATAAATATTAGTATGTTATCTAAAAAGAAGATAACTAAAGTATTTTTTAATAGTAAGTTGATTTAAAATTCTATTAGCATATGATTCTAAGCCTGCAGTGAATAAAATTAATTCATATATTCTGCTAATTTATTTTAAAAAAGTTAATAAGAATGGACGTTGATGAACTTTATCGCCATCATAATAAATAATAGTTTCATCCATATCTAAGACAAGAGTATAAGATTCAAAATTAATAGGTAAATGATAACAAATTAAATTAGGATTAAGTAAAAGAGTAAGTATTTTATTGATAATAATTTTGGAGTAGATAGGAAAGTTATTTTGATTCTATTTAAATTTAAGATATTCAAGTAATTGATTTCTAAGATGGATATTATCAATATGACTATAAAAATCATTAATATATAAATATACCTTTGTATTATAATGGATGAAATTTAATCTAAAGAAAATTAAATTTATTATAGTTTCTAAAATAAATCTTCATTATGCTAGATAAATTTCATCCACATTTAATGATGTATCGTAATGGTTTTGATAAATTTAAATTTGTAACTGTAAAACATGAAAACAGTTAAATCATGTTTCATTAGATAACATAAAATAATGGCCAAGAACTCTGAATATATGTTTGCCTAAATATCATTTAACNATCATTATTTTTTATTTTATATTTTAACTTGAATTTTAAATTATTTCCTATATTATCTAATATACATTTAATAAATAATATATTAATTATTATAATCAATGAATTTATAATTATATATTAGATATATATGATAACATAATAATAAATCATTTAGGGAATATTAAACCAGAATAATTTTTATATTCTCTTAATTTTATTCTTATATCTTTATTACTAAATCTAATAGTTTTCAATATTGGTATTAAGATTAAGAGAAGTGTATCAGATTATTCTCCTTTCCATGTCTAAATTTATATTCCATTTTCTGGTTATAAACTAAAACATTCAGGAGTATTATCTATAATAATAGTTTTTGATAATAATCTTCCTAATTTTCTAAGATCTTTTCCATAGAAATCCTAATAAATATTAGTATGTTATCTAAAAAGAAGATAACTAAAGTATTTTTTAATAGTAAGTTGATTTAAAATTCTATTAGCATATGATTCTAAGCCTGCAGTGAATAAAATTAATTCATATATTCTGCTAATTTATTTTAAAAAAGTTAATAAGAATGGACGTTGATGAACTTTATCGCCATCATAATAAATAATAGTTTCATCCATATCTAAGACAAGAGTATAAGATTCAAAATTAATAGGTAAATGATAACAAATTAAATTAGGATTAAGTAAAAGAGTAAGTATTTTATTGATAATAATTTTGGAGTAGATAGGAAAGTTATTTTGATTCTATTTAAATTTAAGATATTCAAGTAATTGATTTCTAAGATGGATATTATCAATATGACTATAAAAATCATTAATATATAAATATACCTTTGTATTATAATGGATGAAATTTAATCTAAAGAAAATTAAATTTATTATAGTTTCTAAAATAAATCTTCATTATGCTAGATAAATTTCATCCACATTTAATGATGTATCGTAATGGTTTTGATAAATTTAAATTTGTAACTGTAAAACATGAAAACAGTTAAATCATGTTTCATTAGATAACATAAAATAATGGCCAAGAACTCTGAATATATGTTTGCCTAAATATCATTTAACTCTGTATCATCCTACTTAATCATAGTTATTTACGGGAATATTTAATAGTGTAATGAGTTGTTCATATTTTGGATCCTTAAAAAAAGAAAATAACAATTATGATCTTTTATTAAGTTAGTTAAATAAACTCTTATTTATTTTGATTGAATCATAATGTTCAAAGGTATTTGATCGATTAACTTTATGAATTCGAGGTAATTAATAACTATGTATCCTTCTTCTTATAATCATTTTTAAAGATAATAATTAAAAGAAAATATTAAAATTATAAATGATCATTGTAATAGTAGAAATTCATTTGAATTAAAAAAATTTAATTAAAATAATTCATTTATAAGGAATATATATATATAATATAATTATATAAGTGTATTATTAATAAATTAAATGGACTATTCTAAGTAGCTATTATTGTAGTCCATATTAATCTAGTAATTAGATGTAATTTATTTAATTGTTATTAGAATTTATTTGATTGAATTATCAATGTTTAATCTATTTCTGGAATAGTCCTAAACTAATTATATATAAAGAATTATTTTAAAGAATTAATTTTAATATATGGACAAATTAGAATTTTCTATTGTTTGGGGAGTACCATCTAAGGTTATTTATTAAGCTCTTCTTGATCCATTTGAGATTATGTAATATACAAGAGCACCTGCAGTTGTTGAAGCAAAAGAAGGAGGATTATATAAAATAATGGAAGGACGTATAGAGGGTGTGTTCAATAAATTAGTATGATTATATTATATATTTAGGTTGAAAATCAAGAAATATAAATGACATGGAAATTCAATAATTGGAAATAATACTCAAATGTTACACTTAGACTTATTGAAAGGGAAGATAGTTGTGAATTGAAAATAACATAAACTAATTTCCCTTAAGATATTGATAAAGTTAAGTTGGAAGATGGATGGAAAAATTAAATATTTATTCCTATGAGCAAGATTAGAGGTTATCCTATTGAAGATGATGATTGATCATTTTTTTAATGCTGTTCAAGTCATGTATTTAATTAATATTTCAAAAATGTGAAGATAAAGTACCACCTTCTCCATCAAAAGTAATTCCATCAATTTTATGTTTTGGACTTTAAGGATTACTTGGAGTATTTTTAAAATTCTAAGGTTGTTTACTAATTAAATTCATTTTCTGGGTATTTCTTTCAGCAAAGGTTTTTAAAGGTGATGTCACTTTTAAATTTTATATTTAATCCCATATTATTCCATTAAAAAATTAATGTCTTTTTAATTCAGCATATCCATCTCCCTAATTATGAATTTGGAAATTTTACTTTAACTCCTAATCTTTCTGATGGATTAGTTTATAAGATCGATTTAATGAGATCCACACTTTATTAAGACATCTTTTCTGGATATATAGGTTAATTTTCTATAATTTTCTATGAAATCACTTTGAAGTCATTTTTAGAATCTCGAAAAGGTGTAAAACCATTAATCATTTCATAAATCAATATTCCCAATGTCCATATATCTACTTCATATGAATGTCCTGATTTATTTACTATTTCTGGAGCAAGATATTCTGCAGTACCAGCAACCTTTATAATTATTTTATATATATTTATTTACAGTATATGATTTCTCTCCATTTTCTCTTCTCATGGTAGCTAATCCAAAATCTGTCAATTTTACATGTCCAGTAGTTGTTAACAATAAATTTTCTGGTTTTAAATCTCTATATATAACATTTAATTTTGTATTTAAGTATTCAAGAGCTAACACTACTTCTGCTGCAACAAATTTCACTACATTTTCTGGCAATCCTACCCTTACTTACTCAAATATCTTATAGAATTCTCCACCTGCAATATATTCCATTACAAAAAAAATATGAGAATTAGTTTGAAATGCATATTTTAATCGAACAATAAAAGGGTGCTTACTCTACTTTAAAACATTTCTTTCTAAAACTGTATTATTTTCTAATTTGTTTTTGAATATCTTCTCTTTATAAATCTATTTCATTGCATATATTTTGTTTGTAGTTTTCTATCTAACTTTATAAACTATTCCAAATGCTCCCTTATTATACAATTCTATATTACTTATCCAAGTTTATCAATCTTTATGAAATCCTCTCTACTTATATACCCTTTTGATTTTTGTACTGTCAATGCATTACTACTTGTAACTAAAGTATGACTAGATTGCATAGGTTGGGTAATTCTTAACTTTATCTATTCTACTTCCTCTGTTTTTATATTAGCAATTGAGCTTTTCTCTGAATGTGCATCACCTTTTGGACAAAAATTACCCATAAATATTTAATTATAGTATCAATTCAGTTTCCATTGATTTATTATAATTATATGATTGCATTTTTCAGGATTGAAAGTTGCGAACTATTTCATAAAGCTAAGTAAAATGATACTAGTTGATTTATTAGTTGTTAAACTATAACAGATTTTATAATGGTTAAAATTGTTAGAATGGATACATTCAGTTTACTCATCAATTTATACTTCTATTTTTGGATCATATTTTAAATTGCACAAAAAGAGAACTTATAACTTTAATCTATTAAACACACATCTTAAAATTAATTTATTCATGATCTTATTAATAATATATTGATGTTTAATTCCCATTATTTCACTAATATATACTTATACATCTGACATAACTTAACTAAAATATTAATATTTTAGAGTAGAATTATATATAATCATAAATATGAATTTAAATTAATAGAAATTTAATCATATGATTACATATAATCATAATAGATTCAAAAATCATTTTTTTGTTTTTGATTCTTTTTTTAAGGTGTCTAGAGGCCTTAGTCCATCTTACCATTATACAGTTGACATCTTTATTGCAGGTATAAACATATGTTTAACATTTTGTAGGTTTTTTTCATGAAACTTCATTTAATAAGGAGGATAATTTGAATCAGAATCAAAAGCTTACATAATGAAATTAAATGATTACCATTATATGTGAGTTTGGCAAGTTTTCCTCCACTTATGCTCATTGATTTCTTTTTCTATATCTCTTCCTTATAATTTGGCAGGAATTCTGGGAAAACATCTTTACGTTACGTTTTTGGGACGGTAGTCCAATTACGTTCTTTTTCAAGAAGACTTTAATCAGTTTTAGCATAAGATCGTAAACCAGTTTCAAATTCTGCTTAACTGAGATGAGGAGTGGGACCAATTCTACCTTTAAGAAGATGAAGGACAGGAGTAGAATTACCATTATACTTCACATCTCTTGAAAGATGTTTATCCTTTTAAGATGCTATCTTTTAATCACCTCTTGAGAAAGTTTGATTTGGAATTCTTGCTAATTTAGCTGTCATTTCTGCCTAAAGTAAAGATAGAGAATCTACATGATCAATATTTCTTAATTAGAGCACAAATTCAATATCTTTTTCAGTGATATAGGGTTCACCTAAAAAATGGCTATAGTAGTTAACATTTCTGGGAATACCATGTCTTTCTGGAGTTTTAATAGTTTGAGATTTCTCTGGTTTTGGAATGGCAGTTTGAGAAGTACTTTTCGGTAATTGCTTTTTCATATATTATATTAATTTAATTATTCAATTTTCTTCAATTTTTGATCATACCTCCAGGAATATAGAGTTGAAAAGCCATTAATCAAAATAATTAAGCATGCTATGAAATTAAACTTATGCATGATGAATATATATATTTTATATATAAATTATTTTTTGTAAGTTAGAACTTCAATGGGATCATGTTGGACTGGTTGTTAAGGATAGGAAAAGAATTGTTAGATCATCTTATAAACATAAATAAAAAATACTATTATTTCTGATTATGATCTTAAATATAATAAACAAATTCAATTCATTTAAGGTAAGATTCTAAATTATCATTTAGCATGTACTAGAGGATATCTAGTGAGAAAACGATATTAAAGCCTTATTTAGAAAATTAAAAAATAGAAAATGTTGAAAAAAGAATAAAACCATTATTCTAATGAGTTAAGTTTCAAAGACTCCTTTCCTTTTCAAGACAATAAATAAAGTCATAAGACTAAAAATTAACATCAATAAGTATATTAAGTGAAGAAATTACTAAAAGTACCAGACTATTTAAGCAATAGAGTAGATAAGGTAATATGACATTATATTTTAATTGAAAGATTCTTTAATTATATACAACTTTTTAATATGACAGTGAAGAAGATAATAAATTTAATTTTCCTATATATGAACTTGATGATGGTTGCATTTACCATGGACAGTGGAAAAATGGGTAAGCAAACTAATTATTCAGTCTTAGACATGGATGTGGAAAGTAATATTGGTAAAATGGAACCTTTTATGAAGGATATTGGGCATTTAATATGTTTGATGGTCGTGGTAGATTGGTTCATAGTGATGGTAACATTTATGAAGGAGAATTTAAAAATGATAAAGCTTCTGGTGAAGTAATTTAATCATTAATATTTAGGGAATATATTATTGTATTGATGGATTAAAATATATAGGACAATGGGAAAATAATGTATAGAATGGTCATGGAATGGAAATATGGCATGATGGCACTACTTTTGATGGAGAATATAAAAATGGACTAAAAAATGGATAAGGAGTATTTAAATGGTCGGATGGATCAATTTATATTGGATAATTAATAGATGGTAATCTTGAAGGAATTGGATAATTCAAATGGGATGATGGTAGAGTATATGAAGGATCATGGAAAAATAATTGTATGCATGGACATGGAGTATAAATTAAAATCATATATCTAGTAATTTAAATGGCCAGATGGGAGAAAATATGAAGGATAATATAATAATGGAATTAAAGAGGGAGTAGGTTAATTTGAGTGGCCTGATGGTAGAGTAATAATATATATTTTTATATTGAGTTATATAAAGGAGAATGGTTAAATAATAAATAGCATGGTATTGGTATATATTTAGGATATAATGGAATGGAAAAAGAAGGAGAATGGGCTGATGGGAAACTTATTAGATGGACAAAAGGAAAAGTAAGATTGTCAATAGGTTGATGTTTATGAATTAATTAATTTTTTCAATTTTCCTATATTAGTATTATATTGAAACTGTATGTATAATTTATATTAAGAATTTACTTTCTTTGATAATAATTTTTTATTTAATTTTTGTATTTCAATTATAAAATATAATAGTAATTTAGTTTTTTATTTAAATAATTATTAATAAAATTATGTATTATCGAAATTCATAATCTTAATTTTGATAAATTGGATTTATTTACTTAAATAGGATCTATATTAATTTCATCTTTGATTTTAATTAATTCCTATGAATTACTACTTTTATTATTGCCTCCAATTGTTATATCAAGATTTGGGTATTAATCTTTAAAATCTTAAGTTTAATTTGTTTTCTTTTTTATTTTCTTTTGTTATTCTTAAGCAAATTATGATTCTGCAATCAGATCATAAATATTGAGTCTGTTTTCTTCTGGAATTGGTTTTGTTTCAATGACTAAAATATATTTAAATTAATACTTGATAGATTTTCTTGTGGAGTTACCCTTGATATATTTATATTACGATATACTGATCTTTTGATATAAAATGCTATGACAAGGAAACCTATAAGAATGGCAACCACAGTAAATATAATACCAATTATATTATTACCAGTCATCATGATAATCACAGCACCTGTATAAATAAATATGATAATTAAAATTAACATCTATTCTATTAAATTATACCATTTAACAAAACAAGGTTCCATTTTAAAGTGAAAAGCAAGAACAATAATTAAGATTCCAATAGAGAATAACATTTAATATTCAAATGAACTATCTAAAGTATTAAAAAATGAACTTAAACCCATAATTAATAGTTTTGCTTAGACATATAATATGATGTAAGTGGATTTATACTTTAAATCTAATGAATGATCACTAAACTAAAAAGTAGGTTATAAATATGTTGATAAAGGATAATAGATCCCTACTCCTAATAATCCAAAACCCATATAAATGTAATGATTAGTTGATAAACATTCAATTGAAGTATTTCTAGCAAATTTATATGGTAAATCACTGTAATCACAAATATAAGCATCCATGAATGTTCTCATTACTGTCATAAAGAAACCACTTAAAATGGAGATAACTCTTGGAAGAATGAATTGAATATGAGGGAATCTTGCTAGATTGCCATTTTCATCTTATCCGAAAGTATTCTTTTGTACAGCATTTAAACTAAGGGATCCTAAAAGTCCATAGAGAATAGATATTCCTAAAGAGAAATAAAAAAAGAAATCATAACTATCATAGAATGCTGATCCACTAATTGTATCTGATCCAGATATAGAAGTACTTCCAAACCATCCTACTTATGGATTATAAGCTACACTAGCTAAACTATACATATCATATAATTTAAATATCAAAGCAAGTATATTACTAGAAGTAAGTTTAAATTCAATAGATTTTTATTATTAATTAATTAGATTTTTTTCATATTCTTCAGTTGCTTCAAATAATGTATCAATAATTAATTTAGCAACAAATTTCCAATCAGACATTCTTTATCTTTTATGATCAAGAATTTAATTTTTTTTAATTGTTGATTTTTATTAAGCAGCAGCTAAATTAGGAAAGTATTTTTGAATGAAATTAATTCTAAACCAATCAGTACATGAATAACAGCATCTTTTATAACAAGGTAATTTTTATGCATAATCTTATTCTATTTAATATTTACTCTAATCATATTATTATTCTTTTTATTTTTTTGATAATTTTACAATTTTATTTTAATTATTATTTTAATAGATTTTAGATTAATTATTCATTTCTTCTTGATATGATTATTTAATTTTAATTGCATCAAATTTTGAGAATTCTGTTTAAACAGTATTTGAAATAAAATTTTATCTTTCGAATGGATTAATTTAATTTTTATTATTTTATTTTATTTTTTTATTTGAGTATTTAAAATTTATCATTAAAGATTTCATTGATGTGATTAATTATGGATATATATGATCAAGTACTAATAATTTTAAATTATCAAATATATCACCATCATAATCTTTGATCATTCCTTTTATTAAACCAGCAAATTATGATTCATTTAAACTATAAGTTTAATTTATCCATATAGTCTTAGCATATTTTTCATAATCAATTAAATCAAAATGTAATTCAGTTAATCTACTAAATTATTATAAATCACTAAAACAAATAGTAGGTTCTAAACCTTATTCATTATTAGCAAATTCCATAAATACTTCATGCATAAAATCTGCAATCATTTAATCTGATTATTGTAATGAAAAGTACTAATCTGATGATTTAATATTTCCTAATGCTTTATCATTTAATTTCTTTATTTAAATTTAATTAAGATTATCTGTTTTTTCACTTTTTATTTCTTAAATTGGTTTATACTTTTATTTATAGATTAATTATTAATCTTCAGATTAAAACTCTATCTTTTTAAGAAGTGTATCATTTTCTTCAGCAATTTTATAAAAAGAACTAAATTATGGAATTAAATCATTCATTTTTTATCCAGTTTCTTAATCCATACTTAAAATATCTCTTAGTTTAATTATTTCAATATTCTTTTAATTTTCTAATTAATTCATTTCTTCTAAACCACATCTACAACACAAACAATCCATTACATACTTTTTAAATCCAGTTAATTCCTATTCTTAAATTATATTCTTTTATTAATTTAATAATTCTTATTCTAATAATGTAAGATATTCTTAATAAACATTTTTGCTTACTAATTTATGATCATATTCTAATTCTGGTCCATCATATTTTATTACATTTATTGGTTCTCCTTAAATTAAATTTTCTATCAAAATTTATTTTAATTATTTAAATTCTTCTTATTTCTATTTCTTTCTTTATGATTAATTCTTTATTATATTTAATTTTGTATAAATTATCTACAATTTATTTAAATATTTCATATATAAAATTCCAACAACACTTATATCACTAAGAACATGATTCTCTCTTAACATTTCTAATACTTTTTTTAAGATTTCTCTTTTCTTTCTTTCAAATTCCTCTCTATTCAATAACAAAGATAAAAATAATGATGTCCCTGTAACTCCAATCATACATACAAATAATCCTAATCCAACTGCTCCCTATGCAAAATATTAAAATGTTGAATCTGCATTATTAAAAAATACTGCTAATGTAGGTACTATTACTCCAAATGGAAATATAACACAGCACCATAATAAAGAACTAATAAAAGGTTAAAAGAAATCTTCAAATGCAATTGATTAATTTTTAATTGTAACAAGGAATTTATAAATTAAAAAACATACAGGAACACCAATTGCTAATGCATTAAAAAATATAGAAGCTCTCTCATCTGATATTATTAAAGAAATTGGAATGAACAATAATAATGGTATCAATATTCCACAACAAACTGCTGTATTTTAATAAAATCTTTTCTAAATTCTCTTTCTATTCTTTTATTCTTCTAATTTTTATAATTCCTTTATATCTTAAGCAAATTCATATGTTAATTCTAAAGATCTATGTCCAAGTGCTATATTTATAAGCACAAATAATATAGGTGTAATGGCCATAATAGCAAACATAGTTGCACCTTCTGTAACTGTTGCTGTATTAGTTTAATCAAATATATACCAAAAGAAATAACTTATTATAAAGTAAGATAATAAAAAACAAACTGAATTTATACAAAATGCTAAATCAGTTAAATTATAATATTTAAATTCATCAAAAGTTGGAATTATTTAATCAGCTAATTCCTTTGCTCTTTTAATAGCTTTAAGTGATTAGAAGAAAAAATAAAATAATACCAATAATAACATTATCATTCCTATTCCTATAAAAATATATGCAATTATCTATAAAGATGAATATTAATATAGATTATAAAGTGGTAAAAATACACCAATTGGAATTGCAATAAAAAAACATACAAATCCTAATGAATTAATAAATAATCTTCTTTTATCCAATCCCATTAATGTTAATGACAACCAAAGAATATTCACAAATAATGGACAATAATATAGAATTTCTGTAAAATTAGTTACATCCTTTTCATATTCTAAATAATCACCCAATTTTAAGAATCCAAAAATTATAGGTGCCCCTATAACTAAAGGCACAACTAAATATGTATATTATGGTTTTCTATCACTTACAGAGATAAAAACACCTAAAAATAAATATAATGGAATTATTATTAATTCTAATGACAATGTAATAATTGTTGTATAATCTACTTTAGATTATTTTAATTCAGAAGCTAACAAAATATAAAATATAATTTCCATTGTTATATATGCTGCCCCAATTGAATATATTACTAATTTAGAAATTAAAGTTGTAATCTATATTATTTTTTAAGATTACTATTCTTCTTTTTAAATTTATTATTTCATTATTTTTATTTTGATCCTATCTAATGCTGTTTTAATAATACCTACAGGCCAATCAAACAATCTTGTATTTATCATAAAATATGAAAAGGTTATTGACACAAATATTGGAATGTATAATGAATTTATTATATAATTGATCACTTTCTCAGCAGTTATTACTTCTAAACCAATCACATATGTAAATAATAAAAATCCTAATAAGTAGATTATAAATAAACACCATCCACTTGAGAATATAGCACCAATTAATTAATTGTACATATTTTCAACTATTTATTGAATCACAGAAACAACAATACCATTCAAAATAGAAATTATTAATGCACTTAAAAATAAAACCATATCATAATCAATTGCACTATTATTTATATCAAATACATCAAGATATACATAAAATAAATAAAATCCTGGTAATAAGCATCCAAAAACAAATAATAATAATAAGATTATTGAATTCTTTATTATTATTATTCTATCTATATATATTATTAATTTACGCTAATGTTAAACTAGTTATCATTATTCCAAATTCAGGTAATTATTATACAATATTTAATTTTGTTGAATTCTTAACGATTATATCATCTGATTCTAAAGACTAATTATAGTTAAACCAAGTCATACAATCACACTAGCTAAATATGTAAAATATATGCTCATATAAACAATAATTGTCAAAATATAGTAAAATGATATCTAAAACATATTATCCAAAAATGAGCAATTTTTATTGAATTTTTATTCATAATACAGAATTTTTTATCTAATACTTTCCAAAGTCTAATTAGATAAAGGTTTTCTTTGCTTTTCATCAAGCAATTCTAATAATTCTGTAATTTATGGATGATCAGGTCCTTAATATTTATATTCAACCTAATTTATAAAAAAGGATTTCTCAATTTAAGGAACTCTAATTATTTGTACTTTATTCATACTTATTTTACTCCAACAGTACATTTTAATCATCTTCATTTGGTGTTAGTTATGATTCATTTTAAGTATTTGTTTAATTCATTTCAATAAAAATTGATAAGTCTAATAATTTGGGATTTTATTATTTTATATGTATATTAATAAATCAAAGATTTGATTTTCTATCTTAAAAAGATATTACATTAAATAAAATAAAATTATCATCTAGTTTTTTTATTTCAAAATCTGAGAAATAAATATACATTAAATCTATATTTATAGAAAAATTTATAGAATTTCATTTATTTTAATAACATTATAAAGGAAATTTTTAATAATGGGAATTATGGGATAAAAGATAAAGTTGTTTTAAGTTTTGATAAATTGACTTTTAGATAAAATAATTAGTAATCTTAATTATGAATTTCACTTATTTATAAGTTAGTGTCAAACTTATGAAATAATTATAACTAATTACAAAGACAAATTTACAGATTTTATTGTTATGAATTTAATTATATATGAAATACTCTCAAGAATCAGTTTGCACTCTTATAAGCTGAAATTAATTTAGAAGTGGCATTATCAGTTAAACAATATTGAAAAGTAAAAGCAAAAATAGTAATGATATAAATAAGAAATAATTATGAAGATAAAAATATGTTGTAATTTTTCTAATGATTTTTTGTATTAATCAATATTTTATTTTTATAAGTGATGAGATCTAAACGCAATGCTAGGTTTATTACTAATGACAATTCAAAAGATAATATTATAGATAGCAACAGAAAGCCTTCGCCTCCAAAAATTTATATGAATGCATCTAACACAAATCAATTAATATCTGACAGTGTATTTTAAAGGAAAGGATTAAGTATTCCAAAGGACTGTCTTGGATTAGGAAATAACTTTCAATGTAATAAATTTATATAATGTTAGAAAAGCTATCTCTTCCTAAAAAATAAACACCACGAATGTTGAGTAAAAGTGGAAGAAGCAATTATGATCAGGAGGTATATAAATAGATGATAATTAGTTAAGAGTCCTAATTTAATTATATAACCAAAGCAAGAACAAGGTATGGAAATAGAATGTCTGTCTCCAATATAATAATATACAGATATTAAACTTCCATTTTTTAGTTCTCAGACAGCATCTAAAAAAGAACAGACAACAAGAAGAGTTATAAAGGATGCTTCACTCAATAATAGCTAATTTACTTAAAGAGAATCACAAATGAAATCATCAGATAAATCAAAAATTAATAAAATTAGAAAAACTAATTATCATTAACAATAGGAAATCAATCCTCAATACCAGGTATATGAGTTTAATCAAGAACTCAAAGCTCTAAGAGTAAAAAGAACAGAATCATTTGAATGGTTATAAGAAGATTCATAAGGTTTAGAGGAATCTTCTTTTAATTAATTCAAGCAAATAAACTTAGGAACTTATTATATGGATAATTTAAGGAAGTATCTCAAAGGATTAAATTTAGAAGGATTATATGCTCAATTATATATTAATCATTTTGTTCAACAGTTTCACAGTTTATAATTAAGTAAACAATTTCTTTAACCTGATATTAAGGAAATAGAGCATCGTTGCATATAATTATAATAAATTAGTAATTTATATAATGATTAATTAGAAAAGCAAAAAACCTTGGTTCTTGATTTAGATGAAACATTAATACATTGTAATGAATAACCATAAATGAAATTTGATTTTAAGGTTCCTATCTAAATGCCAAATGGACAGATTCATGAAGTATATTAAACTATATTAAAAAGGCAGGAATTAGTGTGAGACCATTTGCTCAGTAATTTTTATAAGAATGTTCAAAGCATTTCGAAGTTATGATTTTCACAGCTTCTCACCCTTTATATGCTGACAAGATTATTGATAAATTAGATCCAACAAAAAAATGGGTCACTTGTAGATTATATAGAGAACATTGTATATAAACATAATAGGGTATCTATGTAAAAGATTTGAGAATTTTGAATAGAAATCTCAAAGATGTTGTATTGATTGATAATGCTGCTTATTCTTATGCTTACTAAATTGATAATGGTATTCCAATTATACCTTATATTGATAATGCAAAGGACAATGTATAAATTATTTATATAAAATATATAGGAGTTAATTGGTGTAATTGATTATCTAAAAGTCTTATTATAAATTGAAGATGCAAGAGAGATAAATGCTAAAACATTTTTCTTAAAGTAAATCTAACAATGTCAAAGTCTTGATGAAGCTATGAAACTTCTGTTAGTGATATGAAAATAATTTTGAGGATAATATTTTGATAATATTAAATTAAAAAAAGAATTTATTTATTATATTATTTGAAAAAATTTAATTATTTATTATAGATAAATGGCCAATTCTAAATTTGAATATGTGAAGTAATTTGAATAAATGCAGAATCTTTTACCAAATACTTATATTGTAGTTAGAATAGATGGAAAAGGATTTCATAAATTTACAAAATATTATGACTTTTAAAAACCTAATGATGAATAAGGATTAAAGTTAATGAGTTTCAGTGCTTGTATTGTAATGGAAACATTCCCTGATATTTAAATTGCATATGGACAATCTGATGAATTTTCATTTGTATTAAAAAAAGATAGTGAATTATATTGTAGAAGATCAGATAAAATTGCAACATGTATATGTTCTACTTTTACTTCAATTTATGTAAAGAATTATTATACTTAATCTAGACATTAAATTTTGAGAAATTCATGAAGAAACCTTTAAAATTTCCATATGTTCCAATTTTTGATGCAAGATGTGTGTGTTATCCTGATCTATAAAACATTAGAGATTATTTATCATGGAGATAAGTGGATTGTCATATTAATAATTTATACAATACATGTTTTTGGGGATTAGTATAAAAAGGAATGAATAAATAAGAGGCAGAAAAAACTTTAGCAGGTACAAATGCAGGAGATAAAAATGAATTGTTATTCTCTAAATTATAAAAAAACTATAATAATGAACCAGAAATATTCAAAAAAGGAACAACCATTATTAGACATCCTACTAATGAAAGAATTAATTTAAAAGTTGAATTAGATGTTGATTCTAAAGAATAATAAAAATTGAATAAAAAATAAAAGAAAAAATTTAAATATAAAGAACTCAATTAATAAGAATTAAATTAACTTCCAAATCAATAGAAAGAAGATTTACAAGTTTAAGAATTTTATTTGGATATAATCAAGGACAATTTTTGGATAGAAAATAAAACCTATATATTATTGTGATTTACAATTATACATTTTAATATTTAGATCTTGTTTATTAGTTTTTAATAAATTGATTACTATATTTGAACACACAATGATGAATTATATCTAATTAATATAAATATGAATAAAGAATAGAACTCAGTAAATTCATCTGCAGATAGTATAGAAATGACATAATTTGGGGATTAGTAGATGAAACATATAAATAATGGTACTCAATTGCAATCAGCTAAATCAAAAGCTATGACGATATCATTAATAAGTATTCATTCTGCATAAATTACTAAAAGGAAACAAAAAGCAAGTTGAGGATATTTATGAATATTATAAGAGTAATGAAATATAACCTGAAGAAAAATTGAAATTGCTTTAAAAAGTATATAATGATGATGTAGATGAACATAGTGCAGATTCTAAAGAAATCAAAAAGGCAGAAATTGTTTTACCTGGATTTTATAGAAAGTGTATGAGACATTATAATATTTTATAGTTCATGAAGCAATTCCAATTTTCTATCCAAACACTCCAGGTCTATTATTTTGGAAAGGTTGGGTAGGATTAATAATTTTATTCTTTTTTTATGAAATTCCAATCTATATTTCATTTGACAAAGATGTTTGGGAAGTAAAATTTGTATTAAATATGAGTTTGTACCTGAATGGACAATTATTCTAATTGCTGTCTTAGCTTTATTGACTTTTTCATTTGATATGTGTTTAGAATTTCATATGGCTTATTATTCTCATGGAAATCTAGTTGTAGATAGAGCCAAAATTGCTCATAGATATTTGTAATCAAGATTTTTATTTGATTTGATTGCAACCTTAGCATTATTAATAAGATCAATTATTTCGACATATAGTGAGAGATGGTTATATCTCTTTTTCTATTTAAAATATCCATCATTAGAGAGAATATCCTTTTAATTTGGTGAAATTGTCATGCTTCATCGTAGAGTACGTACAATATTTTAAATCGGAAAAGTATTAGCAGTTTTATAATTTGTTTTTATTGTTTATGCATGTATTTGGTATTTGGCATGTTTATATGCAACTAATAAAGGATACAATTCTTGGTTGACTCATGAAGGCAATTTTGGAGCTATTAGCGAACTGACTTAAATTTAAAAATTCTTCTATTCCTATTATTTCAGTGTAGGTACAACTACAACAACAATGGGATATGGAGATATGCAACCACTCAATACTTTTGAAGTGTTGGTTGGTATGGGAGGCATATTATTTGCAGTTCTTATATTTGCTGTGATGGTCAATATCATATTTAAAATATTAGAAGAATATGCTATATATGATATCAAACGCTATTAATAACGTTTGATTATTAATAGATATATGATGGTAAAGGATGTTCCATAATAATTAAGAGAACGTGTTAGGTAATATTTGAATGAACATTGGTATTAAGAGGGAAATAGGGATACTCAAGGAGAATAAGAAATAATAGGGTAATTGGCTCCAGAATTGAAAGCAGAATTACAATTAGCTAGTTGTGGAAAAATTCTATTATAAATACCATTATTTTGTACAAATTTTTCAAGAGGATTTTTAAGAGAACTTTCATCAAGTATTTAAGAAATGAATTATGCAGAATATGAAATGATATTTTTAGGAGAGGACTCTTAATTTTTAGATGATTAATCAATATATTTTATTAATGTAGGATAGATTGCCATATTTCCAAATAATTTTAATAAATAATTATTATTAAAGAAATTAGGAAAAGGAGATTATTTTGGAGAATTTACATTTCTTACTGGATTTGAGAGAAAAGCTTCTGCCTAGGCTTTATAATATAGTTAATTATACAAAATTAGAAGAGAAGATTTCTTAAGCACCTTAGCAAAATTTAATGAAGATTATGAAAAATATTGGATGATTAAAGATAAAATAGAATTCTAAAAGGATTTTTCTGCAATTGGATAATGTTATACATGCTAATCCACATCCCATTATAGTACTGAATGTGAAGTGACTCATTTAGTAGTGGATGTTAATAAGTTAATTGTTTTTAATTAAGATAAATAGGATAGACTGAAATTTAAAAGGTAAGAGAAGAAAAAGTGGTAGACTTTTGTTAGAATTGAATGCTTTAAAAGAGAATAAGTAGATAATATATAGACAGGTGTTAAGTATGATATTGAATAGAAATTGAAAGAAGTGGAATAAGGATAGGAACATTTAGATGATGATGAATTTAAGAAATTTTAGAACATTTTAAAGACTAATTTTGATAAATATACTAATTAATATGAGGTTAAAGAAGGTTTATAAGGAATGGATTAGGCATTTTAATTTACAAATTATTTCATAGAAAACAATTATGCAAATCAATCTGAATTTATAAATACTCAAGTTTAGATGAAATAGCCAACTCGTTTATCAATGACTCGTAGTAAATAGGTTTCATAATAAAGGAGTAGATAATCATCTGTATAATAGTGATATTATTGTAATTTAATTTTATATTTAATATTATAAAATAATTTGTAAATCTGTATTTAAATGTATTATTATAATGAATTATATTATCATAAATAGATAATTAATATAGAGAATAATTTTAGGTTTAAAAACAAAATGGATCTAATTCATTAATTAATCCAGAATAGAGAGATGAACAAGAATAGAAATCTAATATTTCAATATAATTCAAAGATTTAAGGGAAATATAAATGAAAAATAAAGTTTTGATTATTAGAGTTTTGAAGTTTGAAAAATAATTAAATAACAAAATGGCAAGGAATTTAGTAGCATTTTATCTTATAGATTATAATAATAATTTTAGAATTTATCAGATAGATTTTAGAAATGATAATAATAGTAAATTAAATGATTAATTAACTAATTAAGTACTATTATAATATGATAATTATTATATTAATATTTCACTTAAGAAATTGTGAGTATTTTAAACAGAGATAATAATAAATTCATATATATTTCAAGTTAATATGTTAGATTAGCAAAATTACTTAAATTACTTAATTTATTAATTAAATGGCTCCTTAATTTAATTCTAAATAATTTTTCAAATTAAAAAAAACACTCTAATATAGCTTAATATTTTCTTATATTAAGTAATGCGCATCCAAGACTTTAATGATTTAACAATTGATACTAACTCTTAATGATTTTAAAGAAGATAATTAAGAAAAATAGAGTTGTAATAAATTAATCATACTCAATTTAACTTAATTATAATTGAATATATTAATTGGCATCTAATCAAATTCAAACATGTATTTATATCAGATCAACTTTAAATAAATGTGATATATGAAATTTAACTATGATCATACACAATATTTTGAAAGATAATTATTTATAAAAGAAAAATGCATTTATGATAAAGTTAATTAAAATTGTTTAATAGATATATTAAATTTAATTGTGAACCAAAAAGACTTAAATTAATCAATGTTTCTCAAATACATGATGAAGCAAATCTTAAACCAACAATATAATAATTGATTAAGGAGCAACTCTTGCAAAGTAAACTGGTAATCCAACCCATAATCCTGTAATTTTCTCTCTTTGAATAGTCTTTAAAAAACAATCAGCAACTCCTGAATAAGGATATTTTCCATTTGTTTAAAGTTTCATTTTCTAAAGTTTAGTTTTCATATTATCAAATGGTAATGATAAAACAGATGTTACCACACCAGCCCCAACTGAAGCCCTAATTTATTAAATATATTATACATGATTCTATCAGACATTGTTTCCTTCTTTCTTAAAAATATCTTCATGCACCATTATTTGATCTCGTCATAGGTAGTCAATTAACCAACTGTTATTGCAATTGCTCTTAATACTGTAGGAGTTGATCCTCTCCATAATGTTGGTACTCCTTCCTCCTTAATTATCCTGTATAAAGCATCAAAAGCATTTTTATAATTCCTACGTTCTGCAATTGGCAAAGTTGCATCTGCCTAAAATCTTACTAAACAAATATCTGTAGGGTTCCCAATTAATGCTCCACATAAACCAGAAAAAGAAGATGCACCAACCTTTTCAAAGAAACTTAGATCCCCTAATGAGTTTATTAAACAATTCTTACTTTTTTAGTTGATCTTAACTTAATCTGCAATCACCTTGTATATTCCAAGTCTGGCTGTGGCATAAGTTAATTGTCTCAACATTGCAGATCCCATTCTACAAATTACATAACATTTTTAAATACCCTTGATAAAACCCTTTCAATCCCTCAACTTTATACATCTCTTTTGCCACTTCTATTGGAGAAATCTTTGTTGAACCATGACTTATTCCTTTGTTTTCTCCATATATCTAGAGTCTAACTTTCCATGTATCCAAAGGCATAATAACTGCTACAGCTGTACATCCTGAGATTCCACCGAAAAGAAATGGCTTTATGTAAGATGCTTTATTATTCTAATTAGACATATAAATATTAATTCTGGCATTTATTATATTATTTGTGACCTTTTAGTATTCAATTAATGAATCTTTAGAAAATTATATAATCATTGTTTTAAGATCATAAATGATTCTTTTTTTTAATTATATACAATATTTTAATCATTAATTGTAAGCAGTAGATTATATATCATTAATAGTCTAACCCTTTAATTTATTAGTTTGATAAAGCTAATTATTATTTAATATAAGATTAAATGAGAATGGGATTTCAAAAATAACATAATGAAAATTCACATAAAGTTATAATACTTTTAAAATATAATTTTGGATAACATTTTTAGGATAATCACTATGATGGATAGTTGAATTATTAATTAGCCTATTAAACAAATCCTTTTAAAAATCCTTATTGTGCTAATCCCTAACCAAAAGTTTTGGTAGCCACACCAGTTTATGGGGCCTGCTATTGCTAATATTAATAATTCTATTAAGGTGGATATTATTAAGGAGGATATATCTATTATTGAGGATATTAAGATTATTATGGAATATATTATTAAGGTGGTATAAACTATTGAGGTTATTATGGATATTATTATTATTAGTATTATTAATAAATTTATTATTAAGAAATATATTATTAACTTTCTTAATCAGTTTAAAAATTCTAATTTTGAGGAAATACATTAAATTAGGGATTTTATGGAATTCCAATATTCTATTAAGAAACATTATTGATTGGAATTTGATATTAATTTGCTTGAATATCTAATATTAATATTAAATTCTTACTCTTAGGTGGTTTAGGTGGTATACTCATTAATTCCATATACTCTACTAATTAATCAGGTAATTCAGCCAAGACTTCCTTAGACAAAAGGGCAGGATCATTTTTAAATTCATTAAAAGGAACAAATTAAACTAAATCTCTAATTGCTTTATTTCCCTTACTATCAACCATACTTTTGTCATCATTATCTAAGATTGACATATTCTTAAAATTTGCATCTCCAATACCAATTATAATGACTGATAATGGTAAATATGAGGAAGCAATTATATCATCAATAGATGCTTACATATCATTTGTTTGTCCATCTGTTAAGATCATCAGAATCAAATAATTTTCACTACCTTAGTTTTTACATTGTTAAGCCATATCCATTGCATTTTTTAAGATTGGATGTAAATAAGTTGGACCATCAAAAGACAAATGATGCAATGAATTTCTATAACATTAAACTATTCCATCTAAACCATATACTCTTAATAAAATAAATTATAAAATTTTACTCTGGATCTTCTGGGTTATCATTTAATGGAAATAAATGAAGAGTTTGATTTGTATTAATCAAATTCATTCTTGGTTTGCATCCAAAACCATAAACTGGAACCTTTTTATCATGATCATAATTTATTAGAATTTCAACAACACTAATAATTGCTTATAAATATTGACTAGGAGCACCATTTAAAGTCATATAATGAAGAGACTTTGGATCATTTGGATTACCATTTGATGCTGTAAAATCAATAGCAACTATTAAATTTAATTATTATCCTCCAGCACAATAATCTAAAAATGTATAACGAGTTTTTAATTAAAATTTATTGAATTATAGAACACCTGATGATTCATTCTTTTTCATTTTGTTTTTAAACTCCTTTTTTAATATTTTATTTTATGCACTATGCTCTTTTAATTCTTCTACACAAAAAGTTGTTTCCCCTAAATAAATATGCTTACCAGAACTTCTATAATCCCATAATTCAACTTTAATAGGCATTTGATAATCTCCATTACATAATTTTTAAGCTTTGCAACTAATTTATTTCCATAATGGAGAAGTTGTGTCCTTTGCAAACTCTGTTTCATAAACTAAAACAGGATTATTGTCATCTTTTCTTAATCTATAAAATCTTAAAAATGGACATGTTCCATGCCAAAACCAAAATCTAGTTTCAGGTATGCTATGGCCAGATAAAGTAAGTAAAAGCTCATCATTACATTATTTAACTTAATCTGCTTTAACAATTATCTTGCCGCTTTTCTTTCCAGAAATATTAACTAAATCACCCATAAAAATTTGATCCTTTGAACCAGCTATTTCAGCAACAGTAGTTTCTGCAATACCGATAATCTATAATATTTAGAAATATTATACTTTTGATTAAGTTGGACTAATGTAATGATGAACTTCCATTTTTAAATGTTGCTAAACTTCAAAATGATATTCCAATTAGATTGAAGTAGCAAAATTTGGATTTAAATTATTCCAAATCAATTCTGTTTATCCAATTTTTGTCCCTATATGAGATTAATAGAATCCTTACAATAATTGTTGTTTTTTTGATACATAATTACATAAGGGTCACTAACAGAAACTGTGTCTAAATCATCTAATTATCTGCAACTTATAAAAAGCTCAAGTTTCTGAATTGCCTCAGAAAACTAGCTTTGCTCAATTTGACTATTATACATAATTAATATTATTTGAAGATTGTATAATCAAATTAATTATTTCTTAATGAAAGCATATAGAATTTTATTCGAAAATCAAGACTAAAAAATACTTAAATTCAATTTTTTTAGTTTTAATCCTTGTTAAATTAAGCCCTTTCTTCATTTCTTTGAAATCTTATTTATAATTAATGATTATTTTATATTAAGAGCTCATTATGCATCAAGATCTGGGTCAATTTTGCAAATAAATTTAGCCATCTATTTGATCTTAGTCCTATAGTTGATAATTCAATATAACAAGTTGGTTAGCTTATAGGGTCAAATTTCATACTAAATTACATTCACTTGTGTCGAAAAAAGATCTGGATATTTTCTTATAAGGTTAAGAGGGCTACAATTTCAATATGTAATCTTTCCTACTTAAGAATCTCTGATCTTTCACAATGAATAAAGTTTAAATTTTCATTTTTGTGTTACCAATTAACTAAAAAATTTTAATTCGTTTCCATGCCTCTTTTGTTGTTGAAAGTTGAAAACTTCATATGTATTTTAAAAGATATTAAATAATGGATTTTTGTCTTTTAGTATTTCATAAAGGATTAATATCAAAATAGCTGTATCTACATAGATTAATTATTTCCATATTTTTAAATTCTTATTATCATTAAAAATAAAAGTAATAAATAATAATCATTAAATAAGTTAACTAAAGGAAACTTTTAAGTTTTTGTCTATGAAACACTACTCTGCATATTTCAAAAGTTCTTTTTTAGAATGCTCATGAATTCTCTTATAATCCTTTTCGTGTGTCAATTAAATAACATCATTGTTTTTTGGTTTCATACACTTTATTTTTTAAATTATTTCCATACTACTTCTAATTTTGTCGTTTACTCTCTCAGTCACTGCTTAATCTAGGGTAAGTTTTCTTTTATCCACTTTTTCAACTGGAGGTTTAGGTTAGAATTTATATTCTGGATTTTATTATTTTTAAATAGCCAATTTAATCCAAGTAATCATTTAAGTAGATTTAATTCTGTCTTTTCTTGATTTAGGTTTAGCAACTTTATATGATGTATCAATAGGAATAGGTATCTCAAAAAAAAAATGATGATTTTGTAACACTTTATTTAGTATCTCTTCAACACTTTGAGGATACATTCTGTCAATAGTTACACATTCTAATTTTTGCTAACTGAGATATCTATTTTAAGAATCTCTCTACTCTTTAATTGATCGCACAACAAAAGGAAAGTCAACAATTTTTGATAATATATTCTGATCAATAGAAATCTACTATGGAGGATAATTTTTGATTAATTGTTGAATCCCTTTTCTACTAATAGTCAATATTGAATCACTTCTTTGATTACCTGTCATACTCATTTCATGTAAGTGTTTTGCAAGATGAAGTTCACGGTTGAAAAAACATAATTTTCCCAATTCTTCATAACATCTCAATTCTTCATCTTAATTTTGCATGAACCATGCAAATTCTATTGACTCTACTCAAATAAAAAAATTACTTTTTTAATAAATATCTTTCCAATTTCATATTTTTATAATTATTTGCATATGATTCCTAAATGTAGTAAAACCCATTATATAGTTTCAAAATCTCTTGCAAATTCACTTAAAAATATGGTATTTTTTGCGTAAATTATTGATTTTCCATACTCTCTAAAATGCAACAATGTTAATGATGCAACTCTAAATATTCTAATCAACAAACACAAATTATCTTAATCAACAGTTAGAATCATCATATTTATTAATATTGTTAGAGCTTTTTGGCAATCATCATTCTTTATAGCATCAAAATATTGCTACTAAAATTAGCTTACAGGGCTATGAGTTCTTATTGTTAAAGGGGTTAAATCAGATTTTTTAGTATGAAGAGACAATCTTGACTAACTGTGATTATTCATTCTTCTACGAGTCAGAGGTTTTATTGATTAAGGAGATGTATTTCTCGCAGATGAAAGAAGACTCTCCTAACTAATCGACGGAAGCATTATTGGATATAAGTTAACTATTGAGTTACTTTGATGATGTCCTTCTCTTTAGGTCTCTTACTAATCTACATTCTAGATTATTTAATTCAACACTGAGAAATGAGAGGATCTGTATCTGTGTCTCATTTATAAATTTTTATTAATCTCTTTTTCGCTAATCAATTTTTGAACTTATATACACACACCAATGTTAATTATTTAAGCCTAATAAATCAAAATTTTAGTTCTCTCTAAATTTAGTTCAAAAATCTTAAAGAATTTCAATTTATTCAGATAATAAAAATGATTCTATATTGTTTGCTTATAAAATACTAATTATGATAATAAGTGAAAATCTTCAAATATTATTTGAATTGAGATTTTTCAATTGAAACGATAAAAATTATAGATAACAACCTAATAATCTAGTATGATTGAGATATTGCAATATTTTCTTTTGCTATAAATTAAAATCATAAAAGAACTACTTTATTCAATAATCAATAATCTTGATATATCATCAAAGACTTTTAGATTAGATTTATACTCACATATCATTTATAATTTGAGTGATAATACCAAACGATTGTTTTATTATTATAATCATAATAATCCAATATGTCACAATTCTGTAAAATATGGAGTTTGGATAAACCTATTCTTTCAACTCATTATTATCTTTTAAAAGAATATATGACAGTTTCCAGGAATAGAAGAGACAATAAATTGTTAAACTTTTTAAAATGAATTCATTTTATTTCCTACAAGGATAGACTAATTAATTTCATTATCAATTAAAATAATCCTTCTCTAATATTTAAATTATAAAATTATTTAGATTTAATATTTAAATTCAATGAGTGTCAATATATAATAGGAAATATTAAATAAGAAACATTCATTTTATCAATTTTCTATCAATTTGAGACTTAAAATATGAATAATATTGAGGATTACCTTATAAATTTACTCTAAATTATAATACAATACTGTTTATACCTTATGAGTATTAAAATAACTGAAATTGAATTTATCAATATTAATTGTAAGATATTTTGGAAATTCAAAAATAAACTCTCAAAAAATAATTCATTTTACTGTGTATTGAAAATTAATCGTCTATATACCACTAATTAAAAGGGTTTATTAAAAATAATAAAAGAAGGAGAAAATATTTCTAAATTCTTAAATTCATCTCAGAAAAACATAACAAGATCATATAATCTTGTTCAAATTTAATAAAGATATTAATTGAAATGAAGGAATAAGAGGACCTAATCATTTACTAAAAACATTACGATAATAAAAATTGTTTGAGACCTATTCTTAAATATCATTAATATGAAAAATTAAACAAAAAAGTGTTTATTAATATATACATTTTTCTGCTGATCTAGACAGGCCTACATAAAATTTAAGTAGGGTCTACAAAATGCCATTTCGTGCTTGAATATTAAAAATACGATCAAAAAGTATTTTAGCAAATCTAAATCAAAAGAAGGCTAATTTAAAAATTTGTGTAGATTAAATTCTTTGAATATATTTATAAATTTTCTCTAATCATATCCATTGACTGAAAATGAAGCGTCCTAAAATAACAAAATTTTAATTGATAATATATTTTTATAACACTATCAAATAGAATAAATATCTTAAAATTTATATGGTTTGTGATGGTATTCTTTATTGTTTTATTTTAGTTTTACAATTAGTTTAAATATTAAATTGATTATCTAAACTATTTAATTGATTGAGTAAAAATTGAGTTAGAATCTTAAATAATGCTAATGTAGGAGATTAAAAATAGCAACAATAAAAATAGGTAAATACATTAGCATTTTTAAGTAAATTTGTATTTTTACTTACAATATTAACAAAGATATAGTAATGTACTTATTNCAACTCATTATTATCTTTTAAAAGAATATATGACAGTTTCCAGGAATAGAAGAGACAATAAATTGTTAAACTTTTTAAAATGAATTCATTTTATTTCCTACAAGGATAGACTAATTAATTTCATTATCAATTAAAATAATCCTTCTCTAATATTTAAATTATAAAATTATTTAGATTTAATATTTAAATTCAATGAGTGTCAATATATAATAGGAAATATTAAATAAGAAACATTCATTTTATCAATTTTCTATCAATTTGAGACTTAAAATATGAATAATATTGAGGATTACCTTATAAATTTACTCTAAATTATAATACAATACTGTTTATACCTTATGAGTATTAAAATAACTGAAATTGAATTTATCAATATTAATTGTAAGATATTTTGGAAATTCAAAAATAAACTCTCAAAAAATAATTCATTTTACTGTGTATTGAAAATTAATCGTCTATATACCACTAATTAAAAGGGTTTATTAAAAATAATAAAAGAAGGAGAAAATATTTCTAAATTCTTAAATTCATCTCAGAAAAACATAACAAGATCATATAATCTTGTTCAAATTTAATAAAGATATTAATTGAAATGAAGGAATAAGAGGACCTAATCATTTACTAAAAACATTACGATAATAAAAATTGTTTGAGACCTATTCTTAAATATCATTAATATGAAAAATTAAACAAAAAAGTGTTTATTAATATATACATTTTTCTGCTGATCTAGACAGGCCTACATAAAATTTAAGTAGGGTCTACAAAATGCCATTTCGTGCTTGAATATTAAAAATACGATCAAAAAGTATTTTAGCAAATCTAAATCAAAAGAAGGCTAATTTAAAAATTTGTGTAGATTAAATTCTTTGAATATATTTATAAATTTTCTCTAATCATATCCATTGACTGAAAATGAAGCGTCCTAAAATAACAAAATTTTAATTGATAATATATTTTTATAACACTATCAAATAGAATAAATATCTTAAAATTTATATGGTTTGTGATGGTATTCTTTATTGTTTTATTTTAGTTTTACAATTAGTTTAAATATTAAATTGATTATCTAAACTATTTAATTGATTGAGTAAAAATTGAGTTAGAATCTTAAATAATGCTAATGTAGGAGATTAAAAATAGCAACAATAAAAATAGGTAAATAGAAGTTAAAATTTCTAAATATTTTAATTTATACTATACTTATTCTTTACAATATGGTTAAATTGTGATTACTTTATTATTCCATAAAGCAGAGTCAATAACTATAATGTTAAACTGATATCTTTAATATTACATTCCAATTATAATCTAATGATGACTAATTTATTATTAATATAACATTATCAGATCCACAAGATATCCCTTTATTCTCTTCCTCATTCAAGCTTAATCTTATAACACTCTATTTATGATATGTAATTGTTTATGAACATCGCAACTCATTCTTCTTTATCCAAAATATAATTTTCTTGTCACGACTCCCTCATATAATAAGATCTTCATTCTTATTCAATAATATACAATAAATTCAATTAGAATCTCCATTCAACTTCTATGAATTAATATCATCAATTATTATGATTCATAGTCCATATATAATCAATAAATCATGACTTGCAGATATAAATTGAGTAGATTTCTTCAACATTATTTTTATGCCCACTAAGAATTTGAGTTTATCTCAGTTGTACTTATTTAAATTCAAATACTTTAATATTTTTATCACAAGTAGCTAATACAATAGATTTATCTTTATTAAAAGTTATTTTCTCCAACATTAATTTTATTGAATAGAATGATTGTAGATTAATTTAAAAATGAATAGTCTTAGATTATATTATTTAATATCTTAAAGTTTATCTTCTTAATTGACTTCTTTAGTATTTTATTATTTTAGTTTAATTTATTTGAATTAACTCTATATAAATTCTTAATGAATAATTAGATTGAAGATAGGTTTAACTTCTTTTATTGCTTCTTAAATGGTTATATGAAATTGAATGTTAATTTCCGGAAATGTTGGAACACATTTTTTAGGATATATGGATAAAGAGCAAAAGGAATTTTATCAAGATAATCATCAATTCTACTAAATGAAGACTAATTAGTAAATTAAAATTTAATATCTTACATCTTATAGCTTAATACATCTCTTCAAGACATTCTTTTACTTTATTCTCTAATGTTACACAAATCAATTCACTATTCATTTTTATAATTATTAAAATATTAAAATATAGTTTTCCTATTTCTATTAAAAATTAATTGATATTAGGTAGTTAAATATTATTAATATTAAGTATTGAAATTTGCATACTTAATTAAAAAATACATATTTTCTAAAAAATTATAAGCCTATTATAAATTCTATTGTCATGGTAATCTCTCCAGTCTTTAGGTTATAATTAGGGCAGATAAAAGTGTAAAGTTAGCAATTTTTAAGAACTAAATGATATGACGCAAGAAGTGTTAAGAAAGAGAGTATGGATTGTACAATTAATTCTTAAAGAGATATTATAGTTTTATATTATTAAATAGAGAAGACTAAAATAAATTGATAATCATTTAACAGAATTAGATAGAGGGATCATTTTTATAACTTAATAATTCGCGATTTTTAAATCAATATATTTCATTTATGGGAATGCACAAGTCCAGAATATAAAGATAATTATGGAAATTCTTGAAGAAAATTATGAACCATAAAAGAATTTAGGTTAAATTACAACATTTTTATCAAAAGAATAGATTGAAGAATTAATATCTAATAAAAATGTTGAAATTAATACCTGTAAAAATCAATTAATGATAGAAATGAATAAGAATTTTATACAAATT